AAACACATAAATTAACTTAACTCAAACATATCGGCTTGAACTTAGAGACCAAACCACCATCGCTGAACCCGACTGTGTGGCGTTGTTGCCCCCAGCCGGCTTCCTGTGAAGAGGAGTTTATTTTGAAAGGACGCTGCGTGGAGGAGAACTTGAAGCGTCCCAGTTCGAGGCTCAGGGGCTTTTGGCTGAGAAAGTGACGTACGTCTTTAGTTAGGCTGTGCAGACATCCTCATCTTAACCAGGAGGAGCTTTTAATGATGTATGATGAGTTATTTCTGCTCACACTGTGTGTGTGTGTGTGTGTGTGTGTGTGTGTGTGTGTGTGTGTGTGTGTGTGTGTGTGTACTTACTGTAACTCGATCACTCTCTCCGCCTGCTGTTTTCGTCCTGATGTCCGACGGCTTCAGTAGTGTCCCTCTACACTAAATAATTCACACTGGTGTTAAATATGCAGGAGAGTGCTGACGGTGTGTTTGTGTGTGTGTGTGTGTGTGTGTGTGTGTGTGTGTGTGTGCACGCGCGCTTTCTGAAGGTAGGGGGCGGAGTCTGTGTGGCTGCAGAGAGGTACTCACCGTGTTAAAGTGCCTCGTCCGTAGTAAACATCGCCCACCTCCGAAGGTAAAAAGGCGGTTCAACGTTGAAGAGGAAGAGCGTGTTGATGTCACTGCACAAACAAAGGCGTGTAAACGGGGGGCCGCTGGCGTGACGCATTTCTGATGGTCAGCGTCACGCCGGATCCCTCGACAAAAAGCCGACGGGATGCGATGTGTTTGTTAAAGCAGAGTCTGAATGTCCGGTTGGGGCCTTTCTTCCTGTTGGTGCTGCAGTCCAGCAGACCGGAGGGTGTGTGAGCTGATGACATTGAATTGTGTGTGTGTGTGTGTGTGTGTGTCCTTCCTTTCTTTGATTACACGCAGGGCCTTTGTTCTGCGGTTAAAGAGCTGAATACCACATTACTAAACCGGAGGAGGAAGTAATAACCTAAAGTTGGACAACTTGTAGTTTTATTCTGTAGTTTTTGATAATGTCAGTAAAAAGAAAAGTAGCAGTGGTTTTAGTCATATTTGCGATTGTAGTTTTAATAATATTTGCGGTTGTAGTTTTACTAATATTTGCGGTAGTAGAAGTGGATTGTTTGTCATAACCCTTTAGTATCTTTGGAGGAATACAAAATATTTTGGATTGTATTTCATATAGAAAAGAGTTAAATGTGTGTGTGTGTGTGTGTTCCCGCCTCCATACGATATCCCAGGAAACACAAAACCGCATGTCGCCATGGAAACACAGGCCTATCTACTTACAGTGAAGGCGGAAGGAGTGTGTGTTTGTTCAGTGTGGGTGGGTTTCTTAGTGTGTGTGTGTTTAGTATATCGAAAGTGCAGCAGTACATGCTCTTAATATGATGTGTCTGTTTGTTTCCCCTGTGTGTTCTGTGTGGAAAAGAACCATTTTCTTACTTTGTCACAAATGCAACAAGAAAATGGGTTTGTAATGAGTCGACCCTTCAAAGAGCAATCGGCTTTTAGTTTTTAAAGATATTAAGACCCTGCAATTTAAAAAGTCCAAGTCGTCGGTGTCGTGCTGATCTTGATGGAGATCGCTGCTTCACACACGGTCGTGATCTTTGCATTTGTCTTAAGGTCAAACTAGCGCGCTGTCTACCGATCCGTCGAGTTTCTGGTAACTTCTCCAGCTGAGAATAACTTCTGCAGAAGGAGCGGAGGCCCTGGAAGGCTCTCGTCTCTCAGGAGAACCATCGATCTTCAAACGCCGGCTAAACGATGGCGGTGTTTCTGTTTGCAGAAAGTAGAGCTCCGACTATCGATAACCGATTGCACGGACTTTACAGCAGAGAGTTGAAGGAATAGGTCAGCGTTTTGGGAAAGGTGCTTATTTGGATATTTCCATTACAAGACTAAATTATTGGCTATTCTGAATGAATCAATATTGAATAACAATAATTACCCTCTGCAGTTAATTTTAACTCTTCGGACGTGAGCTAATGAAAATTTAAATCTGATCCAAAGCTCTGCGTTAAAAGCAGTTTGTCACTTGTAGTAAGAAGGAAGCGAATGGAAGGTTATCACACTTAATGCTGCTGAGTGTTTATAAATGGAGCGCATTGATCTGTTAAAGCACCGGACTCACTCAGCCGCTCAATAATTAGAACCAGGAACAGTCAGGATCCCCACGGAGAGACACACACACACACACACACACACGGAGCTCACTTCCTGCTCCGAGGTCCAGATGGTGGAATGCTGGGAATGTTGGTGTGTCTGGTTTTTTTGTTTGGTAAATGAAATGTAATTTAAAAAAAATGAAAGAAAAGATGCTCAATTGTCTCTTCATATTCCCATTGATAAAAGAAGAACCGAGGAATCCAAGGAATTCATTACATCATGAGACAAAATTAATAAAAACTTTCTTTCGCCCCCAACATGGCCGCCGTCTGCCGCGTTGTTGTTTGTTTGGCGCTGCGACCTCGCAGGAATATCTTTGTGTGGTCAGGCGGGTGAGGCCGCGTGCCGGCGTGAAATTCCCCGCTGCAGCGTCACAAGTCGGAACCCTGAACGCACCACCGCGCTGCAGCACCTCTTCGCTGAGCCAGTAGGAGTTTTGTGACGTTTTCGATGAATGAATGGTGCGTTTGGTTCGGTGACGGCGGGCGCCCTGGAGGGCCGAGCCACGAGGAGGCCGGATGACTGAGGGGTGGGGGGGGGGGGGGGTGGAGATGGGAAGAGAGGGGGGGACCCCACCCCTGTGCAGATTTCCGACAGATCGGCTCGTATGGTTCCAGCTGCAGAAAATATTCAGTTCATCTGTTTCCCTGTTTGCCGTGACCTTTGACCTTCGGCCTCCGCACCGGTGTCTGTTTGTGATGCCGCTGAAGCTGGTTCTACTTTTGATCTGTAACGAGCCCGGAGGCCGTTCGGTGACCTCGCCCTGAACGGCGGATTTAATTCTTCTTAATATTAATATTTTGTTAAAGAGAAAATGGCAAAAAAAATAAATCTTGCGAGCACAAAATTTTAAAAACAAAAACAACAAATGTGCCACAATGTAATTCATTTTAAAAGTGTGAGGAGGCTTTTAAATTATTATTGTGAGGAAATGGCCTCATCACAAACATCACTTGAGGCTCCACTTGTTCTCTGCTCTCATCTGCCTCCCTTTTGTCATCTTCTTCTTCTGCAAAAGGAACTCGCTGGAAGGCCGACGCAGACCATCAGAACGTTACTGGCGTTTTGTACCCGGGTCACGTGACACCTGAGCAGCGGCTCCTGGCCAATGAAGCCGGAGGACGTGGCTGATGGTCTGTCGAAAGCTAGCGAGCGGCCGGACGTTGGGTTTATGGGTTCTTAATCACATAATGATGTGCGTATCCCCCCCGAGGGCCGTGATGTACCCTCACAACTCCAAGTTAATAACGTTGTTTTTACCAGAATAAAATACTCGACGACAACTTTCAGCAGCAGAAACCCACTCGCCCGTAAAATGATCTCAAGGGAGGTTTAAAAACATGAATGGACATAAAAGAGTGAGCGGAAGTCGGCCTCACATGTGTCTGCTGCTTGAATGTGTGACCTTTGCTCCACTTCAGCCCGTGAATGATCTACTTCAGCGAGTAAAAGTAAACCAGTCTGGTCCCAGTTGCCGCGCTTTTCTTTTTAATCAGGAAGTCAAAGTTCGGTGATTTTTTTTTTTTTTTTTTTGAACGATGTCTGTTACTCAGTGCTTCATCTCGAAAAAAACGAGGGAGAATATTTGTTGAAGGAACTACCTTTGACCTTCCTCTTCACCAAATCCCGCTGGAGATGTTTGCAAATGTGTCACGCTCACGACCGCGTGACCGAGACGTAAAAACGACCAAGAGGATCTCAATCTTTCAGAGATTTCAGCCTCCTTCTGCAGGAAATCGTCTGCATGGGTTTCATTTCCTCAAGCGTCTCCTGTCATCTGCGATTGTTTTGGGGTCACGTGAATATTTGCCCCGTGCATTGTCTCCCCGCCGTGACCCCCGAGACCTCCGCCTCCTTGCGTGTCCAGCCGCCTCACACAGGAAGCGGAGCCGCTTCTCCTCCGCTCAGGTTACTCTGCGATGCCCTCGCTCATCCTGCGACCCCCCCCCCCCACCTTCGCCCCAGTCCCGCCTCGGTTATCCTGCATGTCGATGTGTGTGTGTGTGTGTGTGTGTGTTGAAGGACAGCAGCATCAAACAGGAAGTGCTTGTGGGGCTCAGACAGGAAGAACATGGCTCTAATATTAGAGCTCAGATATTCTCAGGATGTTTGGATGTCGGTGAGAGAGCGATGAGCTCCAACACACACACACACACACACACACACTCCGGCCTGTCCCCAGCTCTTGGGGAGAGCTCATCCTCTGCGCACACATAGTTTTCTCATTAACTGCACCGTCCTAACGAGGCGGTGAACTGGGGAGAGCAGAGCGAGTGTTTTCACATGATGTCGGGCGTGTGTGTGTGTGTGTGTGTGTGTGTGTGTCGTAAATTCTTCATGAATTGTCTGTCTGTCTGTTTCAACCCAACAAATTAGATCTTTCTCCCTCCCGGCGGTTTGGGGTCATACATGTGTGTCGTAGCTGTATATCAAAGCTGTGTTTGATCCCGGAACATTTAAAGCTAATGACATCGAGCTTTAAGTTGCTTGACAGTAACAAAGACAAAAATGTACCAAAGAACCTAATAAATTAAAACATTCAAACTTCTAAAAGAATATTTTGTATCTGGAATAAACAACTTTTCAACAGAAACATCACTTCTCCCTCTAGTTTGTCTTTCTCTCTCCTCCCCCGATGCGAACCGCTCAATGACATCACTGCCAGGAGCGAGGGCTGTGATTGGCTGCCGGCAGGAGTGGCCTCTCCCCGCCCCCTGCTGGCGGCCCCTCCCCCTCCTCCCCGACTCTCCCTCTGTCTCAAAGGTGTTCTCAGTGTCTGAGAGCTGCTGCCGCACGCCGCCGGAGGACAAACCCACGCTCTCATTTCTCCTCTTCTCCCTCCGCCTCCCCTCGCTGCACCTCCATTGTGCCGCTTCTCCTCGCTCCTGGTTTGCGTGCGTCTGAACGGAGGATGGCGGGATCCCCGACCGAAGGGACGCTGTGAGATCCGAAGACGGTGACGGGTGGATGGGGACAGAGCTGAAGCATGATGCTGCCGCCGCGGTGCGTCTGCTGAGCCAGCGTTCTGCTGCCACAGCGGGGAAACATTGAGAGAGAGAGAGAAAGAGAGAGACCTCTGTGTCGTTTGCCCTCCCAAACTCTCAGCCCTGCTGCCCTGGAAGCGTTTAGGAGGAGGAGAAGAGAATCGGGGGTCTTCCTGTCACAGTCGAGACTTCAGCCAAACCTGGAATTACTTCTCCACAAGCAGTCGTGTGGCCGAGGATCCGGTCTGGACTTGTAGTTCACTTCATTCCCTCACAGGCTCATTTATTCATGTGGAAGCTCTTGAGAACTGGACACTAATGTAAACTCAAGCGGAGCTTCACACTGCCTGGAACCCAGTTTTTTTTTTTTTTTTCTGTCCTGCTGAAGCTCAACCTCTTCACCCCGACTCTGGAATCCCTCACTCCAACACTGCTCCATTCGTCCGGAAACTCAGATATTTCTCCGCAGAGTTTCTCCCCGATGCCGTTTGTGGACTAGCTTCATCCAAACCTCCCACCGGCGTCTCAGCATGGAGCTCCAGAGCGCCGCCGCCGGCCTCCCCGGGCCCCTCTCCCCGGCCCTGGACTACGCCGGCCCGTCTCACGCCACCAGCCCCATTGGGGGGCCCGGCCCCGGGTTCTCGGGCCAGGCTGCCTTCAACTACAACCAGCTGGAGGGCCGGTTCAAGCAGCTTCAAGGTAAGACAAGGAACTAGAAGGAGGAGGAACACGTCAGGGGAGATCTTCTGATTCACATCTTTTGGGATTTTCCCCACTTGGAAGCACTTAGTTGACGTCTCATCCGGACACGCGGGAGCGAACGGTTCCAGTTCCTAGAAAAGAAGTAATCCATGAAGTTCACCCCCAAGTCACACAGATGATGAAAAGCCTGAATAGAATGAACCAAATCCAGAGTAGATTTAATTACACGATCACAAGCGTAACAGCGTTGAATGCAGTTTGCTTTAGTTAAGCTTATTGTGTTAAATCACTGTTGTGTAACACTTGTGGACGTTTCTCGGCAAAGAGCCCCACCCTGCCTTCACACAGCAGACTGATACTGCTGCGCCGGGGCTTCTGGGTATTCGGTGCCTTGCCGAAAGGGGCGACCGCCGTCCCTCACACCCAGATTCTCCCGGGTGGTTGTGATGTGACCAGTCATATTGTGGTCAGTGAGCGGCGCAGTAGGTCCGATGGGTGCGGGCTGAGAAATGTCCCACCAAGTTACTCATTCTGCACATTTTATTATGAGCGATGAGTTATTCACCTCAATGATTCACAGACGAGTCCTTCAGACTGCACTCCCACGAATAAAAACTTAACAGCCAATAAGTTTATGTACTCAAAAGTTCATCCCAGACCGACGTGATCTGTACAGCTTCTCAATCTTTATCTCTATCTGACCCGTGAGCTCATCTTTGACGAGCAGGGCGAGGACTTCCAGTCACACGGAGATAATCAAACGCCGCGTTTCCTTTTGGATCCACTGGACTGTGCACCTGATCAGAGTCGTGACGGCTCTTCAGCTTCCACTGAGGTGCGCGGACCACTTCCTCATCAAACACGCGCAAACACAACTAGGAGTGAAAAAGCAGCTTCCGCGGCTTCTGCTTCGAACTACACTTTCTCTTTCCTGTTTGGGATGAAAGATCTTTTCAAGTGCAGATGATTTCCCAGCCACTCTAAATAGAAGTGACTCCGTAGTTCCTAAATACAAACGCGTTACTGACGGGCTGTTTAATCATATGAATCAGTTTGGATCTCACACTGTTGGGGAAACTCACCCTTTGGGAACATTTTTAATTCTTGCAGGTAGATTTACAACAAGTATTCGCCGCAGTACAAAACCAATGTCTAAGATGAATCTGCGTTCTCACCTTCAGAACAGGCTTATCAAGCAGTGAACTATCCTACACCCCCCACACACACCAGAGGAAGCCATCAAAAGCTCATCACTGAGAGGTTTTTAATACCTCTGCTTCACCCGAGTCTGAATTTAGCTGAAGGCTAATGGAGCCGGTGTACCGCTCCTCCTCCTCCTCCTCTTCATCCCCGAGCTGATGGCTGGAAACCTTCAGCCTCCCCGAAGGCCCTCGGGTCTAAAAGTAGCTCTGGTGTCTGAGTTGCTTCAGTCGAACCACATCTTGCTCTTCTGTGAAGGTCTTATCAGCGCAGCTTTGACTTTGAGGGAGGGAGGCGTTTGCAGCAGGACGTATCGTATTATCTGTCGTGGACCATAAAGCTTTATGGCCACAATGGGCGCATTTAATTGCGGTTGCATCATAAGCCGGATGTCAAGAGGGTGTGAAGGTTTTTTTTTTCTTTTTCTTATTCTTCGTAGCTGCGTTGGACTTTTTTTACATCGCGTGTTCCAAACTCCCAAACTATGCGTTCATGTATCGTGATGACGCGCTGCGTTTCGTCTGCTGTCAGTAGTTTTCTCCAAACTGACAACAGCTGTTCTCTGGGAAGCGTTGGAGAAAAATCAATTCACATTAACACAAAGCGCAGTTATTGTCCTCTGAGTCTCAATCAATTTCCCAAAAATCAATTTTTTTTGGTCTGGAATTATTTCTGCACGACTGAAGCGGGCCGTCGGTTCGGTGTGCAGGACTCGTCAGCTCGTCAAATGCGCTCAAACTGTTCCACCGTCAGTCGGCCAAAGAATCCACGAGCCATCTTCAAACCACCACCAGGACACGAAGGATCGATCGGGGATCCAGATCCTCTGAGCAGTTTGACCCCTCCAGAGCTTCAGAATGTTCGCATTCAAATTACCATTACATGTGTAATTTGAATTACCAACGACCACCCGGACCGTCCCGTGACACCCGTTGACCCAACGCGTCGAAGGGGACGTAAATCTGTCCCGCGGAGCTCCAGATGTGCGGGGGGGGGGGAGGCTGATGGGACTTGAGGAGCAGCACGCCGCCCTCGTTAGGCCGGGCGTTGAGCGGACGTCTCCCATTAGAAGTCGAGCGGGTAACAAGTCGTCAAATGGCGTTCTGAACCGACTCGTGCTGAGTGATGTCGCGCTAAATGAGCCGGGAGAAACGGCGAGCGCCGCCCGTCGCGTGACGTCGGTGATTGGTGGTGAGACAGTTAAGTAGATGGACAGACCGAGGTGTGTGTGTGTGTGTGTATAAATGTTTATGGACATTTCGGATCTCACAGAATCGTCCGTTTAAAGACACAAACATTTGTTGGGAGCTTCGAATTTAGATGGAAAACAAGTGATTTGTTTTCCATCTAAATTATCGGTCTGCTTTTCCAAAACTCTCTCATGTAAACGAACATTTTAAAAGCAGCAAAACCAAAAAAACATCACGGGTGGCAGCTTTCAATCCTTTGTAATTTGGGTTGGGTGCGGCTACACGTTGTATTCCATTTGAGTAATGACAGCGATAAATCATGAATGAATTGATGTTTAACCCACTAGCTCTCATGCCGGGTCAGACACACACACACGCACACACGCACACGGCAAACACACACACACACACGGACAGCAAACACACCGCCGTGCTTCCAAAACATCATCCCCCTCTCTTTCTGTGATGTGCTGATCTGGCCAATCAGGGCTTTTCTTGGTGGTCTGGGAGCCCCTGAGGGGGAGGGAGGGGAGGGCGGATGTGGGGGAGGATTAACAGAGTGGGGGAGTTTGTCTAAAATGATCCAGAACCAGAATAAATGTTGGAACCGCGGCGCCACGCTGCTCCTCTAAAAGGTGTTTATTCGCTCCTTCTTCCTTCCTCCTCTTCTCCTCTTTCTTCTCCTCCTCTTCCACCTCATCAATGTTTCATGAGCTTCAGCAGAGCGTCTGTCATTGCCCCGATCACCCCCCACCACCCCCCACCCCCTACCCCCTCCCTCCAGCCTCCGTCCTCTTAGTGGAATTAAACCCTCTGGTCTGATAGAAGCCACACAAAGGGGGGATGAGACGCTTCACTCGTCCTCGAGAGGACGAGTCTCCGCAGCTTCTGACATAATCTGAGCACAGTGACCATTTACAGGGAGAGACTGTAACAAAACACAACTTGACCCGGTGAAATGGAACAGTTGCACAAATCACTTCAGTGTCAACATCTTAATATATGTATGTTTTAAATATCAAGCATTTATAACGCAGACTTGAGTAAAAAAGGGTGACGTTGAGCGCTCGACCAAAGAAAGGATCCCAGTTTGTCTTCAGACGTGCGACGTGAAGGTTCCGCTCTGCTTTTCTCGTCCGACGCCGTTGTTATTGTCTCGCCTCCCAACGATGGTTCCTAAAATTCCAGACTACGTGGAAGCGATTTGAGAATTGGTATCAGTTACACGCAGAGAGGGAGACAAAGGACGGTGTTGTTGTGCGTCTGGGCCGGAGGTGACAGGAGTAAGTGTTTGAGTGTGTGTGTGTGTGTGTGAGAGACGGTCTGAGGAAGGACGGCGAAACCACACGGACCGGCACGCCGGTTCACAGCATGAAAGGACTCTTTGATGCCGACGCTCCAGCGAGCAGAGGGGGGGGCGGGGCTTATCCCAGCCCAGAGCAGCATCATGAACTAAACCTCTGGAAGTGAACTGAGATGCGTGTGTGTGTGTGTGTGTGTGTTTTCAGGTTAGCAGCTGACCAGGAGGAACGGTTTATTTCATCAAAAAAGCAAAAGTTCTCTAAAACCACAAACCACTGAGATCACATCGCTTTCTAAATTTGAATCTTGTTCCTCTGGTTTTGTTTCACCGGCTTTAAAGACGCGCGATTCGGACCGACATCGTAACACAAGGGTTGCTTGTTGGGACAAAATCATCTTGTGCTTTTTGCTGCAAACAGCCAGTATTTGAGTGTCCTATTTTTTATTTATTGCGATTCAGAATCGAACTCCGCCGGCTTCGACCTCTTTAGCGCCGCCTCAGTAGCTGGAGCGAACACACGCGCATGAAGCAATCGGCTCATGAGATAAAGACATAATTGGCCTAACTGGACTACCAGCGTGACCGCGGCCGGTTGAAGGTTGCGGGATTAAAGGGTCACTTTCTCTGTCACCTTTTGCATAACGCTCCTCCTGGTTCGAGAAGTTTTACATGCGGTCAGCTGATAAGTTACTGGAGGAAAGTTATTGCATCATGATGGACGTCTGTGGCACTCTGGTGCTCTTCATTAGCATTAGAGTGACACACACACACACACACACACTCTCTTAGCGACGAAGAATTCCCGTCCACCACCTGTGACTGATGTCAACGTGACCACTGTAATGAAGAATAAGGACCCTGTTTAGTGGAGAGGGAACTCTGTGAAAAGTCTGTATGTTGATGACCTTAAAAAAAAAAGAGAAAAAGCAGCTTGAAGGACCTAAGAGAGGAAGGAAGGAAGGAAGGAGGCCTTGTCAAGCTGTCAGTGTGTGAAGGGGAAAATGAAGTGTTTTCAGTGAACTTTAGCGAGACACATTCAGACGGCGGGGCCTCGGCAGGTGTCCTCGCCGTGCGATAAAAGAATTGAGCACGAGATTGAGATCTTCTCGCTGTGATGAATGTGAGACGGGCGGCGCTGCCTCGTCCTCCAAGGAGCTTTTTACTTTCCAACTTGTTGCTCTCAGAGTTCTCCGGGGCTTCACTGTGCAGCACTCTGTGAGGAGGGAGTTCATGTTGGAACGTGTCCCACCAGGAGCTGCCGACACTTCGGCCCTGCGCACGTTTAACGGGGCCACTTTGTCAAGAGGCTGCGTGCTGAGCTTTACCGTGATCGGTTAATTGAATTTAGGAGCAAGTGAAGTTCATTTCAGTTTCGCTCTCTGGCCCCTGAAACCCCCCCCGAGATGAATGACTCCGTGAGAGGAGGCCGGTTCCTGGAAGGTGAGCTCTCCTCAGAGGCTCCGTCCCGTCGGTGACTTTAACGCCAGAGGTTGAAAGTAAGACATTGTACTTGATTCATTTTTAGAGCGACTTCTGGAAAATGAGATTGTCTGGCTTCATATCCCTCATGCGGGAACGCAAAGACCCCCCCCCCCCCAAGCTCCAAGCCTTCGACCTTCGAACGCCGCGACCCCTCATGAGATGTTTGCAGGTCGAAGGAGGATAAACGATCCGATTCGATGTCTGCAAATCGAATGGCGCTTTTGTGAACGATAAGCTGAGCGTGGATGTAAACGCAGTCGCCTGTTGAACGCTGTGCATTCGGAGACCTGCGGCGCTTTAATTGAGCGGATCGACGTCGTCCAGTTCGGCGCCGGAGGCTCAGCCCAAATAAACTGTGAGAATGTGTCTGAGTCGAGGGGACATGTGGCTTCAGTCAGCTCAGCAGACTGATCACCAGTCCGCTCAATGGTCCTCTGTTCCTCCTCCCGGCTCACACAGCGTGTGTGTGTGTGTGTGTGTGTCTCACATTCACATCCATTCATTCGGCCTCTCGTGTTTCAGACAATAAGCGAGGGGCCGTGTGATTGGCCGAGGCAGGCGGCAGGCTCGGCGTTGAGTCCCCTGATTGGTGGGAAGGACGCGCCGGCCTCCTGCTGTTGAGGAGACGCGATGTTTCTTTGTAGGCTTGTGTTTATTTTCTGTTTAGTTTGCTCCCGACCTTTCGCGCTCGTTCGGCGTCCTTTGAACGCGCGATTCCGCTGGTCGGCGTTTTCCCTCCCCGGGTTTTGTTTTTGTTGGTGCGTCTCCGATCAGATCGTCGCCACAGATGGTACCAAGAAATAAGATCGCTGGGCCTTTTTTCTGTACAACTGTTAACCGGGTTAGGGAATCAGTTTTTGGTTGCATTATTTCCTTTAATATACTGGATCAGGAGCTGGACTAAAGCAGAAGATTCTTCATAGTTTAACACTTTAAACTTCCTTCTTTCCACCTAATGGAGGATCAAGCGTTGACCGCAGCTGATACTTCGGTATTTGACTGATGCCAAGTTACACCCAAACACTTTTAAGGGTAATATTCGGCGGCCTCCCTGCTCCTCCTGGGGGAGATCAGGAATGCAACAATCCTGGAATTGCAAAGCTGGAAGTGTGTATTTTGATAAGGGTTTGTGTGTGTGTGTGTGTGTGTGTGTGTGTGTGTGTGTGTGTGTAATGTCATGCGATCCACTGTGTATGGCCCAGAACTGTGTTGAATTTGGAAGCCCACCACAGACATGGGAGACTGAACAGATGTGTGTGTGTCGGGGGTCTGTGTGCGTGCGTTAGTGGAAACAGATGCTTCATGTGTTCGGCCTGTTCCACAGTCACAGTCTCGACCCTCTTTCTTCTCTTTTCCCACTCTGACATCTTTTTGTGTTAAAGTGTGCGTCTCGTGTGTGTGTGTGTGTGTGTGTGTTATATTGATAAGTCATTTTTAATTGTTTTTTTTTTTCCTCCCCTTGGTAAAACCAGTCAGACAGAAGTCCCGCCTCCTGTTTGATTGAAGGTCAAGCTGTGTTTCCAGTGATGACCCTTGACCTGTGACCTTAATGTAATCAATAAATGGAAGCAGCTGATTGGTGGAGCTTGTGAGGGGCGCGGCATTGCCTGGAGGCTCAGTTCAGTTCATACGTCTGTTATGTGGAGGGACAGAAACGCCTCCATTTATTCCATTTCATCCGTTCTAGTCTTTTCCTAGAAAGTCTTTCTGTTGTTTTCTTTCCCCGTTTGTTATTTTTCTTTGGTTTCTTTTCACTCCTTTTGGTTTCTTATGAATTTTCCTTCTGGTCGCCTTTTCTTTTCTTACTTTGTTGGTTATTTACTTTAAATTTTTCCTCATCAGAAAAAACATTATTTATTTTTGTGTATGAGAATCAAACCATTAAAAAATTTGAAAATATGTTCACGAGCGGCCAGCAGTAACAAGCAGACATTGTCTGACCAGCAAGGTTATTGAGGGGAAGGAAAGTGTGTGTGTGTGTGTGTGTGTGTGTGTGTGTGTGTGTGTGTGTGTGTGTGTGTGTGTGTGTGTGTGTGTGTGTGTGTGTGTGTGTGTGTGTGTGTGTGTGTGTTCTTATCTGTCCTCCTGGGCCGGTGTGTTGTGATCAGCAGTGTGTCTTATCTCCATCTTCTCACTTCCTCCTGCATTTTCTGCACGTAGGCAAGTGTGTGTCCACTACCTGCGTGTGCGTGTGCGTGTTTTGGGGTTTTCCCTTCCTGTGCTGAAAAAGAAGCAGATGCTCATCCCAGCAGGAAACCCTGTTTACACTCTTTAGACCCACAAAACTGTGTGTGTTTGTGTTTGTATGTGTGTTGGGGCTGGATCACGGGTGGGTTTTATAACATGCATCAATATAACATATATAATAATAATAATAATATAACATGTTCCTTTTTTAATAAGATTGTGTAGGATTCTGGGAGCGCTGCTTAAATGTAAAGTGTATTCGACTCACTACTGTTAAACACACCGTTATTTAACCAGTAATGGAGATATAATTTAGCTGCAGCTTGACATTCCTTTACAACACTGTTAGCATTGAGCTCTCTTTAGCGCACACACACACACACACACACACACACACACACAGCTAAGCAGAACTGTCAATGGCTTCAATTACCTTTTCAGGCTTAACAGATACTGCTGAATCCGCAAGATGTGTGTGTGTGTGTGTGTGTGTTTCATTAGAGAGGAGACGTGATGGATTGAGTGTCGCTGGGTCAATAACACATCTACACACACATTCTGTACATATACACTAACACACAATTTCAGTGGACGACGACCTGAGCCTGAGGCCACACACACACACACACACACCCTCAGGAATGTGCATCCTGAGCGTCATGTGAGGTGCATTATTCCTCGTGTCATTGTGTGAATGTGCCACTCCCTTAAATCTCATATCCACAGAACAAACGGGAAACAAATAAAATCCTCCTAAAATTCAGAAATTTATATTTATGATGAGGTCATTATACCTTCTACTCTGAACGGTCATTTTATTCATAAAATAAGTGTGTGCGTGTGTGTGTGTGTGTGCGTGTGTGTGATTGGCGTCCGCGGTCGGTTCGCAGACGCCGTGACGCCTCCACATATTTCAGCAGCTCCGGTTTGATATGAGAAATCCTCCACAGAGCGTTTTGTCCTGAGTGATAAAGCTGCTGAATGCCAGTGAACACTGAAGCTATTGTCCCGCTCACACACACACACACACACACACACTCTGAAGGTCATGTGTCTGTACGGACGTTGTTTGCGTGTTTTTGGCGGTCAGGGATTCTTATCACTTGTGTGTGTTTGTGTGAGTTCAGTTTCCTTCCACAAGGTCAAAATGAGTTCATTCATGTTTCATTTTCAGTTTGTGACCTCTGACCTGACACTTCTAGCGTCCAGACGAGCGCGTTTGGGTTTGTTTTGGGTTCAGTTTGACCTGGACGGTGACCTCAGGTCGTTCCTCGTTCCTCATTAGTTAATTAAACCTATTCAGTAGATTTTTTACTCGTCGTAGCATCACGGAGGATTTTCCGGCTGTTCGCGTTAAACGCAGCTTCTGTGGGCAAATCCAGTGGTTCCACCAGATGTTACAAAAATGATTCCAATGACTCCCAGAAGGTTTTACATCCGGGTAAAAGATCTTCTGTATCCGAGTCAGGAGAGAATAGAAATCTTTGACCTTTTGACCTACGTCTTCATTGGGAGAAACTGAATCGCTTGAAAGCTTTGCGATTCGTGTGTCGCCTCCTTGTGCAACAGCCTCCTTTTGACTGGTTTTTTTTCATGTCATCAGAGTTCAGCCAAGGAAACACTACTATATACTTGTGTGTGTCTGTGTGTTAACAAAAACCATCAGGCCTGTGGGATGTAAACGGAGTTGTCTTGAGACCGCAGGTGTGGGCTGTCAGACTGCTGTGTGTGTGTGTGTGTGTGTGTGTGTGTGCGCACATTTAGATGTAGTCTGCAACACAGGAAACCTCTCCCATACACACAGACACACACACACGCACACAATTGTGTAAGCCTTGTGAGAACAATGAGCCAGTGGGATCACGATCGCAGGCCTCCATCCGGCTGCTCTGCCCGCTGGACACCAGATAGAACAATACAGAACAACTTCTTCTCGCTGCCTCTTCACAGCGGTTGTTTTAAGTTTTGCCCTTTTTTTGTCATAACCTCAAAACTCACCGACCCCCTCGTCTCTCCCCAGATGAGCGTGAGGCGGTGCAGAAGAAGACCTTCACCAAGTGGGTGAACTCCCACCTGTCCAGAGTCTCCTGTCGGATCACCGACCTCTACATGGACCTGAGGGACGGACGCATGCTCATCAAACTGCTGGAGGTCCTGTCCGGAGAGAAACTGGTGGGTTTCAGCGCTCTTTGGGGCTCTTATTTTGAAAGGAGAGCAGGGGAGGGAGGGCCAGCGTGTTCCACATCCTGTCCTGATGAGAACAATTGTGATTCCCCTGCTCAAAAAATGTGTTAGTGAATTACGCGTAATGTAATACATTTAAACAATAATTGATTCTCTAAACCAGGAAAGACTATACATTTCAATGTTTATCTAGGGTAAAGTAGAGACAAAGTAATAACCACCACTTCAATTATAGTCCTGTAATCTCTGAGTTTGACCTTAGGACATTATAAAATGACCTGATAAAAATCTCTCTGCTCAGTAAATAATGCACAACAGCACCTTGTTGCATTGAATTCACTGAGTCATCGTAGCGGCGACCTTCCCTCTGTGACTCTGTGACAAGCTGTTGGCGCCTCCACTCTCCTCTTATCTGCTGCTTTCAACACGGACTTCACGACTGACAATCATTAACCTGGAACCATCGCCTCGCTCTCCCCACGTTTATATATCGGCCGTGGCTCCGTAGAGGGGGAGATAAATGCATTACTCTGCAACTTAAACAGTTGAGGTTTGTGTGATTCCGTAATGATGCAAAACGAAGCACCGCCTGCAGAACTGGCTCCAGCAGCTGTTTGTGTGCACTGCCTTCGTATGCACAGAAACGAGCCTCGCGATTCCTGGAAAGTCGGTTAAAATATGTGCTGCATTCAGATGGAAATTTGTGGAAAGAAGCGGTAATCCATGAAGAGTTCTGTGAATCATAAGTAACCTCGTACAGTCTGACCGTAAGTAGATGGGAGGGGGGGCAATGAAACAAGATCATAGTGGTGTGTTGTAAACTTATCAAGAGACTTAATATTCAGGAATTAGTCATAGCCGGTTGTCTCTCTGTTGCAGTTTTATATTTTCTCAAATGAACCCGTTAGAAGACGAGTCCTCCGTTACGTCATTGATCTCGTCGTGTATCCGTTCATGTGCACTTCCTGGTTCAATGATTTAAATGGTCTGAGCGGGTGATGACTGTCGGAAGCGCACGGATACGGTTACCGCTGTCACCATGGCAACGGGAATACATTACTTGTGAAACCGTCGAGCTTTGGCTTTCCTACCCGTCTCACTGCCCGCGTGTCTGCGGCTCTTGAAACAATTGTAAAAGTATTTGAAGGCTTTTAATTTCTTCGAGGAAAAAAAAACCCGGCGGTTCAAGTCTCGCTGGTTGGTAACGTCTCGTCATATCCGAGGAATTATTGTTATCTAATGCCACGATGAGCTGAACATATGATTCATAAGTCTGGGGCTCATCGGCCCGACTGGTTTCCATCATCCACACGGGATCATGTGCTTACTAGAAATGTCCAAGAAGTCATAAATATAACTGGGTGAACTCTGTAGAAACGCTGCTTTAATCTTTAATGTGTCCTCCGTCTCTCTCACACACACACACACTCACACACACTCCCACACACATGGGCAGTCATGCTGTTTTTCTTTCTGTCCAACTCAAAAACTCAGCACAGATTCCCAATTTCACCCCCCCGCCTTGTGACTTCCAGAGCGCTGAGCCAAACGGCCTCTTCTCTCCTTTCTTCTCTGTTCTTCTTCAACGTCTTCCGGCCTTTTCACAAAATCGCCGCTGGAACACACAGAAAGAGGGAACACGTCTACGCGGCCAGCCAGGAATGTGTACTCGGTTATTTTACTCTTAAGTTACACTTTATTTATTGTGCAGGAGCCAGAGAATCTGTGGCATCTGGGTCGCTCGTGGGGGAGGAAGTGAGGGGAAGACGTGGGGGGAGGAGGGGGTGTTAGTGACGGCCAGGAATGATGTGTGGAAATAAAGAGAGAAAAAAGGGATATTGAAATCGAAATAAAGCAGAGCTGGTGAAGTGGTGAGCAGGATGGACGGGGAGTGAGGGGGGGGAAGTCACTGTGGGGGGGTGTTAGAGTTGTGAAAGGAGTCATTGAGTAACTTTGAGGTTTCACATGGAGCCAAAACGCCTCCGGGAGCTGCAGAAGAGTCTCGCAGCCAGCGGATGTTTGCGCCCTGCAGAGGCAGCATTTAAAACGTTCTTCTCTCTCCATCATTCTGCTTTTATTATTCCAGATATGTTGTGACACGGTTCTCACTGAGGTCATTGGTGAGATCGTCGGGGGACATCGTCTCACTCAATTTATAAAAAGGGCCGGACACACTACTCGTATACTGTGGTGAACGTCTGCAGAAACCGGCTATTAGACCATCGTCACTGTTTTAATGTATCTGATGTTGGGTAGCACATTTGTTTTGTGGGTTAAATGTATAAAGCACAATATTCGAGGAGGTAGATGTGTAAAGGGGCATAAGAACTGTTGTTTACTTACATTCCACCCCGCCGAAGAAAAGACGTAGGATGTGGGATTGAGTCAAAATAAACCACTGCGTGTGTGTCTCAACAGTTTGTTACTTTTCTTCTTTTTTTATTTTATTTTTTCTTCCTCCGATGTGACCACTCGGAGCAGAGAGGGGACCTCAGTACACAACAGGACGCAGCGGGACGTCTCCCTCTCAAAACGGCTGAGAGCTGCAGACGGCTTTTGTTTGTCTTCGAGCAGTAAAATCGCTGATCTTCACGGATCCGTGAGGCCGGCAGACAAAGTGTCTCCGGTACGAGTCCCGAGTCACTGGGAGACTTTCAGCCGGGGAAGCAAAGCCGGCGCTGTTGTGGTTGTCCGGCGTCCCGGGTTTGTGGTTCTGATGGTCGGACATGGAGGAGGACATGTGGGCCGGTCGCTCCTTTCACGCCTCCCGCATTTATTTTATTGTCTGTATTTCATTTTGATATATATATAATGTCAAACGATCCCCCATCCTGCAATACAAAGAGAGAGAGAGAGAGAGACAAAGAGCTTCCTGAAACAAAGAAACTTTTGTCGTCTTTTGAGAACTTTTCCACTTTCAGACAAACTGCTCAGTGATTCTCAGTCGGGGAAACGCAGCAGAACAGGAAACTGCTCGATACCTGAAGTTTGTTTCATGATGAAGACCAGAGAGGCTCCAAAATAGCTGTTGTTGAGTCTGCGTTGATTGCATCAGCGCTCTGCTTATCCAGGACGTCCTGTGAGCCAAACCTTCATTCATCACTGGGACGTAAAACAGCGATTCTGTGAACAATGGGACCGAATTCAAGTGCGCTTTACCTGAGTATCTCCACTATATTCTACTTCACAGTCCGGCGCTCTTCCTCACATCGCTCCATTAATTGTCATCAACGCAGAATTATTATATATATTTAATTCTTAATGTTGCATAATCACCACAAAACAACTTTCACGAGCGGAGAACTCTTGAAAATGTGAAAAGTCAGCAGCTGTTTTCTTCTTCTTCATGTTCATTTGACGGCACGAAGCTGTTCACGCTTCCTGTTTGCTGAAAGCTGTCAAATAAACCCGAGACGTGTTTTTGCTTTCAGCCCAAACCCACCAAGGGTCGGATGAGGATCCACTGCCTGGAGAACGTGGACAAGGCTCTGCAGTTCCTGAAGGAGCAGAGGGTCCACCTGGAGAACATGGGCTCCCACGACATCGTCGACGGCAACCACCGCCTGGTCCTGGGCCTCATCTGGACCATCATCCTCCGCTTCCAGGTAGGAGTGTCACCTGCTCGGGGACACGAGCAGGCGGCCCCGTGGAAGTGGGTCAGAAGGTCTGGGGCCGTAAATCAGCAACTGGGACCTCCAGGAATAATCCCATTCTCAGTCCCGTTCATTATTTTAGTAATAAGTAAAAGCTGGTGGTTTGCCTTAATGCAGTGCAGCTAATGAACCGCCCATTACGTTGCTAAGTATGACTTGATGGTGACGTCAAATCATCTATAATCCTAAAAGAAAATGTAATCTGTTAATGAAATATGAAGAGTTTGACGTGTAAGTGACTTCACATTCCTTTGGGATTCAAAGATTTCCAAATGGCTCCTTTTTAAAGCGAGAAGATCCATTTTTCTTTTTTTCTGCTCCAAAAATCCAACCCACTCGTCATCTACTGTACGTTGATCACTGTGGTGACGTCCTCATCAGGGACAGTGAACAGTTGGGGGAAAAGTATTTAGATTTTATAAGCCGCGAGGATTAAACGAGTGGTTTCAAATCCGATGGTGGGTGAAATGGAGCCGAGTGACAGCAGGACGTGTGTGTCTCAGATCCAGGACATCAGCGTGGAGACGGAGGACAACAAGGAGAAGAAGTCGGCCAAAGACGCTCTGCTGCTCTGGTGTCAGATGAAGACGGCGGGGTGAGAGTCCACCACGTCCTCGCGGCTCGGACTACATCTCCCATCTCCTCCTCGAGCAAAGTGACGAGCTGTGAATTCCTCTCTTCCAGGTATCCCAATGTCAACATCCACAACTTCAGCACCAGCTGGAGGGACGGGATGGCCTTCAACGCCATCATCCACAAACACAGGTACTACTACTAGTACTAGTGACACTGCTATCTATGTGGGACTGAAGGTCAGTCATATCCCAGCTGCGAGCTCGCGATGAGGAAGACTCGAGAAGCTGCTCCAATCACGAGAAACATTCGCCACAAAGTACCTTTTTTAAAGAGCGACCTCGCTGCTGTCCATAAACACAAGAGGCCCGAGCATCACGTCACCCTTCATGTCCGGCCGAGCCGCTGCAGACAGGCTGCTCTTTAATAACTGCACAGTCAGCTGATCAGTCAGCAGGCCGCTGCCCTGCAACCAAACGCAGGCTTGAATGGCGTCTTTATGCACATTACAGCCGGTCATATCAACAACAGTCACGCAGCAGATGGAGGGAGGGAGTTATTACGCTTTTCTTCAGTTTTGGAGCAGTTCAACAATCGATGAGAAGCAGTGGAACGGAACACATCCACGTGTCTGCAGCGCTACAAGAGGCCGATGGCGAGAACGTACAAATGGGCCGTGTTTAGGATATTTTGAGTTTAATATTAGGCCAATCAATAAACAAAACCCAAACCAATCACTATTTAATTATAAATACATTGGATAGAAATCAGCGTATTTAAATTACTTTCTTACGAGGGAACTCAGATGTCAACCATATTCTTTTATTCATCAATTACTAATCAATTACTCCTCTTTGGTCTTTCTTTGTTAACATCTTCAGACCGGACCTGATCGACTTTGATAAGCTGAAGAAATCAAACGCTCACCACAACCTGCAGAATGCGTTCAACCTGGCTGAACAACATCTGGGCCTCACCAAGCTGCTGGACGCTGAGGGTGAGGGAGGACACACACACACACGCACCCTCATTGTCATATAACGTGCTCCCTGACCTTTGACCCTGTGTGTGTGTGTGCAGACATCAGTGTGGACCACCCGGATGAGAAGTCCATCATCACCTACGTAGTGACCTACTACCACTACTTCTCCAAGATGAAGGCGCTGAAGGTGGAGGGGAAGCGAATCGGCAAGGTGACCAAACCCCTCATAACACCTCAGTCTCCCCGCGCTGATGCTGCTGTTGGTCGTCGTCGTTGTTGTTGTCTTTAAGCCCGTTTTCTCCCCCCCCCGGGTGTCTCCAGGTTCTGGACAACGCCATCGAGACGGAGAAGATGATCGAGAAGTACGAGTCTCTGGCGTCCGACCTGCTGGAGTGGATCGAGCAGACCATCATCATCCTCAACAACAGGAAGTTTGCCAACTCTCTGGTGGGAGTCCAACAGCAGCTGCAGGCCTTCAACACTTACCGCACAGTGGAGAAACCCCCCAAGTCAGTACACACACACACACACGTAGATCGTTTGGGAGGATTAGACTTGATTATATGGTACGCAACGTTTTTGGTTGAACAAAACCTAAAGCGTGTCACATTGACTGTGAAGGTTCACGGAGAAGGGGAACCTGGAGGTTCTTCTGTTCACCATCCAGAGTAAGATGAGAGCCAACAACCAGAAGGTTTACACTCCTCGAGAGGGCAAACTCATCTCCGACATCAACAAGGTCAGTTATCGTCGTAAAGATGCTTTACTCATTGATATTTCATTATTCGTCACTTGAGTGGCTGTTTTGCTGATATCTGTGTGTGTGTGTGTTCGTTTTAGGCATGGGAGCGTCTGGAGAAGGCGGAGCACGAGCGGGAGCTGGCTCTGAGGACGGAGCTGATTCGTCAGGAGAAGCTGGAGCAGCTCGCCCGGCGCTTCGACCGCAAAGCCGCCATGAGGGAGACGTGGCTGAGCGAGAACCAGCGGCTGGTCTCCCAGGTAACGCACGCGGCGCTGTCACATGCTCCTTTAGCTCAGGAAAGAAGTTCTAATGCATCCACAAAGGTCCAGATGATAACGTCTACTTTATTCTCTCCTCTTCCCCGTTTCCTTTCCTCTCTCCTCTTCGGGCTCCTGCCTTCTTTTTGTTATTTTTCTTCCCTCGTCTTGTCTCCTGTCTTCTGCTCTCGTGCTTTTCTTCTCTACTTTCCTCTCTCTTCTCCTTGTTTCCTCTCCCCTTTTTCTCCCGTCCTCTCCTCATATCCTTTTTCCTCCGTCCTCTTCCAGGATAACTTTGGATTTGACCTCCAGGCCGTAGAGGCTGCTACTAAGAAACATGAAGCCATAGAAACGGACATAGCAGCCTACGAGGAGCGAGTTCAGGTCAGTTCACCACTTCGCACATAATTAGTTAAAAATAAGCCCAGAAAAGCTGTTATTACTGTTACTGTGTAACTATTTACTATTCTTCACCAGAACCCTTTCTCATTTTTAATCAGGTATTTCTAATGTTGCCTTATTTTTTTAAGTTTTTAGAATGAAACTGTTCAATTACATATTATCCAGGAAAATGTTTATATTTATTACTAAAATGTTAAAAATTCACTTTTCGGACAGGTTTCAAAGTACATAAACCCCAAACCAGGCGAGATCCGTCTCCTGTTGTCCACTCATCCCTCTCTCCTTCTGGTGCAGGCGGTGGTGTCCGTGGCGAAGGAGATGGAGTCTGAGAATTACCACGACATCAAACGCATCACGGCCAGGAAGGACAACGTGATCCGACTGTGGGAGTACCTGCTGGAGCTGCTGAAGGCCCGCAGGCAGAGGCTGGAGCTGACCCTGGGCCTGCAGAGAGTCTTCCAGGAGATGCTCTACATCATGGACTGGATGGACGAAATGAAGGTACGGAAGGAGGCGGGAGGGCAGGGGGGGGGGCTGAGAACATTCTGAGGATCTGAAAGGTGGATCTCGTGCCACAAACACTTCCTCATCAGTGTACTTGTATGTCTCGTTCCATGACCGATGTTTTGACCTCTGACCCCGACCTCTCGCTCCTCCCCTGCAGATGATGCTGCTCTCTCAGGACTACGGGAAACACCTGCTGGGTGTGGAGGACCTGCTGCAGAAACACGCCCTGGTGGAGGCCGACATCAGCATCCAGGCCGACCGAGTCCGAAACGTCAACCGCAACGCTCAGAAGTTTGCCGACGACATGGACGGTGAGACGGGCGGTTACATCGGACACATTGCCGATTTATTATCCAGTTTTGCTTCTTGGTCGTTGTTCTTTCAGACGGAAATGGATGAGCGTGATGACGATCCCGTTTCCTCTCGCCCCCCTCAGGTTACAAGCCCTGTGATCCTCAGATCATCAGGGATCGGGTCGCTCACATGGATTTCTGCTACCAGGAGCTGAGTCAGCTGGCGGCTGAGCGGAGGGGTCGCCTCGAGGAGTCCCGCCGCCTCTGGAAGTTCTTCTGGGAAATGGCCGAAGAGGTTTTTTATTTTTTAAGTTTATCATGCAGATAAAATTCAAATGTCAGTGTCAGTTTGGATCTTTAACCACCGCATAGGTCGGCTCCAAAAGAATCAGAAACCAAAGGGTTTATTCTGAGGCGACGTAGCTGAGGGCTGAATGTGTGTGTGTGTGTGTGTTGTGTAGGAGGGCTGGATCAGGGAGAAGGAGCAGATCCTCTCCTCCGAGGATTATGGGAAGGATCTGACGGGAGCGCTGCGTCTGCTGAGTCAGCACAAAGCCTTCGAGGACGAGATGAGCGGGCGAGCCGCCCACCTGCAGCAGACGATCAAACAGGGCGAGGAGCTGGTGGCCAACAACCACTTCGGAGCCGACAAGATTAAAGAGCGCATCCTGGACATCCAGGTACGCCGCACCTGGAATGTGTTTTTATTCTTCAAGTGGGCACAAAGCAGCCGTGGAATAGTCTCAATGTCTTTTATATTAAAATCTACAGCATGAAAAGGTAATTTAGAAGTCTATAGACTTAAATGACAGAGGAAGTAGGCTAGATTTACAAACATCAATACTGTATCTACCGTCTTGTACTTGGTCATTTGGGGAATTTTATGTTTTTTAAAGCTATTACATTGGAAATCTGGTTAGCTTTTATTTTGGAACTGAGAAATTGTCTCCTGTCACGCATATTCTCTTGTCTTTTGGGTTAAAATGGCCACATATGGATTATTTGATTCATCAAAATAGATAAAGTTTGATATACTTCACCATCAACCTTGTTTTAAAGGGTTTAATTTATTGGCCTTATTGGAAAGACATTGAATAAAAGTCCTTCTTTAAATACAATTGTAATAACTTAAATCTGTTGCATCGTTTCCTAACACCTTTCCTCCTTCGTTTCCTCCGTCCTTAGGAGCAGTGGGCGGCTCTGGAGCGGCTCTCCGCCGTCCGTAAAGCTCGTCTGCAGGAGGCCTGCAACCAGCACCAGTTCCAGGTGAAAACCCTCCTCCTGGATCACAGTTTCATAGTATCTTGGTTGAATTTTGATTGGATCTAAAGGAGCAGGAGCTTTTCATTCGCTGCTCCCGTGTGTCAACTGACACTATTCAGTGATTTGTAGTTATTTAGCAGCCGAAACTAAACAAACAAAAAGCATTATTCTGTTCTGCAGGATCAGAAGTGAAGAAAGTGAGACATCAAACCTTTTTGTTTCCCTCGCCGCAGGCCGATGCCGACGACATCGACACGTGGATGCTGGACGTGCTGCGGATCGTCTCCAGCGTGGACGTCGGCCACGACGAGTTCTCCACTCAGGCTCTGGTGAAGAAACACAAGGACGTGGCCGAGGAGATCGGAAGCTACCGGCCCGTCATCGAGGCGCTGCACGAGCAGTCCGGCACGCTGCCGCCCGAGAAGGCCAAGTCCGAGGAGGTGAGGCCGATGCCGCCGCAACGGGACGCCTCCGCCTCCCCTCTGTGGTATCTGAAAATGAGAGCCAATCTCTCTTCTGACGGCCTTTTGCAGGTTCAGAGCCGGCTGGCGGGCATCGAGGAGCGCTACAAGGAGGTGGTGGAGCTGACGCGCCTCCGGAAGCAGGCGCTGCAGGACGCCCTGGCGCTCTACAAGATGCTGAGCGAGGCCAGCGCCTGCGAGGTGTGGATCGACGAGAAGGAGCAGTGGCTCAACAGCATGGACATCCCCGAGAAGCTGGAGGACCTGGAGGTGGTGCAGCACCGGTGAGGGTCCCGCCGCGGAGATACGGTTAATTGTGTAAAAGCAAAACATCAAGTAAGACTATAAAGCGATTTAAAAATAACTGTCAATCAAACAGATGCAGTGTTTAAAGAGTAATTTAATCCCGCCCCAAGAAAGGCTTTTGACTTTGCTGACCTCTAGTGGTTAAATTTCCCACTGCAGTGAGGTGAACCTCAGGGCTCTTTGTGTTGCAAGAAGTTAAAAAGCCTCAAGCTTCCAATTACTTAAAACGGCATTTCCCATTAAAGACACTCTTATCCTGTTGGGCGTCTTCACTGGGGAGCCGCTGCTCCCAGTCGAGTCTTTTACATTGGGCGGAGGGACCGCCGGCCCCTCGTGGTGCATTTATGGAGACTTATGAATTGAGCATTTCTCTTTAATTTGAAAGGATTCGGTAGTCAAACTCCAAAGTGACCAAAGCAAAAACCCTGCGTTGAAAAATGTCCCGAGTCTTTATCGATCAGTGATTAAACGACTAACAGCGTCGGCTCGTAAAAACACCCAACCGGACATTTTCAAACGGCCCCTTTTACCACAAATTCTACCAAAAATCAACCCGAGCACCGATTGTTATGAGGAATTTAAAACTAAAAAGATTTTCTCGAATTCAGTTTGAGCTGGTTGCTGCGGCAGAGAGAGACGGTCACAGTGACACTGTGGGAAAAGTGTGTGTTTGTGCGTGTGTGTATTTTTAGGCCGTGGTTACACAGTTCGTTCACAGGAGCTTCTGAATCTGGTTTTCTGCCACTTGTCGCTCCATATTGTTAAACCGCAAAGCTTCACATGGATCGTTTCCCAGAAGCTGGTTGACTGTGTGTGTGTGTGTGTGTGTGTGTGTGTGTGTGTGTGTGTGTTTGTGTCTGTGTGTGTCTGTTAATGAACAGCACCAGCTTTCTGCTGAAACGCTCCAAATTTTCCACTCCGCTCCAACCAAAGAGTTATTTTAAAAACTTTAAAAAAAGAAGATCTGCTCACGGTGAGATTGTCATCAGCCTTGTGCTCCGCAGAACAGTGACTTTAATAAATGAAAAGGCTAGTTTTAATATCACTTCTGGGAGATTTAGTTACATCACTCTACAGGAAACTTTTTATTACTGTGATCCCATATGGAGAAAATATTGAGGCAATAAAACTTTGAGTTCATTTAGAGCTTTACTGTTGAGCATTAAACACAATATTCATTTAAATTGAATATCAAAGTTGATGTGTTTCTTTGTGCAGGTTCGAGAGTCTGGAGCCGGAGATGAACAACCAGGCGTCCCGAGTTGCCGTGGTGAACCAGGTTGCTAGGCAACTGATCCACTGCGGACATCCCAGTGAGAAGGAGATCAAAACCCAGCAGGACAAACTCAACACCAGGTAATCCACCTGGGATTAAGCCAGCTCCTGTACTGGGATCAGAGGGTCTTTATTCAATATTTGAGATTATACTGGAAGGCAAAACTAAACAAGGATTCAACGTACGTAAAATGGGAAACAAACACAATCAGTTAGGTGAACTGGATTCAACAATTAGAGAAGTTGCTTAATTTAAGTGTATAGAAAAGGGACGTTAATGATAAAGTACCTAAAAGTTTGAAGTGTAAATGCTTTTAATAAAGCCTAATAGTCAAAGATAAATCAGGATTAATACAACAATTTTATATAGATCATTTAGATAAAGTAATCAGGGGGTGATGCTGGTGCTGATGGTGTCTCCGTCCGTCCAGGTGGAGTCAGTTCAGAGACCTGGTGGACCAGAAGAAGGACGGTCTGAGCTCCGCTCTGGGAGTCCAGAACTACCACCTGGAGTGTAACGAGACCAAGTCCTGGATCAAAGAGAAGACCAAGGTACCGACAGAACCCAAGATGTCGGCTGCTGCAGCACTTATTTATTTATTTATGTCCGGAACTAACTCCACCCCCCCGTCCTCCGGCCCCGCAGGTGATCGAGTCCACCCAGGAGCTCGGGAACGACCTGGCCGGCGTCATGGCCCTGCAGAGGAAGCTGACGGGGATGGAGCGCGACCTGGCCGCCATCGAGGACAAGCTGGGCGACCTGGGGAAGGAGGCGGACCGCCTCGCCTCGGAGCACCCGGACCAGTCGGAGGCCATCAGGGGGCGTCTGGCCGGGATCACCGCCGTCTGGGACGAGATGAAGGTGGGCGAGCCCCCGCCGGGAGCCCCGGACACGCTCTGAGAAAGGGAATATCTGACCCCCTCCTTTATGTTTGCAGGACACCATGAAGAACCGGGAGGAGTCTCTGGGCGAGGCCAGCAAGCTGCAGCAGTTCCTGCGCGACCTGGACGACTTCCAGTCGTGGCTGTCCCGCACGCAGACGGCCATCGCCTCCGAGGACATGCCCAACACGCTGGCCGAGGCCGAGAAGCTGCTGGCCCAGCACGAGAACATCAAGAACGAAATCCGCAACTACGAGGAGGACTACCAGAAGATGCGGGACATGGGCGAGACGGTGACGCAGGGCCAGACGGACGCGCAGTACATGTTCCTGCGCCAGCGGCTGCAGGCGCTCGACACCGGCTGGAACGAGCTGCACAAGATGTGGGAGAATCGGCAGAACCTGCTGTCCCAGTCGCACGCTTACCAGCTGTTCCTCAGGGACACCAAGCAGGCCGAGGCCTTCCTCAACAACCAGGTAGGCCCGTGATGTCATCGCGGTCTGAGCGCCGGGTGGACCGCACACACTGCAGCGATTGGTCGGCAAAGCGCTGACTGTGCAGTCTGGTCAAAACGTTTTTTTTCGGACGACCTCCTGTCTAGTTCCACCTGTCTTCTCACTTGAAGAAGGTCGGAGGCTGCCACCAAGTGGTAGACGTCCTCCATTACATATAACCAAAGTTCATATTCCAAAGGAGAACATCAGAACCTCACATCTGTGACTGTCCGTCTGTGTCTCAGGAGTACGTGCTGGCTCACACCGAGATGCCCACCACTCTGGAGGCTGCCGAGGCCGCCATCAAGAAGCAGGAGGACTTCATGACCACCATGGACGCCAACGAGGAGAAGATCGGCGGCGTGGTCGACACCGGGCGGCGCTTGGTAACCGACGGCAACATCAACGCGGAGCGCGCCCAGGAGATGGTGGACTCCATTGACCAGAGGTGACCGAGTCCGCCTGTCCGCCGGCGTTACGCTTGATTGTGAACCAGAAAACTTAAACTTAAAATGTTGATGATCGACCTGCAGACACAAGAAGAACCGAGCGGCCGCCAGCGACCTGCTGACCAGGCTGAAGGACAACAGAGACCTGCAGAGGTTCCTGCAGGACTGCCAGGAGGTAAACCACGGATTCTTCTTGCCAAATCAGCTGCAGGAACTCTGACGAGTCCCTGAGATAATCCGCCTGTGTGTGTCCGTGCGTCTTCAGCTGTCCCTGTGGATCAACGAGAAGATGCTGACGGCCCAGGACATGTCCTACGACGAGGCCAGGAACCTCCACAGCAAGTGGCTCAAACACCAGGCCTTCATGGCCGAGCTGCAGTCCAACAAGGAGTGGCTGGACAAGATCGACAAGGTCGACAAACATCACTATTTGTAAAGTCATATTGGGAATCTTCGGGACCTTGAAACGGGGTTTGATGTGTTTGGTCACTAAACTGAAGCGCGGTACTGTCTCACAGGACGGGCAGGCGCTGATGGCGGAGAAGCCGGAGACGGAGGCCATGGTGAAAGAGAAGCTGTCGTCCCTGAAGACCATGTGGCAGGAGCTGGAGTCCACCACCCAGGCCAAGGCCAAGTGTCTGTTCGACGCCAACAAGGCGGAGCTCTTCACCCAGAGCTGCGCCGACCTCGACAAGTGGCTGGCCGGCCTGGACGGGCAGCTGCAGTCCGACGACTACGGCAAAGACCTCACCTCCGTCAACATCCTGCTGAAGAAGCAGCAGGTGAGGAGCAGGTTTAGTCGGTGGGAGCAGATCTTTTTTCTGAACGTTGATGCCGTCTGAAGGATGAGCTTTTCTTCTCTTTTCTTGAGATCGGCGCTGTAATTTCTTTTGAGTGCACATGTGTGCTTGAGAGAAATCTGTAGCAGTCAGACAGGAAAAGAAGGCAATCTCTCCTCCTCGTCTTCCTCGCTGCTCTCATTTTATCCCAGACTCGCTCTGCCTTTGGTTGTTTATCTATCTTCTGTGAAGCCGTTTGCAGTGTAATTACTGTCTGGCTGCAGGAAGATGATTCTCTCTTTGCTTTTTGTTTTTGTGTCCGTGGACTGTTTTTGAGTCCGTTTTTGGAGGTTATACATTTTAACCGAATCGAGGAGAAGATGCGACGAGGATTCTGAAGCATCTTTTTATCTTTGCAACGGTGTTTTCTTTCCTCATTTCCTTATTTGTTTATTTCATTCAATGGGGACCAAATTTGTGATCCTTCTATTGCATTCTGTTCTATTCCAATTTAATTTCATATGGTTATAATTCCATTTTGTTTTCATTACTGTCATTTTTTTTAATTATAAATGTGTATTTCTAAGGATATTTCCTCCTCATCTACACCAGTTTTGATTTTATTCGGTGAAAGAAATCTCAACCCTCCAAAGGACCTAATCTCTGTCAACCGGGGGAGTTCTGGAGTCCTGGTTTGATCTTTTACGAGTGTATTCCGTCTGACCTGCGAACCGTCCTCCTCCAGATCCTGGAGAGCCAGGTGGAGGTGCGTCAGAAGGAGGTGGGGGAGCTGCAGGGCCAGTCGCAGGCCCTCAGCCAGGAGGGGAAAGGCTCCGACGAGGTGGACGGCCAGAGGATCAGCGTGGAGCAGAAGTTCCAGTCCCTCCAGGACCCGCTGAAGAAGAGACGAGACAACCTCATGGCCTCCCGCGAGATCCACCAGTTCAACCGGGACGTGGAAGACGAGATCGTAAGTGGAGGAAGGGCGCCGACCTTTAACCCCTCCGATTCAGGAAGCGAGGCGTGTTGTACGGGATCTTTTAGTATTAGTAGCAACACGGCAAAATGTCACGTTGTTTATATGTCGGCGTCACAGTATTTGTACATAGTGGTGATCATACTAGTTTTACTAAACTTAAACTTCCTTCTGGTCTCCAGCTGTGGGTGGAGGAGAGGATGCCTCTGGCCACATCCACCGACCACGGCAACAACCTGCAGACCGTACAGCTGGCCATCAAGAAGAACCAGGTACCGGCCGCCTCGCATGAAAGTCGACGCCCACCCCCGAAGCCGCTCACACGGCGAATCTATAACCGCTGCCTTGACCTTTTGACCCGCTCAGACCCTGCAGAAGGAGATCCAGGGCCACCAGCCGCGCTACGACGACATTTTCCAGCGCAGCCAGCACGTCCTGAGGGAGAACGGCCCCACGGCCGAGCTCATCCGCCAGCGCCTCGCCGAGCTGCAGTCGCTGTGGGAGCAGATCAGGAAGGAGACGGAGAAGCGCCACACCCGCCTCAGCGAGGCCCACGAGGCCCAGCAGTACTACTTCGACGCCGCCGAGGCCGAGGCCTGGATGAGCGAACAGGAGCTGTACATGATGTCAGAGGAGAAGGCCAAGGTGAGGCGGGGGGGTCAGAGGTCAGAGATGGCGACCTGCGATGGAGGAAGTATTCAGATCCTTCACTTAGTAAAAGTACTAATATCAGACAGTGAAAATAGAATGATTGTATTATAAAATACATATGAAATGATATTTTAATAATTAAAAGGAGTCTACAAATCTTCACATTTGAGACGTTAGAAACTCATGTTGAAATTACGAGTTTGCTTATTCCTTAATCCTCATTGGTTTGGTTAGTTGCACATTTAAGACTCTGACTTAAAGATTCTCACCCTCGGAGATGCTTTCACCTTCGTTCTGTTGTAATTTGATCCGAGAGGTTTTTAGTCTTGGTGCTTCACTTGTATGCTGCTGCGTTTTTTAGCTTTTAAAGGTCAAACCTTTAGGAAATGTTACCAAATACCATCTTACCGCTTTGTCTCAGGGATTTAAATCACTACCAATCAGACCGTTGAAGTTCATAATTGAGTCTGACACTTTGTTTTGAAGGTCATTTATTGGGAACATTTACCTAAACTGATCTCCTTTCCTCTGCCATCACACTCTTTTATATCTGATTCCCTCTGCGATTCCTCACCCTCACATCCCAACTCTTTCCAGCTGGCATTTTCTTCTACCTTTTACCTTTTTTTTTTTTTCTCCATTCCTCTTCTTTTCCCGCTGCGGATTCTTTCATTCTCGGCCAATTTCTACCACACTATAACCAGATGAATGTGTCTCTCAGGACGAGCAGAGCTCGGTGGCCATGCTGAAGAAGCATCAGATCCTGGAGCAGGCGGTGGAGGACTACGCAGACACCGTCCATCAGCTGTCCAGCACCAGCCGCGGCCTGGTGGCCGCCGAGCACCCTGACAGGTGAGTGGGGGGTCACAGGTCAAGGAATTTGACCTTTTTGAAATTGTGGAGGGAAGCAACGAGTAGACAATTAAGCTAAGCTGAAAATGAAAAACTGGGTCAAAGAAAATAAGGACAGAGCAAGGAGACGAGGAATGAACAGAGAAGTATAGATGAGGAAAAGGATTATAAACTAAATTGACATTTCTTTGTCCCCTTCGTCGCGCAGCGAGCGGATCGGCATGCGTCAGTCTCAGGTGGACAAGCTGTACGCCGGGCTCAAGGACTTGTCGGAGGAGCGTCGGGGGAAGCTGGACGAGCGCTTGCGTCTCTTCCAGCTGAACCGGGAGGTGGACGACTTGGAGCAGTGGATCGCTGAGCGGGAGGTGGTGGCCGGATCCCACGAGCTGGGACAGGACTACGAGCACGTCACCGTGAGACACATTTTGTTGTGCAATGTTTTCTGTTTTTAAAAAAAATCTTGATTTAGTCGAGCCGAGCACTCCAGCGTTCCTTCCAACCGAGCCCAACTTCTTTCCTTCCTTCTTCAGATGCTGCAGGAACGCTTCAGAGAATTTGCCCGCGACACCGGGAACATCGGCCAGGAGCGCGTGGACACCGTCAACCAGCAGGCGGACGAGCTGATCAACACCGGCCACGGCGACGCCGCCACCATCGCCGAGTGGAAGGACGGCCTGAACGAGGCCTGGGCCGACCTGCTGGAGCTCATCGACACCCGGACGCAGATCCTCGCCGCCTCCTTTGAGCTCCACAAGTTCTACCACGACGCCAAGGAGATCCTCCACCGCATCCTGGACAAACACAAGAAGCTGCCGGAGGAGCTGGGCCGCGACCAGAACACGGTGGAGACGCTGCAGAGGATGCACACCACCTTCGAACACGACATCCAGGCCCTGGGAACGCAGGTAGGGGCTCTATTTAAGGACCGGGACGTTATGAATCACAAGCACGACATTGAGCGTCCCTCATCCTCCTCTTTGCTTTCAGGTGCGGCAGCTTCAGGAGGACGCCGTTCGCCTGCAGTCCGCCTACGCTGGAGATAAAGCCGACGACATTCAGAAGCGAGAAGGAGAGGTGAGCTTCAGTCTCGGGCAGCGGTGGACCGCATCAGGACTCGGCCCAGTTTACTTTGAATTGGCTCTAGTACACCTAAATCCTCGGCTGTAACAACGTTCTCTATTTATCTGCAGGTTTCATGTAAACTTTGAAACACCAGCTTGTCTTACTGATTGGATTGAGAGTGAACTGGACCCTGAACTCGTGTTAATGAAGTGTAAACGGCTCGGTTCCTCATGCATGCTGCACTGCTGCTGCATTAACTTTGACTTCTGGATCATACTACAAGAAGTAGATCATTGACACATAGTTCAACTCTTACAGGGCGTGGTCAAAATGCAGGAGACATCATAATAATGTCTCCTTGTTAGTGGTTCTGTACACAGAGGGAACATTGGCAGTCTTATTTTCTGCTCAACATGTTTCTACCTCCTCCTCCGTTTAAAGGTGAAACATACATACATTTTTTAATGATTATTTTATAGCACTCAAGTCTCCAAGAAGTTTTTTTTTTTACCCAGCTCAACCTGTCTGCTGGGGTTAACTCATAACTGAGTTGTGTGAAACACGCCACACTGATATAAAATAAGAGTTTTTAATTTATTCATATGTAATGTACTCAAATCATCTGTTTTTATCCCATGCATATAGGCGTCCGCTACAAGTGCCTCCATACAAAGATGTTTAATGCAATATCCTTTCGCACAAACTCATTGCAAAATCTACATCTGAGAGAAACTTTGGCGAGCAACAATAGTTTAGAGTAGCACCATAAGTGTTGATGATGATCCGCACAGTGTGTGTTATGGCGTTGTGTTTTGACCATTCCCTGTATGTCCATTTCCCTGCATATCCTCCCTGTACACCCAGAGGAGAAAGGGAGAGGTGAGACTCCGTTTACCAAAAACATTGGCTTTGCATCAGTGTTCATTTTGGCTGCAGTTCTAGACTTTGTTATAACAACTGGACTAAAATGTTGATTCATTTTAGTTGTGGCCAAGTCTTTGTCAGAGACGTGGTGATTTGCAAATACTGGTCGAGTTTGTTTTAGAGCTTTTCTTGGTTCACTGAGTGGTGGAGTTATTTTCACATAAATCAACGAGACCTGAAAACAGGAACCTGATGCTGAATAAAAACCATCCAGCTATAAACTCCACACATCTGTGTGTCTGAGGAGGTTAAAACAAACACTGCTAGTGGTTTGCAAGCACGATTTGGTTCTGGTTAATCAGTGGGAAGAAATCAAAATAAACTGCAGAAAGTATTTAGCTTTTCTTAAAATGAGTTTTAAGATACATCTTTAATATCTCACGGCTGAACGCATTGGTGCAATCGAATGTTTTTGTTCTCGTTTGCTTGAATCTAGCTGCTTGTTAACCGGCTGAATGTGGCTTTTAATCCTCTGCAGCCACGTGAACAACGTCTCCGTGCCAGACGGGCCTGTGGCGCAAAATGTGGATTTTTTTTAAGATTCTGTTCAGTGTGGAGAGGATTATCTTTTCTGTGCAGAATTGGCAAAGTCGACATTAAATGCAATGTTTCCTTCTGCAGACATTTTGTAACCAGAACAAACAAAAAGGAGCGAGAGGTTCGCTTAAGCTTCTTGACCGCAATATGTCACACGGCCACAGCCGCTGCCGCACGCTGCATTTAGTGTAAATGTCTGAGCTGGAACTGATTTTGTTCATCACCGAGCCGCCTGATCGAGTGTAAGAAAATATCTAGCAGCTGGCTAACCGTAGTGTTCAGCCTCATTAAGCTATTAGAAGCTAGCATTAGCATGCTAACAGATTCATATGGGTGCTATTTGTCCTGCTGGTTTTAGCACGTGTTAGTTGCTGCTTCAGCTCACGGTTCCGTCATCGCTTGCTGGAGCGGCGATAAACACGTCACCACTTATTGCTGAATTAGTTAGCAAACGGTCTCTGTGACGTCAGACGTGTGGCTCTGAGCAGGTTGATGTCCGTGGCGTCAAAATCTGCAAGAAAGGTGTTTGTGCAAGAATATATATAATCAAATGTGTGGACACTAAATCATCTGGAATGGTTTACAAAACTGCTCACTTTCAGTCTTTTGTTAGATAAATTAAAGCATCCATGTAGGCAGATTGTGCAGCGCTGAAATTGAGCAGGTGGCGATGCAAGCAAACGTAATCAAGTGAATTCACGGAGGCAGGGATTGGCTTTGAGGATAAAGTCCTCCGTCCCAGTATGTTTAATTCCATGGCGCAAGGATAAACTGGTAATGGATCAAATGAAATGGCTGATTCAGCCCTGCTACGCAACATGAGTAACAAAAACGAGCGCTTCATTCTGAAGCTGTAATCTGCACATATGAATGCATTGTTTTTTATTTATTTTATTCCCCCGGGCTGATGTGCTCCCCTGCAGCTCCATTGTGATGGGACTTTGCAACCGTTCTCACCAGTAGTGAAAGTGTCCCCGCAGTTTATATACACAGAATATAAACCCAGTAATAAATTCAGTTTATGATTAAAAACAGCATTGACTCCTTGCTGCTGTTTAGACGGAACCTCTTCTCTAAAACGCACCATCCTGCTGTTCCTTTGTCTTTCGGCAAGGTTTCTTTTTTTGGGGGGGGAAGGTTGAAACGGATCACGTGTGTTGGCGGATCCCTGCCGGTCTGAGCGTTTGTGATGTCGCCCTCCCTCCCTCAGGTCCTCGAGGCCTGGAAGAACCTGCTGGAGGCGGCGGAGGGCCGCCGGGTGAAGCTGGTCGAGACCGGAGACAAGTTCCGCTTCTTCAGCATGGTGCGCGACCTGATGCTGTGGATGGAGGACGTCATCCGCCTGATCGAGGCCCAGGAGAAGCCCAGGTAGGAAGAAATATCAAAGGCCAACGCGTGTGATGAACAGCCGTGAATGATCAACAGATGTTTGTTTTGTATGGAACCGTGTGAGAACGCTGGGGACTGTGGGGTTTTTTGTTTTTTTCCAGGGACGTGTCGTCTGTGGAGCTGCTGATGAACAACCACCAGGGCATCAAGGCGGAGATCGACGCCCGCAACGACAGCTTCACCGCCTGCATCGAGCTGGGCAAAGCCCTGCTGGCCAGGAAGCACTACGCGTCAGAGGAGGTACAGAACGCACACTTTCAAAGGGTCCAAATCGATTTTAGGATGTTTTTTGTCTCGTTTTTGAAAAACTTTTGTCTCCCCGCAGATTAAAGAGAAGTTGTTACAGTTGACGGACAAGAGGAAAGACATGATTGACAAGTGGGAGGACAGATGGGAGTGGCTGCGACTGGGTGAGGCCTTTTAATCTTGTTCCTCATGCAGTCGAGGCTCCGGCCGAACGGAAAGCTGAATGAATTTAGTGTTTGACGTGAAAACGCGCTTGTGTGTGTGTGTGTGTGTTCAGTCCTGGAGGTGCACCAGTTCTCCCGGGACGCCGGTGTGGCCGAGGCCTGGCTGCTGGGTCAGGACCCCTACCTGTTCAGCAGGGAGATGGGCCAGAGCGTGGACGAGGTGGAGAAACTCATCAAGCGCCACGAGGCCTTCGAGAAGTCGGCCGCCACCTGGGAGGAACGCTTCTCCGCTCTGGAGCGGCTGACCACGGTGAGGCGCTCACACGCACTGAATGAAGTGTTTAAAAAGATCTCTTACCTCGGGTTTTCTCCATAGAAAATATGAATACTACGTCTGACGGTGACATCACACCATCAATTCAATCCATCAATTGTTAAACATCAAGTTACAGGCTAAATAATTAGAGAATAAGACAAAATAACAGAGATGAAATGAGCGAGTGGCGTTTAAGGAGCAGTCTGGTGGTTGCTTCGTGCCCGAGGCTCATAGTGTTTGTGTCCAGATGGAGTTATTGGAAGTGCGAAGAATGCAAGAGGAAGAAGAGAAGAGGAGACAACCTCCGCCCACTGAGGCTCAGCCCGGCGACGCTGCAGCTCAGCACAGGTCAGCGTGCGTCGATTCTCTTAAAAGAGGGAAATTGGTGCATATGAGTAGAAAGTTCACGACAGACGGTTGTGTTGTGAACCAAATTTAGCAGTAGATAATATTTTGTTGTACAAAATAATGGATTGGCCAATAGAAAAAGCCACAGCGGTGTGTGTGACCCGTTGTGTACTTTGTGTGTTTGCAGGGAGGGCGAGCTGGTGTCTCAGAACGGGCTGCCGTCCGATCAGGAGTCTACCAGGGTTAGTTACCGCTCACCTGCCTACCAACAATACAGCAGCATCCTGCAGAACCGCAGGCCCGCCGCACCCTGACACACACACACACACGCGCGCGCTAACGATGTGTACATTCCACACACTCAACATTAACCTTTGACCTCGCAGAGGAATGTCCTGGACCGGGTTTGTTTTATCCGTCCTCACACACATTAATGTTCCTGTGTGTCACTTTGTCTTCATCATTTATAGTTTGCTTCTTCTGATTAATGTTCTTTATTCACATGCAATCATTTTATCTTTGTTTTGAGGTACGAGATGTGAGATAAGTTAAAACCTCCTTTAGAGGAACAGAGGACAGGAAGCAGTGGGACTGATGGGAACTGTAGTCTTAATATGGAGACATTAGAAAACTAATAGTGTGAGCGGACTGATCAAAGCTCACAAGCTGTCATTACATGAGAACATTCTGATGATGATAATTAAGTCTACATATTTTAGATTGTAACTGCAGGTTGTGTTAAAGTTGTGTTTGGATTTGGTGCTTCTGTTTAAATGCATCATTTGTGTTTTTAGTTTCAGGTTATTTATAATCATGTGCTTCAAATACAAAAACAGAGAAGATCTCAGATTTCAGGATACCAGCAACAATGTTTGATAAGATATTTAAAATGATATTCATGTATGATAAGAACACTCTGCACATAAGAAGAATAGTCTTTAGGATTCTGAGACTTAAAATAGTGCATGAAACAGAACCAGGTGGACACACACGACGGTGATTCGTCTTTTGGGGGAAAAACCAATCTCCGTTCCTTAAAAGTGCCCCACATTCCTTCTACGTGCTTAATGAGTTCAAATAAATACTTTAAAAATAGACCCGATGGACCAAAGTAAAACTTTAAATCGTGCTGGTTTCCACTTTTCAACAGCGGAGCCGGATGTGACGGATGTAAACAGTCATTTTAGGGATTTAAACGTTTGGATTTTGAGACATTAAGCAAATGCATTTTCCTTTTGATAAGAGTGTGACTGCATAGGTGGTGAATGGGACCACACACACACACACACACACACACACACACACACACACACACACACACACACACACACACACACACACACACAGCAGCCCCTCACTTTCTCTTTCTCCTTCCTCCCTTCTCCCCCTGTCTCTCTCAGTTTGACACCCCCGCCCTCCTCTCCCCTCAGCTGTTGGTGTTGCTGCTACTTTATGTTGTCATTTATAAACTCACCCTCTGGAATATGAACACCTGAAAAGTCCACCGACAAAACACACAACCCCCACTACACAACCTGCCTTCAGAGGCTTTAATAGGAATTTACAGTATATTTGTAGTATTTTATAGCTTATATTTATAGCAGAATGTTTGTGATGTGGTCGTCATAGTGACACATAAATACAGAGCTGAAACTTCACATAAAGCGACAGACGAAATATAAAGCATGCATTCAAAATAAAAGTTAAATGTAGTAAAATGATGTCTTAATCGTGTTAAAATGAAGTAAAATGAATTTTAGCTACTACAGGTTTAGTTTGATAAGTAACTATTCATATGGGATTAATGCGATAAATCAGATATTTGAAGAGTTCCTTTTAAGAGGCTACTTTACTGTTTTTGCAGGGAACCCTTTTCCAAAGCAAGACTCAAATATCTACTTTACCCTTTTGTGTGTCTACATCCCACAACCCAAATTCACCAACTCCATATGTTACGTATTCATAGAGTGCAGTATGTGTACCACCATGTCTTCTAACATACATACAACATACTACATGTAAAGTACCACCACGTCTTCGGATAGGTCTGTCTGACGCGCACCTTCTTCCAGTCTTGGTCCCCCCTGCGTTCCCCTGCTTGCAGGAATAATCCACCGACACGCTCTTTGAGTGGTTGATCTTGTGGTTTATTTTGCCTTTATAATGTTTGTTCGGAGCAGAACCCGCTCTCTCGTATTGCCATAGCGGTCAAAACCCTTTCGCTCTCCGGGTCCAACACCTGATACCAATCGTTACATCATCAATTATATAGATGCACACAGGACCCAAGAACAGCGGCCCCCAGTGTACAGAATAAAATGGCCGTTTGGGCTCCTACACTACATGTGAAGTACCAACTAACAGAACGCTGCTCTGAAGGGGATTTCACTTTTTTAACCTAAATAGTTTTCAAATCCACTCGACAGAAACATTTTACCACGATAAGAACAACTCATTTAACAGGAGAAATCCTGTTGTTTTCGCTCTTTGTTTTTCTTCTTTCACCTCTGCGTTTATTACTTTAACGTCATTCACTATTGAATACTAAAAAGGAAAATCAATAACGCACATTCCTTTTTGAATTCCTGTAAAACTGATCCTTCATATAAAGGCATTTAGAGGTGTCCCATGATGTGTGTGTGTGTGTGTGTGTGTGTGTGTACCTACTCCATCCTTCCCTCTGAATCTACTCTTACGATCTTTAGTCTGTTTTGTATTTAGCTTATGATCAATGTTTCCATTGTGTACCGCTGTAACTTCTTTATTTTTATCCTCACCATGTCTGTTGCACGTCCATCCAGCCCCGTCATTGGTTCCCTGACTAACACACATTCCCTAATAAACCTTGTCAGAACCAATCGGATCACTCAGACCTTTTCCAGTCTGTCTGTCTGTGTCATCGATGTGTAGTTGTGACTTTTTCTGCCCACACAGTTGTGTTTGTTGTTGCATGCTGTCACCATCAAGAGCATTTCAGTTGAGTTTTCTGTCATTGTTGTTGTTGTTCTTCATCCCATGTTCTTCACCCTGGGGCTTTATTTTAAACCGTGCATAGATATTTTGGTTTCCATAGAAGGCTTTTTTTGTGGATCAAAAATCAATCAATACAATTAACACAAAGTTCAAATAAGGATTTAGAGAGCCATGAAAATACTTACGCATTAGTTGCATTTTCTTTGTTTCCCAAATAGTGAACTAAATTGATGTTGAAAAACATTGGGAAGTTTAATTGTTTCACAAAATATTTCCATTATTTTACCAAAGATTCTTGGAATAAGAAAGTAACTACAAATAGTTGTTGCGGTTTCCTACCAAATGTTATTATGACATTTATTAAGTCTTCTAGTTAAAAAGTGTTGTTTGAATAAAAATAAAAATAACGTAGAAATATACTTATGTTAGTTCAAATTAGGTATAATACCGGACAGACTTTTTTATTTATGGAAATACCATTTGGGAAATCCAACAAATTATCAGAAATATGATCAGAGAAATAATTCTTCACCTCAAGCTGCAAGTGAAATCATCTCACGGTAATTCAATACAGCTCTGAAATGAATCCGGGACGATAAATTCACAAGACCAGGATTAATCTGTACAAAGTCGGCCCCGCCTTACTCGTCTAATCTGATTTAAAAGTCAAATCCTTAAAAAGTGAAATAATCATAGTTGACTTTTTTCATCGTTTCATAGATGAAATGACAAAATTCAGAATTTTTAGCAGCTTGCCCAGGAAGCTCCAGCGCTTAGACCCGGCCCGTTTCCTGACCCTCCTGCAGCGAGAGGTCCGACATTAAAGAAGCCACTAAAATCAATCTGTGTACCTCTGATAAGCTGTGAGATTCCTAATACCTCATGACGCGATCGATAAACACTAAACCAGAGCTCCCAGGACCGACTGCTTCAGCCCCCCCGGTTAAAGCTCCCAGGATCGGCCCCCCGCCTCCGATCTGTGCTCAAAAAGAGTGTCCACGTCGGTCCGGCCCCCCGAGGAGCTCGGTAACAGGGTAATAAGCATCCGGTTGGAGTGGGTGTGGTGTGGAAAAATAAAACCTCTTGATACCAGGCCAATCGCATCCTCCCCTCACCAATAATTCTGCCCCGTAATGACTTCCAAGCAATTCTTTTGCTAATTGTTTGAGATTTTTTTGAATTTTTTTTTTGCTGGCTTCTCCCCTCCTTGTCTTGTGTGTTGTGATCTACTGTGCATGTCCTTAAACCTGTAATCGGCGCATGATCGGACTGTGTGACTCGCTCTGCTCTGACTCTGCAATCCAGATGTTTTTTCTAATCCGGCGCTGAGCTCCATTAATTAAACGCTTAAACAACAAACGCTGATGAATGCGCTGGTTGTAAGAGCCGTCGTGGTTTAGAGACTTGAGTCAGAGACCAAACGCGTTTAGGGGCTCCAGGCTTCACTTTAGGAAAACCAACTGTTAACTACAACGTTTTAGGATTTACCTGGAAGTTCAGCCTTTACAATACGAATACTTGAATGAGACGTACTACAAACCCACCGGGGGACCGGTTGGGATCCATGCAGGAGCACTGGTTGGTGTGAAAATAATGAGGCCATCATGTCTGGTGACCTTGCATGGAACCATGAAGACACCAAGGTGCTTCGTAGATATCGGACAGCTTAATCTGTCCTCGTCCAGATTAGACTTGCAGGGACATTTGGTTGCATTTGTGTCTACTGATCTACGTCTTTCTCAATGTTTGCAATTTAAGTTAAGAGAATCCAGATCCGTAAGGTCGTAAAGGTCGGCAGATAATAAATAAAACGCCACGTGAGGTTCGGTCCGTGTCCTCGCAGCGAGTGATTCCGCTCTGCTCTGCATGCTGCAGCTCTGGTGTGATTTACAGCTTCTGTGTCCTGTGAGCGAGAGAGAGAGAGAGACGCCTCCATCCGTCCTCCGTCCTCTCCTGACTGTCCCCTCTCCCCCTTGTTTCCAGGACAACGTGGACGGCGGGGAGGCGGTGAACGGGACGTCGGAGCCGAGCCCCTCGGGGTCTCCCGGGGGGTCTCGCAAGGGCAAGGCCAGCCAGGCGGCGACCCTGCCGGCCAAGTCCCAGGCGGAGGCCCCCACGTCCCAGCTGGAGGGCTTCCTGCACCGCAAACACGAGTGGGAGGGACACAACAAGAAGGCTTCCAGCAGGTGGGGGACGTTTGGGGACTTTATGAAGAATAAAAAGCCCGTTTTCTAAGCATTAAAACCCTGATCGGCGGTCCGTCTGTGTCCCTGCAGGTCGTGGCACAACGTGTACTGTGTGATCAACCAGCAGGAGATGGGCTTCTACAAGGATCAGAAGAGCGCCGGTCAGGGGATTCCCTACCACAGCGAGATCCCCGTCACCCTGAAGGACGCCATCTGCGAGGTGGCGCTGGACTACAAGAAGAAGAAACACGTCTTCAAGCTCAAGTGAGAATCTTTTTTTTAAGCAGGACAAAGAATATTCGTTCAAATAATGCATTGGACTGATTTATTTCGTTAGCGTTACGTTAGCACGGGTCAGAATGTTCTGCTAACATTCTTCGTCCTGCAGCACAAACACACTCCTCAATCCCTTCATACATGCACTTATTGATTACTAATTATTGTTTAATGCATCTTCTCCCACAGGATCACTGATGGGAATGAGTATCTCTTCCAAGCCAAAGATGACGTGAGTAAAGAATTTTTAACAGTCTTACTATTCATTTCTGTAATCGTTTTATTGCTATTTCTTTTCATTTAACATGTTAAAACAATTTGATCGATTTTGTTTATTTAACTTCTTTGTAGGTTTTCCAAATTGTATTTGTGCCTTTTATTTATTTTTCCTTTTTAATTATTAATTTATTTAGATACCTCAGCTACACTTACATTTCAGTTTCTATAGCAAATCATTATGTCTTAATTCATGTATTTCTAAGTAAACTATAAGAGGAGACCTGTCAACAAAGTTGAAATTATATACATTTGAGGGGCAAAGTTATAATAGGTCACAAATATTGTGCAATATTCAAGAGTCAAAAGAGTTTATGAGTTTAAGTTAAAGAGTTTATATAATAAATTCAGGGGACTTAAAGTAAATGGTCACGTCTCCATAGCAACAGCTGTTCTCCCTGTGCTCGCCACTGTTAAGCCCCGCCTTCCTCTCTCCGTCCTCCAGGAGGAGATGAACACGTGGTTATCGGCCATCTCGACCGCCATGACGGGCGAGAAGTCGGAGGTGACTCCCAGCAGCCACAGCACGCCGGCCCCGGCCGCACGCGCTCAGACGCTGCCGGCCTCCGTCGCCGCGGCAGCAGAGTCCAGCCCGGGCAAACGAGAGAAAGACAAGGAGAAACGCTTCAGTCTGTTCAGCAAGAAGAAGTAGACGCTCCTTCTTCCCCCCCCCTCATCCTCCTCTTCCTCATTCCTCTGGTGCTGTTTGGGGTCGCTCCTCATTATCGATCCATCTCTTGTCAAATATTAGTGGAAGACGTCCGTGTCGATTGAGCGAATACTATATTTAGTCAGCTCGTAGCAACCGGTACTGTAATAACTAAAAACAAATAGATTAACCGCTCCACGTGTAGTTAAATTTACTTCTAAATGGATTCAAATGTGCTCAAAACTGTTAAAAGTCTGTTATTTACGTGATAATATAAAAAAATAACACAGTGAGCCGATGAGGAAAAAGATCCTTTGATGATCTGGACGGTTGATACGACGGTTCCAACATAATCAGTTGCTACGTCAAATGAAATCCCAAACAGCCTCCTTCTCTCTTTCTCTACCTTCTACTTCTTTCTTTCTTCCTCCTCCTCCTCCTCTTCCTCTCTGAAAGCGTGACTCCAGCATGCAAGCTCCGAGCCAAAACTCTCCACTCTGTGCCTATCAACCGCCCGGTCCGGCTCAGAGCGTCAGTACAGCTACAAACACACCAACCTGTGTCCTCTGAGCAAACGAAAAAAGGTCGGATTGAATGAAAACAAATGCTAAAATAAAAGGGGCCCGCGAACGCTTTAGATTGAGTTTGCCGCTGAACAACAACACGCTGTAGAGGATTTCCCCCAATATTCCCGTTTATTATTCTTATTGCTATTATTTGTGTTTTCTATCTGCTTCTGCTTCCCCGTCATCCCAGCTTCTCATCGACTGCTGCCTTTCTGCGTTGTGTTTGAGCTCCCAAGTCGTCTCAGTTCCATCCGTTGGGTTTTTGTTTCTTTTGGGAAGTTGTAGTTAGTTCCTGGTAGGATCCATCCTCAGTTTTTGCGAGGCTTTGTCTTTGCAAGATGACGTGTATCCCTCTGTAGTGGGGAAGACCACAGCGGGGTAATCCTCTGAAATTACACCTCACAAGTTTTTAATTTCAGCTAAAATGCCTAAAACAATGTAAAAAGTGCCGAATATGTGGAGAAAGCAGTACAAACTTTAAAGAGTTCAAAGTACAAAATAAGAGCACCCCGGGCTGCAATCTGTGCACTGAATAACTCAATTTTTGCAATAAAACGTGAAACGCTTATTGTCATCACTATGTTCTGGTGAGTTCTGGTGCTGGCTAATTCCTGCAGCGTGTAGTGGCTGTAATTTGGAGAGTTACCCTGCGGTGCTTTGAATTGTATGTATAACTTGTGTATAACAAACTGTTGAAAAATAAACCTGTGTTTTAATTTCACTTATATTTACTGCTAATAAGACGTACAAACCGTAATAAGCTTCATTTGATTATAAAGTTCTTTACTTTAACACATCTGAATGAAGGAGCTATTGAGCCTCTGTGGGGGAATAAATAATTAAAGACCAGTAAGAATGTTTGTGAACTCAAACGTTTATGTATCCAGTAAGATTTGTTTGATCCCTGGTTGCATTTTTAAAAAACATTAAATTCCACCTTTTTTTAGTTTTTTTTCCCTCCACAATGTTTTTTTCTGTTTCCCAGTTAAACTGTCTTAAGGTTTATTTAGTCCGAGTATGGAGACATAGATGTACTATAAAAAACACATTACTTTAAGCATTGCTGTTAAGTGGACAAGTTGCTCCTAAAAAGCGTTTACTGGAAGTGAGAAATGTTGCAGAATAATGGTCGCTTGCTTGTTGGCTTCAGCGCTCCGTTTTTATTTATCAGACTTTTGCCGCCAATGAAGAGAAAACCTCTGAGTTACTTGTACGGTTCGCTTCACGCGGAAGTTCTTTGGTGACAAAATGAAGACGAGATTTGCACTGTAAACATCTGCTGGTTGAGATCTGAGAGCATGCAGAAGCAGATCTGTTGGCATGATTTTAAAGAACAGAACTTTCATCAATGTGTCGAGACGTCCACATGTGAACAGCCTTCCTGACGCATGTGACGGTTAAATGAGCATGCTGGAGTTTGTCTCTGCCTACTTTGAAAAATAGAGAACTTTAACAGCCTGATCTGGTTGTTTTCTCCACAAAATCTGCCCAAACTGATTTAAGCTTGAATTTGTTTTGTGCGCTCTGTAATTTTGTCATTAATTAACTTCCATTCCTTTTTTGGAAGCAAAAACCGCAGGACCGAGCCCCCAAAGAGGTAAATGTGGGTGCGTTTGTTTTGCCACCCAGCTGGCGGTGGGGTTGCTCTGGTTTGTTGGTGGAACACCTGAAGTAACAGAAACTCTTCACTTGATGGTTGCTGTTGAAATGCTTCCTGTTCTTCATTTTCTTTACGCTACATTCTCCGGCGGTTTGATAAGTATCGTGCGCATTCCTCTGTCACTGTAACCATAGTAATGAGATATTTCTTCATATTGCACAATCAGTAATGCCACAATAGGGGTGGGCGGGACCGGGGTGGGTGGAGCCGGGGCTGTTGTAGGTGAGGTAGTCGCTGTGATGTGAACTAGGGGTCACTGCTAGTTGGATCTGCACCCGTAGACTTCTCCCGATCTGTTACATATGTGCAAAAAGCCATTAAAATGCTTTTAAAATGAACCAAACGTATGGTCCCTCTCTCTCGTGTGTGTGTGTGTGTGTGTGTGTGTGTGTGTGTGTGTGTGTGTGTGTGTGTGTGTCATAGATACAACTGAAGCAGCAAATGTCAGTCTTTCTCCCCCAAGATTCCAGACTTGTTTCAGTGAAGAGTCATTCAGCTGTTTTTTGGTGCTTTATTCTCAAGATGGTGCAAAAGGACCAGAGGATCTCAGATGAGGTTCAGAAAACAGTTTCAGCTCCAAACACGAGGGAGGAACATAATTTATTCTCTGCGTTCAGAAACAGGAAGTTTGATTCTGGCCTTTGAATTAACAATCGGGTAAATTGGATATTTTTTCTACTTCAGGATACACGGTGGCTTTTTCAAGACATTCTTTCTACAACATCATTTGTATGACTTTTGAGATATTCTCATGCGTTTTCATGTTAATTCTAAGCTGTTTGAAGCATCACATCAGATCTCTTCTCACTTACAGACAGCCGCCGTGTGTCTAATCAAATATTTATATATAATTAATGAAATAAATGAAGGCATAACTGCAGAAACTTGTGCTTGCCACATCTCATTTCCTGCAATAATCCATAGGGAAATGAAAAGTGTCTGTATGCAAGCAGGCAGGTTTTACTGGCTATTCTTACCCACAATCCTTTGCACAGCAGATAAATGAGCCAGGGTTCAAGCTCACAAGTTATGAGGAAGTAGTATGCCCCAGTTTGTCCTAAAGGTAAAGGATTTGGCCTGCCGCTTAAGACTGATACGTGGGTAAGTTGTCCCACTCCGACCGGTTCAACCAGATCATCAGAGTGGAATGAAGAATAGAAACTCTCAGGTCAGACTCTTGTCTGTTGTGAATGTTTTCATTCAATATAAACTCTTCACAACATTTGTTACAAAGGTTTCTGCTTCATCATCTGTTCCCTACTAGTCTACATGTAAAGGAAGACCAGGTGACAAAGAGGGGCGTGCACAGGTCCTCTGAACTATCTGGTCCAAACAACAGCATCCAGTCTGTTGTCATGGCAACTCTTTACAAGGTGAAATAATTTTTCCACAAATGCTGATTTTGATCCTGAAAGATGTTGTTTGAGGAGTGAGGAGGATTCTGTTCATGAGGAACTTTTAAGTCTGTGAGCAAAGCTCAGACCGAGACTCAGTCAACCAGTCGTACTGCATACTTTGGTGACGTGAGGACACACACTGTCTCTGACGAAGGACAACAAGCGTCACTTCACTTCGTCTGATAGAAGTTGAAGTGAAGCACGGAGCTCCTTTTCTACACGGACCTGCTGAGGACAGAAGAGAGCTGCACACTGAGGAGGTTCATGTCTACACACTCAGTAAGTGTAGTTTTGTTGAATGACATCATTGATGGTTGTGAACGTGTGATTGTTTAAAGCTGCTTTTAAAAACCTCAGCTGGGAAACAAGATGGCGCCTGTGTGAGCAGGCAGAGAGAAACGGCTGTTTTTTGAATGATGACAATTTAATGATATGAGATTTGCTCAGTCTGATCTGGGGTCTGTAAAGCCTGTTACCGATGAGGAGGGGAAAGTAGCAGCCGGAGGGGCACTAGGACCCAGCAGGGAACAGAGCTCACCTGGGCCTTTGTTCCTGCACTGAAAACACACCTGAGAGACGCTCCGTTTGCTCTCACCCGCTGATTTAACCCTTTAAGTCACTTACAATCTGAAAGTGAAGAAAAGATTTGAATCTCAAAATAAAATCTGCAACTGAAAAATAAAGACCGCAAATATCAACATATATAAGTATATCATGAATGAAATGGAATATTTTATTCAAAACAATGCTATAGTTAGTAAGTTAGAGTTCACCCCAAATACTTTTTATTCACTTATTTTTATTTTTAATACAGTGTTGTATTTTTCACCATTCAAGACGAAAACTCAAACTTTCAGGTTCTATTTTTGTTTTCAAATGATGACAAACCTTTGAATGAATGAAACCTTTGTCCTGGTCCCATATGAGTACAAAAAGCTTTAAAGCTTCAAACTGATTTTGTAAATGTTCATACTGTGGTAATGTGTTTTCTTTAGTGTTTGGTTTTTATCTCATTGATTACTAGCTGATCACTCACGTTACCATGGTAACTACAGTGTTTCGTATCACGACAGCAAAATGTGATCTTACTTGTCTACGTTTTACTGACTCTGGACTCTGAAGGGAGATCAAGAGAAGAAACAGCACAGCTCCATCTGCTGGAAGTTGATTGATTACATTCATCTTGTGAAACATTACATTTATAGGATGAGTATTTAGATCTACGTCTCTTGGCATGTTAACAGCGTTTAAAAGCGGGACAAGGGAAGTTTATCTTTCTCCATAAATCTAAACTTTAACAGACAGAAGACAACAACACACAAAGTGTCCTGTAAGTGTTTTAATATTGAGTGGAATGAGCTGTGTGTGTTTTTGTCGTGATTAAGAGAAATATTGTGTGCGCTCTCCCAGCAGGCTGTTGTGAAGGTGTGTAGGTGTGGACTCTGCTATGAATCAGATTTGGTCTGAGAGGACCGAGGGGCTTCAGAAGGAGTTATTCCATCCGAAGCCCCTGAGTGGGGAAGATGACAACCAGTCCAAGGCTCAGAGGTGAGATGTCTCTCTCTGACTGTCCTCCACTCTTCTCCATGTCCCAACATCTTTGATTCACTGACTCTGGTTCTACATGTGTGACCAGGATCCATCAGGGACCACAACCTGGACCTGGTCTTGAATCTGGACCTGAACCCAGCTGTGTCTCCATGAAGAGTAGCAAGTCTATTGATCCTCTTCTAAACTTCAAAGATGACCATCACGCTGTTCATGCAAGGTGAGGATCTCAGGCAGATGATGAAAGCAAAGTGATGAAGTGTTTCTATCAGGAGGTTGTGGGTGCCTTGCTCCAGGGCCCTTCAGCAGTGTACATTGAGGGCGGAGAGCTCCATGGAGGACTTGGTGAGACCTGTTGGGACTAAACCAAACTGATTGATGAAGAAACACTGAGTTAAAAGACTGAGCTGTTGATTCTCAGTGGGATCAGCAGGACCAGTAGACCTAAACCACTACAGGGAGTCATGTGGTCCACATCCAGACATCACTTCATGGATCTTTACCTTGTTTTGTTCTCTGTGAGGACGGACACCATGTGAGCTGATGCTTCATGATTAGATGATGTAATCTCATTGTTTCTTTCAGAAGACAGTCTCCTGAACCCAGCTGTGTGTCCGTGAAGAGTGATTGGTGTAAAGATGTTCTGAATTACTTCAAATATCGACGCCGTTCTTATGACCCAAAGTAAGTTCTTAAACAGATGAAGAATTGTTCTGATCCTCAGTCATGAATTACAGAAATGTTTGGATTAGTTTTTTCATGGCGAATAATCATGACAGAGCTCATTATCTAACTGGTCTGTATGTGTTTAAGTGTAAAACATTAACTGCAACTGTAAACATAATATGAGCTGATTCCTCCACAGAGAGAACCAGAAGAGCTCAGAGGTTCCCAGAGGTCAGTCTGCCCAGCAGCAGTCAACACAACTGGACTCCATATTTATGGTGTGTTTACTTACAACTACTTTTACATCTCTAAAATCTCCTTTTTCCCCCCTTACCCCGGCCGGAGGTGAAGAGTCAAAAAAAATCAACTGGCTTAGGTTTTAAAAATAATTTAATGACTAACAGAAGCCATATAATTACAAAGTGAAATATAGTATGAATAGTATAGTTTTCACAAAACAGAAGTTCCGTGGACCAGTCTCATATGACCATCACTGACCCGCGAAACCTGCGAATTTCTACTGCTACGCATGCTCTTCTGCTTAAATCCCTAACAATTCACAATCATCTCCATGCTGGACTGTGTAGACCAGTGGATTATCACTCTTTCCAACATGGACCTGATGTTTGTTTTCATGGTTTTAGTTTGTTTCATTCATAGAATATTCTGTTCTAGCTGCTGGAGGAGAACATCCTCACGTTTGTGAAGAACGAGCTGAAGAAGATCCAGAAGGTTGTGAGTTCAGGTTACCCAGAATGCTTAGAGAGTCAGAGGGAGGATGAGGAGACACTGGGTGGTGAGGATGAAGAGCAGAGGAGGAGCAGAGACGCATTTGTGAAGATCTCATTACACTTCCTGAGGAGAATGAAGCAGGAGAAGCTGGCTGACTGTCTGCAGAGAAGTAAGAGGATTTCTCTACAGACTTACCATGATGATAAACGAGACCTTCATATTGTCTCAAGAGATGGACCAGAATATATTCGAGTCATTCTTTAAGGAAAGGACATGTTAAAATATATTCTTTGACCTAATTTTTTGTCTTCATTTAGGACTTCTTGCTGCAGTTTGTCAGCGTGAACTCAAATCCAACCTGAAGAAGAAGTTCCAGTGTGTGTTTGAGGGGATCGCTAAAGCAGGGAACCCAACCCTTCTGAATGAGATCTACACAGAGCTCTACATCACAGAGGGAGGGACTGCAGAGGTCAATAAAGAACATGAGGTCAGACAGATTGAAACAGCATCCAGGAAACCACACAGAACAGAAAGAACTATCAGGCAAGAAGACCTCTTTAAAGCCTCAGCTGGAGGAGAGGAACCAATCAGAACAGTGATGACTAAGGGAGTGGCTGGCATTGGGAAAACAGTCTTAACACAGAAGTTTGCTCTGGACTGGGCTGAAGACAAAGACCACCAGGACATACAGTTCACATTTCCATTCACCTTCAGAGGGCTGAATGTGCTGAGAGAGAAGAAGTTCAGCTTGGTGGATCTTGTTCATCACTTCTTCAGAGAGACCAAAGCAGCAGGAATCTGCAGGTTTGAAGAGTTCCAGGTCGTGTTCATCTTTGACGGTCTGGATGAGTGTCGACTTCCTCTGGACTTCCACAGCAATGAGATCCTGACTGATGTCACAGAGTCGGCCTCAGTGGATGTGCTCCTCACAAACCTCATCAGGGGGACGCTGCTTCCCTCTGCTCGCCTCTGGATCACCACACGACCTGCAGCAGCCAATCAGATCCCTCCTGAGTGTGTTGGCATGGTGACAGAGGTCAGAGGGTTCACCAACCCCCAGAAGGAGGAGTACTTCAGGAAGAAGTTTAGAAATGAGGAGCAGGCCAGTAGGATCATCTCTCACATCAAGACCTCACGAAGCCTCCACATCATGTGCCACATCCCAGTCTTCTGCTGGATCACTGCTACAGTTTTGGAGGAGGAGTTGAAGACCAGAGAGGGAGGAGAGCTTCCCAAGAGCCTGACTGAGATGTACATCCACTTCCTGGTGGTTCAGTCCAAAGTGAGGAAGGTCAAGTACGATGGAGGAGCTGAGACGGATCCAGACTGGAATGAGGATAGTAGGAAGATGATCGAGTATCTGGGAAAACTGGCCTTTGATCAGCTGCAGAAAGGCAACCTAATCTTCTATGAATCCGACCTGACAGAGTGTGGCATCGATATCAGAGCAGCCTCAGTGTACTCAGGAGTGTTCACTCAGATCTTTAGAGAGGAGAGAGGACTGTACCAGGACAAGGTGTTCTGCTTCGTACATCTGAGTGTTCAGGAGTTTTTGGCTGCTCTTCATGTCCATCTGACCTTCATCAACTCTGGTGTCAATCTTCTGTCAGAAGAACAGACAACCTCGCTGGTGTCTAAAGTCTTTAGAGACCAACCAAAGCGTCTCTACCAGAGTGCTGTGGACAAAGCCTTACAGAGTCCTAATGGACACCTGGACTTGGTCCTCCGCTTCCTCTTGGGTCTTTCACTGGAGACCAATCAGACTCTCCTACGAGGTCTGCTGACACAGACACAAAGTCACCCACGGACCAATCAGAAAACAGTCCAGTACATCAAGGAGAAGATCAGCGAGAATGTGTCGTCAGAGAAAAGCATCAATCTGTTCCACTGCCTGAATGAACTGAAGGATGGTTCTCTAGTGGAGGAGATCCAAGCGTCCCTTAGTTCAGGACGTCTCTCCACAGATGAACTGTCTCCTGCTCAGTGGTCAGCTCTGGTCTTCTACTTACTGTTATCAGAAGAAGATCTGGACGTGTTTGACCTGAAGAAATACATTGCTTCAGAGGAGGCGCTTCTGAGGCTGCTGCCAGTGGTCAAAGCCTCCAACAAAGCTTTGTAAGTACAGAGGGAGATAGATTCATACATCATAACCTCAATATGCTGATATATTTTCTCCTTTTTGCCTGTTCTTAATCCATATTGTCTTTAGACTGGACGGCTGTAACCTCTCAGAGAGAAGCTGTGAAGCTCTGTCTTCAGTTCTCAGCTCCCAGTCCTCTAGTCTGAGAGAGCTGGATCTGAGTAACAACAATCTGCAGGATTCAGGGGAGAAGCTGCTATCTGCTGGACTGGAGAGTCCACACTGTGAACTGGAGATTCTCAGGTTAGGATTCAATTAATTGAATTGAAACCAGTCAGTAACAATGCTAATGTGACCCCTCAGTAGGCGGCAGTATCTCAGTACTGCAGTGACCTTACAGCCCTCACGGCTCCCTCAGATCATGTGACTTGTCTGCTGTTTTGTGTCTTCACAGGCTGTCAGGCTGTATGATCACAGAGGAAGGCTGTGCTCATCTGATCTCAGCTCTGCGCTCCAACCCCTCCCATCTGAGAGAGCTGGACCTCAGCTACAATCATCCAGGAGAGTCAGCAGTGAATCTCCTGTCTGCTGGACTGGAGGATCCACGCTGGAGACTGGAAACTCTCAGGTATGAAGAGGCTTCCAGCAGCCACAGACAATCAGTCTGACACTCTTCAAACTGTTTGTGTCCCACATCAGATCATCAATACAGACAGTAGTGAGGGAACAGTAGCCAGGATGAGCCAAAACAGGGAGGAAGGTGATAAAAGACTTGTATCTCTGAAGCCTTGTCTGGTTTCCACGTTATATGAGATGACAGTGGTGTATCCTAACACGTTGACAGGCATCACAGAGTGTTGATATCAGTCAATGTAGTCACGCTGCAGGTTTGTGGGCTCTCATCAAACAACAGCTTGGACACTCGTTATCTGCCTCCAGTGTTTCGTCCTTTAGTCCAGAAATTATTACTAAAAGACAGTCAAATAAACTGTTAATAATCTGTTAAAACATTCTTGATGGATCATCACACAAGGAATATTTGGTCTTTTAAAGGAGAACAGCTTTACAAGGGTTTGGTTGCTTTGCACATAGAGCCAGTTCCCTGATGTGAATTGCAGTGTCACAGACCCTTTCTACTTCCAACCCACCCTGATTTCAAGCTACTTTTTCTTTTACTTAAGAGAGACAGTCATCATTACATATACACAAAATGTTGCTTATTACACAAGCACAAAAGTTTGCTTGCTAGGGCCAAAACATCCAACAATCAATACTTCAATACTGACCACGGCCACTGTGTAATGGTGAATAATTGTGTGGTGAAGATGAACTTATAGAGAATAGTCTGCATCTCATCAGCTGGCGAGCCAGCATGTTGATGTGTAACTGCTGGATGTGGAAGCAGCTGGTCGATATCATGTTAGACAGAAATACTTTAGAAGATAATGATGTGTCACATGTTGTGTTTGCAGCTTGTTTTCACTGAACCCCGAGTGGACAAAGACATCAAAGGTTTAAACTAGGGGTGTCAGCAGATTAAAAAAAATTAACCTATCAATCACACATTTTGTAATTCATTCCGCTGGCCTCGTGCACTTTACTCTCAACTTTTCAGCGTTTGACGGCTGTGACAGTTCGCCGCTCTATTTCCTACCTCTTTTTGTTTTACTTCCAATGCAAAAAGCTCTTTACATCTTCAGCTACTGTCTTTCTTTCTCCGGTGTGACTGACTGCAGTCAGCGGCGGCTTCATTTCCGCGGTCAAATCTGTTTACTTCGGGCACACCAGAAGACCGAAAGTAAACAAAGTTGCTTTAACTCCGTTCAATATTTTATTGCATTAATCTCGGCCACATTAATCGCATAAATTAACAGGTTAATGTTGACAGCCCTAGTTTAAACATTTGATTTACTGACTGACTGGTGAAGTAAACTGAGTATGAAATTGAAGATGATTGTCAATATAATACTGATATTAATAGATCATGAATAAGTGAACATAATGAGCTGTGGTCATCGGCCAATCAGAAGAAGCTCCACTGCAGTAGAAGAAGAAGAGGTGGTCCATGTGAACACGGATAACAAAGCTGTGTGTATGAGAGTGATGTAATGTCCATGTCTCCATGCTGCTCTGACCTCTTCTCCTCCTTTCAGGTTGGAGCCTGCTGGAGCCCGATGGTTGAGACCAGGTCTGAGGAAGTGTAAGTGTGCTTTGAATTTGATTTGATAAAGATTCAGCCATCTTCACACTGTGACATCACTCATTCACCTCTCTGATGTCATCATCAAAGGGTCAGTAGATGAACACATGATTAGTAACTGCAGCTGTGTTGTATTTTGTTCTCTTTCTCAGATTCTTGTGAACTCACACTCGACACAAACACAGTAAACAGACGACTCAAACTGTCTGACAACAACAGGAAGGTGACATATGTGGAGGAGGAGTATCAGTTGTATCCTGATCATCCAGACAGATTTGACCACTCATCTCAGCTGCTGTGTAGAACTGGTCTCACTGGTCGCTGTTACTGGGAGGTCGAGTGGAGAGGTGGAGTTTATGTATCAGTGAGTTACAGAGGAATCAGGAGGAAAGGATGCAGGGGAGAGTGTTGGTTTGGAAGAAATGATCAGTCCTGGAGTCTGAGATGCTCTCATGAAGGTTACTATGTCCGTCACAATAAGACAGGAACACGGATCTCCTCCTCTTCCTCCTCTTCCTTCTCTTCCTTTGGTAGAGTAGCAGTGTATGTGGACTGTCCTGCTGGCTCTCTGTCCTTCTACAGAGTCTCCTCTGACACTCTGATCCACCTCCACACCTTCAACACCACATTCACTGAACCTCTGTATCCTGGATTTGCCCTCTGGTCCTGGTCCTGGTCTGGTTCCTCAGTCTCTCTGTGTTCTGTGGAGGAGGGAGAGTCTCCTGGTAGATAACCTTTCTCTCTACTCACCCATCTGTAGAGGATGTTAGCTCATGTTAACGTAGATGCAGGTGGAGCAGGTGAGGGGTACCTGAGCTGCTCTGGACTCTGGGGGGTCCAGAGCTCTCTGGGACTTGTGGTGTTGCAGATGGAAGTCTGAAAGAGCTCAGCGAGGTGTGTTTTAATGTTGCTGTGCTCGTTAATTAATAGAACAAATAGATTATCATTTAGATATTTGTGCCTAATTAGGATATAATCTTAATCTTTATGTGTCACAATGTTCATGAGACAACCAATAAAACATAAATGTATCTGTATGATAAATTGTGCTTATTTGTGTGTCTGCAAGGTAATAGGTAATAATTCTTTTTGAGGCAATTTTAACTTCAATTTTTTCTCTTTTTTTCTGTGAAATTAAATATAATTTTACATAATCAGGTTTGTCCTGAACAAGATCCTTTTGAAAGCTTCAACCTCTCAAGAAAATATTTAATGACAGCAGGTACTTGTGTTTGTAGTAACGATAATATAATAGTACAACATTTATTCACTCCATGTATTACCTTCGGTTAACAGGGATATAATTGTATCGGTCTAGTAATAATAAATTAGTTTTATTGGAAACAACTGTGACAGTTGTGACGTTAAAACCACACTGTAAAAAAAATCTGTTGAAAATACAGTGAAATACTGGCAGCTGTGTATGCCAGAACTCCACCGTAAAAATGACAGCGTCAATGTCCATGATGTCAGCATCAATGATGTTTTTTTTAAACTGTAAATTTTACAGTTCAGAACCGTTATTTTTAAAAACAATACGGTAAAATTCGGCAGCTGGGGTTGCCACAGCTGTAAAAACAACAACGGGCACGTATGAGACATTACCGTATGTTTTTTGGCAGTTGTAAATTTCAAAGATTTTTCATTTACTCCAAATGAAAAGGTGTGTTGTAAAGCTGTATAAATATGATACAATTCTAAACATCTGTTATACTGTCACGCTAATTACAGTCCTTGTCAGAGATAAACACAGTAGGATGTGAGATTTAGACTTTTTTACTACAAAGTTCAAAGTAAAATGCAGACATCTGTGGTTGCCACAATTTCATTCCAAAAAATAAAGTATAAAATTGTTTGGAATGGATTTTAACTTCTGCTTTTAGTCAATCACAATGGAAATATAAAATAAAGTAAATTGCGAATTAGGATACAGTCATCCTGAAGAAACAACATGTGTCCATAAATGATAATCCAGAGTCCAGACCTGACTGAAGAGGTCACGCAACCCGGTGTAGAGTCTCACGCGTAGATCATTTTTAGAATCAAAAGCGGGTGTTTCACTGGTTCTGCTTGAGGACTCATATGTTGACTAGTCAGTGTCAACATTTAACAAATTTGTGTTTCTGCCAAACATTATCCTTGGAAAAGTTATTGCATGAATTTACACAAATTTCTCTCTAAATGTTTGAAAAAGTTACAAACGGCGCCCCATACGCAAGGTGTGAAAAGCGCCGCATAGCGTCATTTACCTGAATGTTTTTTTTTCAGTTTGTGTTGTTGAACTACGACAAGCCGGAAGTAACGAGACTGTTTTTAAAATGTAAGCAGTAGAAAGTACAGATATTTGCGTGAAAATGTAAGGAGTAGACGTAACAAGTCTGAAAAATATACTCCAGTAAAGTATAGATACCCAAAATGTCTACTTAAGTACAGTAACGAAGTATTTGTACTTCGTTTTACTTTTGACTTCCTGCTCCATTATTAACCCTTTCTCGTGTATCAAGAAAAACAGATTCTTAAAACCGTTAACTTGACTTATACCCTCATAGCTATTGTTGGTTAAAGCAGAAAGTAAAATATGCATTCTGTGTGATGTTTTTATTGTCGTGCTACTAACACTACATGTATGACGTGAACCTACATGGCTGCCGCCGCTGTATGAAGGTCTCCCTCTGTGACGTCATCGTCCCGCCCCTCTCTGCAGGATGACTTTGACGTAGGAGATGAGGGAGGACATGGAGCTCTACTACGAGCTGCTCGAAACGGCGAATCAACCAGGACTATGCCGACTTTGACTTGTGCTCTAAAGGAGACATGGAGGACTTTAAGAAATCCGTGTCAGTGAGCCTATAGAGGAATATTTTCTGATGATCTAGAAAAGCCAAGCTTGGTTTGCATTTTAGTCTCTTTTACAGCTAAAGTATTCATTTGTTATATGCTCTGGAGTCCAACTAGGCTCAAGTATAGGGGACATAGGATACCGCATACCGGGTAGGGTTTCATATCAAAGTAAACATGTGACATTGTGACATTAATAGGGGAGCGTTGTTATTTAATCGCTTTAATTCAACCCAAATTAATGTTTTTGTCTCATTGGATTCACAGCAGTCTCAACGCTCCAGTAATTTACAATTTATACAACTTTAAAAAATCACAACACAAAAAAACCCGACATGCTGACAGACCCACTGTCATTTCTTTATAGAAGTTAGTTGAATCTTGGAAAGCAATTGGCTCTTACCCTATATTATAATACTGTCCATCAATAGATAAATCAGCTAAACAAGAAACTGTCCTGGTTTTTACACTTATCGGCGGTTTAAGCCTTTTTGTCCCCCATGTCTTTTGCCTGAAGTTGGCTGGGATTTACTCCCCCGCACGACCCTGTGAGCAGGATTAAAGTCTTCAGTGTTTCCTGAAAGAACAAGAGAAGAGTCACACAGAATAAATACAATTTTCTGATGACGAAAGTTCGTTAAAGACAGAAAACCAACGACCCTTCTTTCTTCGGTCCAACCGAAGTTTATTCTGAACATTGAAAGACAACAAAGTACATCTTCGTCTACAGTGATAATAAACAGCAGGCCGTCTCCCCCCGTAGCGCTCATATATTAACTCTCAGATAGCAGTAGTATTATACACATCCAGGAAGGTGGGCAGTAAGAACGGGTTCAAACCGGATTAGTTTCAGTAGTCTGGGGAGGAGAAGCTTTACAGGGATGAAGGACAAACTCATCATCATCAGTTTGGGGAAACACAAACGTAGGTTCCCACAGTCCAGCTGCCTCGCCGACTCCTGATTGGACAGTGGCTGGTCGCTAAGGTAACGGTAGGTTGCCTCCCCCCCCTCCTTCCTCCGTGAGTCGGTAACCGTGGCGATAAATTCAAAAACAACTAGCTAAATGGAAGGAGGCGGCCGAGTAGCCAGCCAGCTGACGTTTCTAAAAGCTCTAAGATCAAGGCTGCCGCCAAAGTAACTCCTGAGATAATTCAGTGAACGATATGCGTTGAAATTGATCGGTGTGATTTGTTGATACTGGGTTTTCCTTTTAGGATCTCAGACACTGGAGGAGGAATTAGCTCAAGCTTCAATGAGGTAAAATGTTTGGATTCGTAATGGCTGAACGGTGCAGCTAACTAGTTAGCTCATTTTAAACCGCCATCATAGCTTTTACGCTGGTACGTCGGTTGAAGTTTTATGTGTTTTCAAAGCTGAGGACTGATGTATTTTGTTGATCCTACTAACAAGGATTGTCTGTGTACGTCTTCTCCATCTAAAAAACAACAACACATGAATGAGCCACACTGCACACGTTCCTTCGCTAACAAATGTGTATCAATCCACCGCTGAAAGTAGCCCCCCCACAAATAAACTATTTCCTTCCATCAAGCAGAAATAATTCAAATTAAAAGTTGTTTAACATTGTTCAGTTGAGTGTGTTTGTTAGTGTGCGTTTTAAAAGTGCTGCGAGTGCCAAATCGCACATTAAAACCTTTTTTTTTTTCCTTCTTTACATCGAGCGTCCTCAGCGTGGCGTTTTTCCAAAAGGCTGCTCCTATAAAACACATGTAGTGCCAGGCATGTTTATCGAGGGGCCCCGAAGCACCTCGGACCCCCCCCCCCGGTTCCCTCAGGGCTCCGCACAGCAGCAACAATACAACAGAGGTTAGATGTGCGATGGAAACCACCTAAAAACTACAACCACCCCCCGTGTGTATGCGACCATCACAAATATAAGAAAGATTAAGACATTCTTCTTCTCGGCAGGAACTCGACACAAACCAGCCGTCACACCTGTGCGCCTTTAGCAATACTATTATTCTCATTGTACATTTAAAAGGGGACATTTTGGTGTTAATTCAAAGCGAACACTTCTCACACATTGGGGTAAAATCTATCTACATGTTCAGCTAATTAGCATCGTTAGCAGTTCCCATGAAACCTGTGCACATACAGCCTGTTTTTTTTCTCATCCGCAATAATGTGGCAAAGTGTTCAGTGAAGGTCAAAGCAGATGGAAAAAGTCCCTTTAGATGTCGAGCCGATGCAGCTGAAAGCCTGAGGAGTTTAACGTAAGACTCCGAGAGAGTTCGTAATACGCGACGTCAACAAAAAGAATGTGTAAAATGTACCTTTTAATTGGCCGGTCCACCTTTAGAGAGACACCAGTAGTCTGTGTTCCTCAATCAAACACACACACATATATAATATATGCTCTCTCACTTACACACACACACACACAGGTTGGTCGGGACTTAAAGGAGGGCTTGGATTGTCACTGGAGTGTCTGAGACTGATGAAGCAGGGAAAGAGAAAACATTAACGGACCCGACTGGATCCCAGGGACTCAGCGGTGAACTGGACCGGACTGTGGGAAAAGGAGAGGGGGGGGGGGGACCACAAACAGATCCTGGTGGGACACCTGCATGCTTTGCGCTACGCTAGTTAGCATGTGGGAGTTCGCTATAAGGGCCGAACGGGTAGAATCTCTCTCTGGAAAAGCAGCAGGTCGAGAAACAGCAACATTTTTAAGACCAGTGAAAGTTAATTTAAGACGATAAAGTGTGTGTAAGACATTTGATTTCTCCTCTAACATGTTTTCTTACTGACTAGTGGAAAGACGACATCCAAAAGTCACATTTAGCCGCTTTGTCTTTTACTGTCTATTTACGATGGTAGTTTTCTGAAAAACGTGGAATACAAAAAAATGATAATACGTATTAGTCCAATTATTTTCACCATATTCACCTGCAGTGTCTCAACTTAAAACTGGAAAGCGTGTGTCGGCTGATTGGGAGGAGGAAAAACCCTTGTTGCTTTTCTAATTATAGTAGCAGTGCTCATAAAACCAGCAAAGATAGTCGCTATGTCTGCAAAATGCATTTGCTTATTGTCAGAGCGGCCCGGACACCAACCCGCCCCCATTAGCCTTCCTCTGCTAGTCTGTTATTCTTTTCTTTTTTTACTACTAGCTGGTGATGGAAGGGCCCAGTTTCTTCTTTTTTTGCATAATAGTGGTGGAAACTTCAAAATGACTACACAGTGAATCTTGGGCTTCTGGGGTCCCTTAAGCTCTCGTTTCCCATGATACACCTGCTGCTTCGAACGTCCCCCCCCACCCTCTGTGGACACCGAGCGCTCAGAAACGAGAGAATCCAGCCCAGTCTAATCCAGCGCCGCTGTTCTGGTCCACATCCGGTCCAGCAGGATCCCGTCCAGGTGTCTTTTTTCGTCTCGTTTCTACGGCTCCTCAAACAGCTGGAGGTCCAGCCTGACGACAATCTCTCCCGTGGGAACCTCGTGGAGCAGCAGCCGCTTGGTGATTGGTCCTTTAGAGCCCTGGTCCTTTTTGATCTCAGCCAACCGGATCTCCGTCCTGCCCAGGAAGTCTGACGAAAGTCAAAACAAAGAGAGAGAGAGAGAGAGAGTGTGTGATGGGTGTGTAGAGAAGGAAGTGATGCCTCTCTGCAGGTCGTCAGGTGATGTTACTGCGACTGACCGTCAGGAGAGAACTGGTCTCGTTCAAACACGGTGACGCAGAGGACGTCCTGCTCGAGGTCCTTTATGAAAAACTGACAGTTGGAGTTCCACTTTGGATTCAGTGTGTCCTACAGAGAGAGAGAGAGATCTTCATTTAAACTACATGATGAAACAGGAACAGCCAGTAGATGGTCTGTCTCAGCAGAGAACGACACAGAGCTCAATCAGATCAGCTCTGCAAACCATAATACCGCTGACAACAATGGAACGCACTAAATCAAAAACCTAAATGTGCTGTGGACATCAGCGTACCTGTAATGTTTTTGTGATATGGCACTGAGAACCCATGGTGACCTCACAGTACGGGTTACTCTTTCCTGCAGAGACACAAACACACAGGTATTTATAATTTATATGTATTTATATAACGTCTCCTGTTCTATTCTCAACTCACACAAATGCTCAAACACACAAATGAAAATATTAAAAGTGGCAAAGTGCAGCAAGTTGACGCTGACTGAAAAAGTCTTTAAGCGATTATTACCCGTCTCTTTGTATTAGTTTGTTCAATTCCCTAGATATACAAACTGAAAACAAAATGCTAAATAAGGAGATATTTTAAAAAGCCTCACAGACGTACATGTATATTCACTGGGGCTCGTACTTCCATTGTACCCGTGGTGATGATTGTAACATACTTGTGAACAGGAGGCGTGTTCCTACCGTGCGAGCGGCAGGGTTTGAGTTCGATTCCCTCCACGATGTTGACCATCAGCCTGCCGATGCCCGTGGCTCTCTGGGAACGGACTGAGACAAACAAATGAACGCCGGCTCGATTTAAACGGGACATTTGGGGGCAGAAGAGGAGGTGGGGCGGGCTGTGACATGTGAGATACCTAGGTAGGCCTTCTCCCTCTTCTTCTTCTCCGTCTCGATGAAGAGCTCCGAAGCCGCTTTGATTTTCTGGACCCACGCCGTCCTGCGAGGGAGAGAAGAAACACGCACGCTTTTTAAAGTCGCTGCAGGGACGAAGCATCTGAATATGTGCTGATAAATGAACACTTTGACCTCTCGTTGATGCTCTCGGCTCGCAGCGTGTACACCCGGTCGATGTGGGAGATGTGGAAGAGCGGCTCGTCCCCCGACGGGTCCGTCGGCAGCTTCACCAACACCTCGTTCAGGAAGATCGGCTGCGAGGGACGAGGGACAAATCTCAGATTCAATTTAAGTAACACGCACCGCCGCCTCAGTGGAGCGCTTTACTGAGACCAGAAGAAGCTCAAAGCAGATACTTCACATGCAGTCAGGATTAAATAAAAACAGGATGAAAGATGAAAGTATTATAATCTATATCTATATTTAAAAGTCATTCAACAAAACTTAATACATAAAAACTATGCTCAAATCTGAATGAATGAGAAACGTCACATTGGATTTCATGTAAAAACGTGTTTTTAACACTCAAAAAACAGCAGCGCTGTGTGTGTGTGTGTGTGTCTCACCGTCTTGTACATGCGGTACTGCAGGTGTGTTTTGGAGGAGAAGACTTTGTCCGAGCCCGACCAGCCCAAAGGTTTGGTGACCTGTGAGGAAGAAACACGCAGTCAGAAAACAGAAGACGTCTATTGATACATAATAAATAATTATTCAAAACATACTTGAAAAAAGTGAGTGACCCACATCAGTGATGCAATTACTATACTGGACAGATGGTAGTTAGTTAGATTAAGAATCAGAACTTTTTTACATTAAAAAACTCTCAACACATGTTAGTTGCGGTTAAATCATGTTATTTTGGAATGATTATATTTTGTCTATTAGGATAATTCAGTTTTATATTATAATTTATTTTCTATTCATGGTTTATGCTTCTTTTTAAATAGTTTAAATGATCATTCTCTTTTTATTTGATCAGTATTATCTCATTTCATAATTTAATTTAGAATCGAGGGGGGGGGCAGTGAAAAGCGCGTATTCTCATGTTTTCTTATTCTGTCGTTAGTCAGTTACTTTTTTTTACATAAACTGATTTTATATTCACACCTCATTTTCTCTGCTGTACCAGAGCACATAACAGTCCTGTCTTTTCTTTATCTGTCCAGCCTTTTGTTCTATTTCTGTAAAAGAACATTTTCAGATGGAAATCCATTAAAGCAAATTCAGATTCTTTATTAGCTGTTAAATGAGCAAAACCAAGCGGCTGATGTAGATATCGCTTGTACTTTTCTATTACAAATCTCAAGAAGCAACTCCGGGCGTCCCGCGCCGAGGTGACCTTTCCCCCTGGAAGGGGGCGGAGCCGAGGCGAGGAGCAGCAGCTCACCTGAGTCAGCAGCAGGAAGTCGTTGAACAGGAAGCCGTAGAGCTCCTTGCTGCTCTTGGCTTTGAACAGCTTCCCGCTGTGGAGGAACTTCCGGGGGCCGAGGCAGTTGGTGACGGAGTTGAACACCAGTTGCTGAAGGAGCAGAGGCGGATTATTCATGAAGCGCTCGTCTGTATTTCTCCGCGTGTTTGAGAGATTGGTTGACGTGTGATCCGTGTGCGTGTGTAGTGCACAGTGTGTGTGTGTTACCTCAGACAGGCCTTCACACTGGACGTGAGCCTGAATCCACTCCAGACGATCAGAGTTCTCCTTCTCCCGGACGCCCTCGTTCACCTGAACACATCCACTCGTTGGTCAACTAAAACCTTAAGAGCTTAAGTACAAAATGGTCATATTTTTCCTGATTGTAAATTGTGTGTCGCGACATTTCACTGTATCTTTCCGTTAAAAGACGATAAATGGAGACTTTTAATGAGGAATTAGTTTGTCAGTTATTCGCATGACGAGTTCAGAGCTCCTCCTCATCTTAAATGTGTGTGTGTGTGTGTGTTCACCTGTGAGCAAAGCTCTTCGGCTTTCTCCAGAGCAGCTTTCAGGTGGCTGTTGTCTGGATGAGACTCTGGAGTGTTTTCTATGATCTGTAACCAGGGACACAAGGAAGAGGGAATCCCGTTAGAAGTGATTTCCTTTAAAGGTCGGACGGCCCGTGAGTGTGAGACACGTACGTTCTTGATGATGAGCGGGTAGCGCGTGACTCTCTGCATGGGTTTGAGCAGGAAGCTGGAGAGAGGCATCCCTTTACACCTGGAATCCATCGCTAACCTCTGAGCGGGACGGAGGCAAAGAATCAGGGCTTTTCATTTCATTTGAATCTCATTTGATAAGTGACTCACACACAAAAAGTCTTTATTCAAAGTGATTTTCATCGCAGTAAACAAAGTGTGTCTGTTTGTGTGCCTTTTTTTTACCTTCAGGAAGTCTTTGATCTCGGGGTTGTCGTCGGTTTTCTGCTGAATCAGCGTGGCTCCGTTCAGCTGACACGAACAGAACCTAAACGCACACACACACACACACATATATATATAAAATAAACAAGTCAAACGAAAGAGGCATAAATCCCTCGCCGGGAGATAAAAAGATGACGGGAGGAACCTGATGTAAGGCTGCATGTGAGGCAGCTGGTTGGTCAGGATGTCACCGATCATCTTCACGGGCATCCGGTCGCCCGACATCTTCTTCCTCACCCTCAGAGCCCTGCAGTGGGGAGGGGGGGGGGAGGCAGAGTGAGGCATGATGGGAAGTTTGGACGTCTATTTTTAGAACCACGCCTCAGTGGCTTTTATACGTGCAACGATAATTAAATAATCCCAACTTTTGTGTTTCAGGTTGGGAAGCGAAGAACTAAATGATCGCACAAGTTGTCTTTGTGTAACGTGTGTGTGTGTGTGTGTGTGTCTCTTTACTTGAGCAGCTTGATGTTGCACATGATGAGCTCCTTCCAGTTGACGAAGATCATGGCCACCTCCTTTTCCGTCAGCAGCTCGCAGTCCAGCAGAGGTTTGTGGAAGATCTAAACACCAGGAGAGAAAAAGCCCCACAAGTTCCACCAATAATAAACACAAATATTCTTTTAGACTTGAATGAATACGTTAGTATTGATTTGTAGACGCTGCGCTCACCTCGGTGACGAGCTGCAGGTCGTTGACGTAGTTCTCCTCGGTGACGATGAGCTCGTGGATGTAGCCCTGCCTCTTCCTCTCCATGGGGCTCAGCATGTCCAGCAGGTGGAGGTCGGCGCACCCTGAAAGGCCCACGTCACACACACACGAGGGGTGAACAATAAATAACCGTCCATTACACTCGTATTCTGCATCGGCTCAAAATACGTACCTGAGGAACTAGACATTCCTCTGGAGAAAACTGGGAATTTATGTGTATTTCTTTCATTATCATGTCCAAGATGTGTTTACATGTAGTTAAAGAGGAATGTTAGTTATTTTCTATTGCGGAACTTCTCGTTTCAGCGTTAGGTTTGCCTGTAAGTGGAACTATACTTAACATATTTATAGAGAAATATGTGCCTTTTAATATCTTCATTTGAAGTTATTCTTAATGAGTGCAAAAAATTGCTTAAATATAAATAAATTATTTATAATAATATATTTAATATAATAATATATTAATAATAATATAATTATATTATATATTATATATAATATATTTGTCTTAAGCTGGAAAGATTGATTATAGATGTGGTTAAATGTCTCTGAAGTAATTTAGCTCTCCATTAACTAAATTAATACATTGATTTTGTGTAATTGCAAATGTGATTGTGTAACGAACTGTTAAGCGTCCAAATTAAAGACGTTATCAACAAATGTGAGAAGAAAGACACCTTGTACTTTAAAAGCCTGTGAGTGTGTGTGTGTGTGTGTGTGTGTGTGTGTGTGCGACAGAGTAACGAGGCCAGTCGGCTGCAGTCGGTCTCAGAGCGTTTAATCATCAGGTCTCCACCGATAAAAGCTCGGGACGTTTCTGCTGCACATTTCATTCGCTCATTCAAGTATCCGTTTCTTCCAAACGTTCCTCTGTGTTTCCTTCTGAACACTCGCCTCCATAAAAACTGCTCATTCGTGCTTTGTTTTCGCTCGCTCTCCCCATGCGCACACACACACGCACACACACACAGTGCAGTCTGGTTACATTTGGCTGTTAATCCAGAGCTGCTATTTATAATTATAATGAAGCGTCAACCGTTATAATTCATTAGATTAACTATAGATCATACTGATTTATGCCTTTGTTTGTTTAACAGACAGACCAGAGCCCTGCTGCACTGCGCATTGTGTGTGTGTTGTGTTCTGGTAAAAATGGTAAAAGACAAATGTTAAAAGTGTCCTTCTGCCTGCTGCACAGCGAGTCCCCAAAATGATTTACGGGTGATGCTGAGGGGGACGGCGGTGGCTGCAGGTGGGGGGTTAGCGTGGATTAACAGGCGTGATCAGTGCAGCGAGGCTCCGGTCTCGGTGGGTCTGTTCCAAACTAAAATACCTCCGTCTCACTGAGGAAGTCTCCACCGTCGGTTACGTCTGACTCTGGAAACTAAGATCTTGTTTTTTTATCTCGCAAAATGAGCCGAGTTTTAACCCACAATTCGGGCCTCCGGTCCCAGTAACCAACGGTCAATCAGAGACCTCCATCTACAATACTGACACACTTGAGGAGCCAATGGGATCCAAGCAGGTTATAACAAGAACAACTCTATTGCTTGTTGTTTGATAATTTGTTGTTTTGTTTCTAAGGGTAAACATTAAAATAAATCACAATACTGTCATCTGGATAAACAAAAACAATACAAATCTGATATGGCCACCAGTACAACACTGATCTGTTGCTGTGGGGAAAGCTAAAAATGCACCGTGTGGGGCGTCGCCATGGTAACAGGTAATGTACAGTTTACGTGTTATTTGAAAGCCGCTGTCGCTCAACACAGAACCGACGAGGTTTAGTGTTCATTGTTCCTTTGTAATAAGAAAATGAAGGGTTTTCATACGGAAGGTTTTTGTAGGAGATGGGAAGCAAACTTAAAATCAATCAATTGTTTCTTAGTCTAACACTTAAAAAGAAGGTGCATCACAGTTTGGAAAAAGCACAGGAGGTAAAGCTCAAATTACTTTAAAAAATAAAAATCACTGGTTTGTGAAGTTGAGCCACAACTTAAAAAACAGCTGAGCTGTTTAAAGGAAAAGTTCATCATTTGAGGAAACATGCTGGATGGGTTTCTTGTGAAGGTCAATATCTCTCTCATGTCTGTACGTCAGAGCCAGAAGGCTATTAGCTTAGCTTAGCATATACAACTAGAAGCAGCTGACCTGGCTCTTCCCAGTTTTTTAAAACAGGCTAACACATGTAATGCTCCCAATAAACGTCGCCCGTTTGCCTCATATTTTGAGCCAAGCTATCGGTGCTCAAGTGCCTCCGCTTGTAAGCTAAGCTAAGCTAATCCGGCCTGGCTGAAGCGTCAGACTTAAGTGGTATTGATTTTCTCGTTTAACACCCACTAAGAAAGCAAATAACTGCATTTCACAAAATGTCAAAACATTCTTTTTTCTGGAATGACTCAAAGATCTGAAGACGCTGTTGACAAGTTCTTTCTTTCTTTTTCACATTCTACCAATTTTCTTTTTAGTACCAAATCTGTCTTGTATGTTTGTGTAAATGTCCGTCAACCTGGTCCCGCCCTCAACACTGTGACAGCATCTCATCCTCATAGCAACAGACAAAACAATGAACATGTAAACAAAAACAACAACAGAACATAAAAGTGATCAGTTAAAGTTAATACATACTCAAAATTTTAAACTACAACGGATAAAAACATTAGCACTGGGATTGTGTATGTGTGTGTCTGTGTGTGTCTGTGTGTGTGTGCGTGTGTGAGATCACGTGCACACTCTCTGTACCATGTTGCATTTGACGTGTGAGCGTGTAATTTGGTTAGCTCGTATGCTAAGCTCTTAACGGCTTCCCATTAGCAGCCTTGAGCTACGGGGCTGTTTCCCATTCCAGCTGCTCACTCCCTTCTATGCCTCCTTCTCTAGCAAAGAAAGAGGAGGAGAAGCAGGCTAACTAGAAAACCATAGAAGGGAGCCGCAACCCCGGGTTGAAACTTAGCGTTTAGCACCCGCAGGACGAGTCTCAACCCCGCCTCATTTCCTCTCCTCTCCGTCTCCTTATTTTGGCGAATGGGAGAGGAGGAAGAGGAGTCTTTGGTATTGAGGAGAGGAGATGTGAAGAGGGGAGGGGAGTCTTTAACATTGAGACTTGTCCTCCCAGAAGAGATAGTGGGTCTTTCTGTGAAGCTGTGGGGAGGGAGGGTGGTTAGTGAGGGGAGAGGGGGGAGCCAGCGCTTTGGATTGACAGGTGAATGAAGCTGCCCAACCAATGGGAGGTTAAGGAAATATTTAAAAAAAAGATTAAAGAAGCAGGAGGGAGCGGGATGAGCTAAACTACTGATTCTAGAGACAGAATCTCCCATAAAGCCACAAAATGACCCACTATCCACTGTACCACGCTACAATAGGGCTGTGTGTGTGTGTGTGGGGGGGATATATGTGTGTGTGTGTGTGTGTGTGTGTGTGTACAGTCACTGTGATCCAGTCAAAAACATGTTCATCAGTCCAATCTGGGAGAAAGGAGCTCAACAGTCTTTGTCCCTCCTCCTCCTTTTTCTTCCTCTCCTCCCCCACCACCCCTTCGCTAAAATCTCCTTTCTGACCGATAGAACAGAAAGAGGAGAAGAAGAACGACGGGAGGAGAAGAGAAGAAGAAAGTCGGAGGGAGGGGAGGAGCCCTGACTATTGATCTCCCCCCCGTTTGGAGCCAGAGCCTCAGATAAACAGAGTTCAGTCACAGGCGAGCGCAGACAGAACTCTCTTTCTTTTTAGCGTTACAGTCTGTCTGTCTCTGGCTTCTATTGGTGGAGAGTCGCCATTTCCGGGTCAAGTGACCTCTTGCTGCTGTCCCATTGGTTGAGTGGCCTAGTGGGTCTCTTTGAGGGCTTTGAGGAGAGGGGGGTTCTGGGTAATGATATGATCCTAGAGAGAGGACGACAACAACAACATCAACCAAAACAACTAAACAAAACACCAACAACAACAACCAATCGGGCGCTGGGCGGGTGGAGCGTGCAGCAGGACGGAGAGTGTGGAGGCGTGCTCTAAGCCCGCATAGAAATAGAGGAGTTAGAGCAAGCAACTAGTAGTAATTCCTAACTGTATGCATGAGGCAAACACTATGATGAAGATGCATCGGCTAATATTCTGTGTGGTTAAAACAAATAAAAAGAATATTACAGGATTATGAAAAAGGCAGAGATTTGAACTGAAAAGGACTTTTCATAAAATAAAACTGATATTTTTAAGATGTGTTTTTATCCATTATGTGTTTCAGTGCCTTACATTGAACTCTTTGTATATATCAAACAAAAACTTCTCCAACTCACACCACCTGAGTAGCCAGGTGTGTTAAGGATTTTTTTTTTTTTGGATTGCTAAATTTTATATTTATATATAATAAGCTTTTGATTTTTGTAAAACAGTGGATTGTTATGATCCAATTGCCATGACATGATTCCATTGGCAGTAAATATATCATCGAAATAGTGGTGTTTGCAGAATTAATGTCCGTTTAGAATCTCAGAAAGTGTTTTAATGGTTTTCACTTGGGTGAAAATACACATTTTGGCTCACGAGATGTATGAAACAGATACCTAAAACCATGTTTTCCTGTCGCTCAGCTCTAGGAGCTCTACGTCTATGTTGGGTCACGTTGGAGGAAGACATGCAGGAAGAGGGGAGACACTTTTACACTGAAGCAGATACACACAAACACACACACACACACCCACACCCACCCACACACACGCACATGCACATACACACCATGCAAGCACTGCCCAGATGCGTTGCATGACTGGGAGGTTATCAAGGAGGCCCAAAGGAGTGTCAAGGTGAAAGGTCAAAGGTCAATCCGACCCGGGGTTAAAACACAGAGAGACAGCATCTCCACATTTGGCTCTGGGGAGTGTGATTGTGTGTGAGTGTTACTCTGATTCTTTAAAGTATCATAATTTTAGTGTATTGTGTCCGTCTGTCTGTCTGTGTGAGGTCATGTGTGTTTGTGCGTGTGTGTACTCACACTGCGTGCTCGGGTCGGTGTCTGTGGTGAGTTTGACGTAGTTGCTGGGGAACAGCCCCTCCCTCCCGTTGAGCTCTCCCTTCCACCAATCACAGTCGTCCTTGTTGAGCACCGTGATCACCTGACCCTTCTGGAAGGCCAGCTCGTCGTCGTTCTGGGCCACGTAGTCGTACATGCCGATCACCTGACACACGGCTTCAGGTGGAGGGGAGGGGGGAGGAGACGGGGGGAGATTCAGGTTTATCTTATAACCTATAGCTGGTTCTGGTTTTTATCTCCATCCAAATTGGTGGATTTAAATGTCATAAGGTGCAGACTATATTATGTATGACAACTTTAAAACTTAAAAGGTTTGAAAAGAAGGACAAGTTGGAATAAGATAAAATAAAATGTTTCTGGCTTTGGGGATTCAAGAGCTCCTACACATTTCCCCCGACATAACAACAAACACCCGCACGTACCCCCCCCCTACACTGCGTGGGATATGGTGTTTGCTCGGTACCTGTATGAGCACCCGAGCCGGGCGGAGCCAGTTTCGGAGGGGTGGGCTCTGTGGGCGTCGTCTTGCTGGTGCTGGGACTGAGCAGCTTCACGTAGTTGGCCGGAAACCAACCGATCTGGCGCTTCTTCCCCCGAGCCTGGACCAATCGGAGCACAGAACGCGTCCTTACATTCACATTATAAATATGACGTGCAGGTAAATATAGGCATGGACTGATATGTAATCTAAATACTTCATTATTAACTAACTCCAGACAAAACATGTAACTGCATATGTTAAGAGGTGGTGCTTGCACACCTGGAGCTCGCCCTCCCACCAGCCCCCTGGGTTCTTTTTCCTGATGAGGATGAGCTGTCCTGGAGCTAACGTCAGCTGCTCTGCGCCTGTAGCGCTGTAGGGGGCGATCACCTGAGCGATCTCTGATGGAGGGACAAGACGAAGGAGGTTCTTTTTAGCTTCATTTAGATATGTGAAAGCAGCATGTAAGTGCAGAGATTGTCCATCATAGTGAAAAGCTCACCCGGTTTCTTTCCCAGGCTGCCCGTCTTCCCCGCTGGTCCTAAAGCCTGGAGACAAAGTTTCAACCACAAATATTTACCTCACTGTCAACAAAAAAAAAGACGACACATCCGGCGTTCTGGTTTGGCTCACGTGCTCAGAGCCGCCGCCCACCTCTGAGGCGAAGTCCCGCGGTTTGACATAATTGGAGGGGAAGACGCCGGTCTTGCCCCCGACCATGCCCGTCCACCAATCCCCTTCCTTCCTGGTAACCACGACGACGTCCCCTTGCTGGAAGCTCAGGTCCCCCTGCTCGCTGCTCTCGTAGGTGTACATGGCCACGTACTCTGCGCGCAAGCACGTGGAGAAAGTCAACGACGAGAACTCGCACGACGTTTAAAGAATACACACTTCCACGAGTCTGCGTGCGTTACCTTCTCCAGACTCAGAGGGTTTCGTCGGGGAAGGGGACGGCCGTTTTCCGTTGGGGGGGCTTTCTGATACTGGAGGCTCACTAGAAAAGGAAAACGCATTCATTACACGGGACACATTATATTTATTTTATATTATAGATAGTTGCTTTATTAATCCAACATGGGCACCACTTAAACCCACCTAGTGTTTTTCATGCGTGGAGCGGCACCAGGCGGTGGCGTCATTGTCGCAGAGATGAGCTTCACGTAACTTTTGGGGAACCAGCCTCTCTGTCCGGTCTGCAGTTCACCTAACCACCACATGTCCTGCTGCTCCAACACCGTGATGATCTGCAACAGCAATGATACCTTCAGTGAGGCCTTCACCAAACGCCCCTCAAGGTTTGCATTCACAGCCAAGCTTAGCTGTGTGATATGTGTGCAGGATTTGAGTGGCGGTTGGATTAGTCCACACTGGTGCTGCACTATTCTGTACAAACTCATGTACCTCATTTTTGTTGAAGTTCAGGTGGTTGTCCTTTTTTGCTCTCCAAGGATACAAAGCCTGGGCCTGAAGACCCTCGACCTTCTCCCCCTGAAAAACACAAAACAACAATGGGAATAAAATCAGTCGGTATCAGATGTGAGTCCTGAAGCCACGTTTCCTACCTGGCCCAGCACCGGGGAAGGGGAGGAGCCCGTCGTCATGGTAGCGGGCGTGAAGGCGGAGCGTTGGCGCAGCTGTGCCGACGGAACGCTGAGCGAGGGGTTCTGACTGGTCGAAGAGGTCGGCCACGCGTCCCATCCCTCGCTCTCCGATTGGCCGGCTGTGCTGGAGGGCCAACTGGAAAGATGAGCGCGCAGACCAGCCGGATGTCAGCGAGGAATGAGTCAGCAAAAAAAAAAAAAAAATGCACTTCACGAAAGACTCACGTGGTGCTGAAGTCGGCCCAGTTGCTGTTGGCAGAGGTCGCGGAAGAGGAGGAGGCGTGCCCGGGAGCCGGGGGAGGCGTGGTCATAGGCTGCTGGGCGGCAGTGGGCGGGGCAGAGGCCGTCGCGCGCAGGCTGATTGGTGCTTCGCTGTCCGGTATCCGCTCGGCGTAGTTGGCCGGAAACCAACCGGTCCGGCCCCTGAGTTCTCCTCCCAGCCAACCCGGTTCCCCCGTCTGGGATTCATCCACCTGGTGGGGGGGCGGAGGAGCGGCGTGAAGATACTGCCGAAGCATGACCACACTCACGGGGGGGGCGCTTCTCATTTGCGCCTCCTCGGCTCCTCCGGCCGATGCAGCTGTACACCGCGTCGTGTTTGTATTGTTGTCGATTTACAAGAACAGGTGTTGTTCGTTAAATGCCCGTCGCATCGACCTCTCTCTCTCTCTCTCCTTGCGTCTCGCTCAGAGATGCGAGCGGAGGAGGCAAGGAAAGGAATCAAGGGAGGTGTGTGTATATATAGATTTGTGATAGAACAGAATGGCAGGAAGCAGAATAACCTAATTGGTGGCTAATAGAATGAGACACACAGGAACTTGCTATTAACTGATCACGTTGTGTTCTGCCTCTTGTTTCTATAATCCTATAAAAGTCATAACAGGCTCTTAAGATCTTTTCTTTCCAACCATCAAACTGATCAATTATTTGACTTATCTTCTATGTAAAACCTCAAAATAAATCCTGTGGTTTTCCCCTTCACTGCAAATTGAAAGATGTTTAGATCTGAATGTAAACTGTCTGTCTAACATTAAAACGTGGATGTTTCTTCCTTGATGCATTGATGGCAATACAAAGAAACGTTTTTTCTACTTTAGGGCAAGTCGTCAACATAACATGTTGTTGACCAATCAATTTGTTGATTTAGATAAATCCAAACACACAGAATCACACAAAGGAAAGAATTTAAATACAGAGATGTGCTCACACGTTTGATGGAAAAAAGTAATTCAGCACAAAAGTGAAATGACACCTTCACACTCACAGCGACAGTGTTCGAGGCTTTTCACATAAACATGGAAAACAACTAAATTTGGTTAAAAGATTAATTAAAAAAAAAAAAAAAGCTAAGGACACGAACGACGTTCATTCACTGAATGAACGTGGAGATGACGTGAGATGAACCAATGACAGCGGGAGCTCAAATGAAAGCTGGCTTGTGATTGGTGGAGGGACAAAACTGGGCGGGGGATAGAAACTCATCCCATTCCCCCTTCACCTTTCAGGTTGCAGAGGAGAGAAGAAACAGTTAATACATTCTCACACACACACACACACAGAGCACATAATACATAGACTCAGACAGCACACATACATACACACACACACACACACACACACATACATATATACGCATGGTTACGGGCTGTAATAAAACCAACACACACACACGCCCAACCAAACATTAAATAAGCTGGTTGCACCGCTAACACAAAGTTATTGTGTTATTCTGGTCATTTTACTCAAATTTTATTAAATTGCAGATGCCTACGCGCCCAGTCTTGCAACACCTGGAGGGCTGGAGGATGCGCGTGTACGTGCACTAGATCCGTGTGCGTGTACATACCATGATAACGTCTCCGGGGGCGATGCTGATCTCGTCGTGGCTGCGGGCATCGAATGGATACAGAGCCCTGTAGTAGACCACCTTCACTGGCTGCTGCTGCTGGTCGAAGCTGCTGACCGGAGTCTTCTGGTCAAACAGACCCGGAACAGGAGCCTTGTGGTCAAATAGACCCGGAACAGGAGCGTTCTGGTCGAACAGACCGGGTGCAGGAGACTTGTGGTCAAACAGGCCCGGTGCAGGAGACTTGTGGTCAAACAGACCCGGTGCAGGAGACTTGTGGTCAAACAGACCCGGTACAGGAGACTTGTGGTCAAACAGACCCGGTACTGGAGTCTTCTCCCCTGTAAATAAGCAGAGAAAGTGAACATTAATAAACACAGACTAGAACCATCAGTGTCTGTTGCTGGGCTAAATCTAAATAAACAACACTCAATATATCCACTTGTTGGGATCTGTACCACGTCCTTTTATAACAAAGAGGGTTCGGCCTACAGGGGCCGCCAAAACCCCAAACTACCGGGGACCGAGGTCTCATTGGACGAGGGCCTTACACAGACCCTTTCACTTCTCATCCAGAGAATCAGACGTTGCAGATTGGAGCGCCGAGTTCTTCGGAAATGTTGTCACGTGTTACTGCGTACATTTACAACTGGCTTTTTCCGGGGATCTTTTCTCCGTTTCATGCATTCCTACGGCCCGGCGGCCCGGAACTCACCTTTCGAGCCCCAGGGGTCGGCCGGCTGGCTGAACAGCTTGCTCAGTTTCTCATGCACCTCCTTCTTGCCTCTCCCTTCGCCCTCCTTCTCTTCTGGCAATCCTGCAGCCTTCCGGCCCTCTTCCTCATCCTCCTCCTCTTCCGTCCCTCTCCTCTCCTCCTCTTCCTGAGCCACTCTGTTTAGCCAGGCGTGGGGTGCAGAGATGGAGGCGGGGCTCGGGGCGTTGGGGGCAGAGCTTGCAGCTTCGTCCCTCCAGGACACGGCCTCCTCTGATGACAACCTGATGAGAGGCAGAGGAATAATTAACCGGATAAACCTTCACTTTTAAAAACGTAAAAAATGGTTTCTATCACTCAAGACGTCCACAAGCACCTTTCCTTCTTACCTGCTGTGCTGCAGCTCGGCGGACTTTCTCTCGATCGGAGTGTGCATGTGAGGGTGTGTGTGCGTCAGTGTGTGCGTGTCTCCCTCCAGCTCCCTCTGCTTCTGCCTCTGCTGCCGGCTGTGGATCTCCCTCAGCTCCTGCAGGGCACGATTACATACGGGAAGGAACAGCGGTGAGGAGGAAATGAGGTCAGAGGGCGGGCTGCTACGGGTCACCACCGACAACAAACCACGAACAGTCAACAACAACAACAGCAGCGGCAGCAGTATGTAGTAGTCGGGTGAGGATGTATACAAACATGCACCACACATGTCTTCTAGATAGTGGATGGAAGTGTCGTTCATTCCAGCAAGTAAACCAGACAGGATCTTTGAATTTTGTAAACTAAACTCTAAATAAAATACTTTGTTTGTATAAAAGTATGCTTTAAAGTATGTCTTTATTATTCATGTAGGATTAGTTAGTGTATTACAAAGCTCTGGGAGTCTTACTACTCAAGACCTCAGCGTAAACAAATAAAGATTGCATTTGCATTGTTACTCAAACGTCTGTATATTTCTGTTCTGTTCTCAAGTGGATACCTTTTTGTTTTTTTTTAACCAAAGAACCACAGTGATTACAAACTTCTCAAACATTTATCAAGAGTTTCAAAATGACCCACAGCGGCCACGTTGTTGGGGGCGGAGCTTGCACAAGGGGCAGTACGATTGAATGGAGGCGTTTGTGGAGTAAGCAATATTATGTAAGTCGTAAACGGGGAGGGGGGGGGTCGCAGAGGAGGGGATGCAGTGGGGAAGCTCTGGGTAGTCATGACAACCAGCTGTGCCATTAGAACACTCTGTTACTACAACAACACAAGGCAGCTGTCCTGTTTCACCAGCACAAAGAAAGCTTCAGAAACAAGCAACCCTGAAGAGAGAGAATGCCCAATCAATCTGAAACAGGAAGTGGGGGACGACAGGGCATGCAAACAATCACAGATTAGACAGATGACAGATTCATCCAAATAAAGACACTTTACCATACTCTGATTCCAGGTAGGAGTAACAGCGCAGCGCTAATGTAGTAGTATAATCACTCATCTAGGGCACCTGCTACCTATCCAGCCTGTTAGCTTAGCACGACAAAGCGCTAACAACAGGGCCAAAGTCAGCTGGCCAATTGGTGAGCTAACGCTAGCTGGGCTAGGAAAAGAAAGAAGCCGTAAGAGAAGATAGAATATTTTAGGGGACTAGCGGAAAATGAGAAGGTGAAAGAAAAGATGAAGCAAAGAGAAGGTGATTCAAAGAGAGAAAGTGAGAAGTGAACGAGAGATCTAGGGGAGGCCCTTTATAACGAAGTGAAGCTGTATTATGCCTACCTTTTATAATCCCATCTCAGCTAACATGAGATAACTTCGTACATGACAATTCTACACACAGCACACACACACACAACAGCAGGTGACAATGGACAACTTTAGTTGAACCAAATATTCAAGAGCGTACATTTTATGGTGTTATTTGCTTAAGGTTTCCAATTGATTTAGAAACTGACAGGAATCATTATTTTAATCTCTGACATGTATCGGGTGATTTTCTCTCAGTGAGGATTAAACCAGCGTAGAAGAAAGGGAGGGAGGGAGAGCGCAAAAGACTCAAGGAAGGAGAGTCTCTAGTGACTCAGTGTTGAAAAACACTCCCACTTGAGTGCAACAGGGCTGGTTAGGATTCTTTCACAGACTTCAATAGGATATAATAGTTCAGGGAGTGTTAGCAGGTTTTTAAGCTGGTAAGGAGACCGACACAATTACATTTTACTCCCCACTACAGACGAAAAGTATTCTCATTAATGAATATGTTTTTTTTATCCTATTATATGTATCCAATCAGTAAATAGTCAATAGTTTAGCTAACAATGCATTTATTTCCTCCTATAATGTCTCCCTGTCAGCGGTGACTGACTAGCGAGCTGAGAATGAACAGGCCATCAGGATCAATACTTGAGGATCTGAGTGCTTTGCACTGATCAAACTACTACAGTCGAGCTTCGACCAGCTGAAATACATCTGGCTGCCTGACAGGTGCACAAAATGTGAAAAAACAGGAAACCTGATGTTTTAAAAGGCTGGTTTGTAGGCGTGGAAGGTTTGCAAAAGCCTCCAAAAGTTACTTAAACTCTTGAAGCGCGCAAGTTAGTAGTCCGACGACAGGGTGTATTATGTTTCACTTGTTTCTGAAGTAGTCTGGTAGTGCGGCTCAAATCCAAATGCAAAAGGAAAGACAAAACTGCTCCATGCTCCCGGTCGGCCATTAGAGGCGGTGCGTTGGTCACAGGATTATTTTTCCCATTGCAGAGTGAATCTCGGCTGCAGTACCACCCCGGTCCAGCAGCGGCAGTGTGCTCTACCTGTCTCCCTCTCTGCTCTTCCTGAAGCTGGCGTTGCAGGGCTTCTATCCTGGCACAGTGGTTGCCATAGAACTCACACAGAGACTGGCATGGGCAAAGGAGCAAAAGGCCAGTGTGGGAGATAAATAAAAGAAAAAATATAGAAGGAAGGGTTTGTTACGTTGATTCACACAAGGAGTATGATTTGGAAAAGAAACAAGAGGTGCAGAAACACAGAGTGAAGAGGTGGGAAGGAGACAGGGAGCAGGAGAGCGGCTTGAATCAGGAAAACAGAATGAGCATCGGAGAGTCGCAGCAGGTGAGGAGGACAGAGGAGGCAGTGTGGGATTTTGGGGAGAGGAAGGTGGACGGTCAAAAGTTCACATCTCGGCGGACTCTGTTTTGTAAAGAATCAACCGGGATCCAACTCCGCTGGTTTTGTTCATTCTGGCTCATTGTGTTCATTACAGTGAAAGAGACTGAGTACAAACTTCATTAGATTAACCATTAGAAAATCTATTTATTGTGTTCTGGGTTGTCTCGGCTTTCCGGACCAAAGGACTGATTCCGGTGCCGGTGAAAGAGAAAATGACAAAAGGTGCTTTAGGAAACATAAACACACCAAGCTTCAACACAAAGGTACAATGTGTAATCGGGGTAAGCACCTCAAATACGGTCTGTAAAACCTAAAGACATAAAGCAAACTGCAAAATAACATCAAGGAAAGGCAAAACCAAAACACCTTTGGACGTAATAAATATGTAATATTCATTGACCTTTTACTTTCAACACTACTCAACAACAAGTCCTCGGGGAAGCTATACGTCTTTGTCCTAGAGCGGACACGGAGACTTTGCACCATTATAATAAATAAACGTTGCGCTGATCTTACATATCGCATCTTTAAAAGTACGAAAATCCCTCCAGCTTCCTCTCTCTAGTAAACTGTTGACGAAAGCTCCTGCGTGCGTCCGGCTCTCTCCACAAGCACAGCGATCAGCATTAATCCACAAAGCAACCGCATAGCAACGCGCCAACACAAACAACCACGTTCAGATGATTAGCGAACATGAACATTGGGATTATGTTAGCTGGTGTGAGGACGGGATTACGAAGGACGGGACAAGACGGGGTTTAAAGCTACAGTCACAACACCAAGGCTTTTAACAGAGATCAGCGCGTTAGCCAGACATTTGATGTATTTAATCGAATAAAAGAATCAAACGAATAAAAACGCTACTGTGCATCAAACTGAGGATATGTTGTAACAAAGTGTTGCGTGTGTGAAAGCTTTATCAGATTAAGTTTGATTTTGAGCTTTACTTTAAAAAACATACAAGAGGGCAACTAAAACACCAGAAGGAAACTTTTTAAAGCTTTTTCTTGTACTGTTCGTGAATTGTTGGGTAACTTCTTTTTCCCCCGATCATTCTGACTCTTGATCTGCTGTTTAATGACATCTTGTATGTACGTTAACCAGTGCACTGCAGCACCAGCAGACTGCCAGTGGCGTAGTTGCCTCTATAACCGGCACAGACCCGACCTATTAACCCGTCGGGCGCCGAGCCGCTCACCTTCAGCTGGGTGTTGAAAGCGTCGATCTCCAGCAGCTTGGCCCTCGTCTCTCTCTCCACCGCATCGAGCTGCTCTCGGAGCTGCTGTCTGCTGCTCTCCTTCTGCTCCACGGCCTTCTGCAGGGACGACAGGCTGTCGCCTGACCGCACACAGCGCAGTTAGCTACGGACACTCAGTTAACCCGCAAAAGGCTAAGAAGAGAAAATAGTACCCCGCTCCGCTCTACGTGACATTTATGTGTTTATGAATCTAATCCGAGGGGAGAACATGCACGTGTGACATTTACATACGAGCGTACGTTTAAGTTGTGTGATACTCACGATGCAGACTGTTCTGTTGAACCTGTTGCAGCTCCTCGTTGAGACTCTGTTTATCGGGAATTAGCCTCCCCAACCATTGCTGGGAGTCCTGTAGACAAATAGGTTTTATTCTTTTTATTAAATATCCTTGATATATATAGACAACTGCTACAGTTCCTACAGAACCCGTTGCTCTTGCGTACCTGCAGCTGCTGCTGCAGCAGTGTGATCTCAGCGATGCGCGTTTCCCTGGTCAGGTTGGTCTGCTCAACCTCTCTCCGCTGAGCCGACAGACGAAAGCGAACGTCCTTTAGTTTGCCCTCCAGCTGGCTCTTCTTATCATTCTGCAGGACGGGGAGGAATATGATATTACGTTTCTGCAGGGCGTGCAAAGTGTCGGGTCACGGACACAATTTATTGACACCAGTTCCGATCTGTCGGCATCAGCAGATTGCTTTTGGCTTATCTTTGAAGACACCTTCTAAGACCGTCATTGTCCCACCAATCAACACTCTGTACGGTCAGTTAGCGCTGTTAGCTCACAGTGGTCGTGTCAAGCTAGCGGCGCCTTGTCTACGGGGCCTGCGTAATGTTGGATTACCAGAGCCTCCAGTTCGAACTCCAGGGTCTTCTTCCGGGCTTTGAGCAGCACGATGCTCTCCTGCTCTCGGTTCCTTTGAGTCAGAAGCTCCTGGCGGCGTTGACGCTCCCACTCCAACTGACGCTGACGCTCCAATTCACGCTTAGCAGCCTGGACGGACACACAAAAACACGCACGGGGTTGGAAACAACATCTCAATCACATTCACTTGACGTTTCGTTGTACGCAACAAGCCGTAACGAGTGTAAATCCAGCTCTTTACTCTGAGAGCGGCGGCTTAACGGGGGCGGCAGAGGGTCCTGAAGTCGGACGTGATTACGGGGCAGCGGCAGTTAATCGCCAACTCAAGCACAACTCTCAGAATGCAGAGACCCGGTAATCGTACCTCTCTCCTCTCTATCTCTTTGCGTCTCTCCTCCTCCCGCTGCCTCTCCAGCTCTCTCTGTCTCTCCAGTTGCTTCTCCAACTCGTGCTGTCGCCTCCTCTCCTGCTCCAGACGCTCGCGCTCCTGAACAAAAACAAAAAACACACACAACAAAAATCAGCCGGCAGAACAAACAACTTTATTATTTGTCACAGGTCACGCGGCGCATTTCAATGGCGCGGGACACCGCGGCTCATGCCATGAAAGCACTGTTGCCGTTATAGATGCAACTATTTTATAACGCAAGCGATCCGCCGCGGCCGATTTCAGGTTTTGAAGGACTAGAGTGTGGAAATAAGTCCACCTTTCTCTCTTGCTCCTCTCTCTCCAGCGCTGCCAGCCTCTCCTGCTCCTTCCTCTGCAGCTCCTGAAGAGCCTGCCGCCTCTTCTCCAGCTCCAGGTTCCCGCGCTCAAAGTTCTCCCTCTTCTTGTCCTCAAACGTCACTGAGAACACGCAGAGGGAGCGAGTATGAAGTTAAACAACAAATATTTTTTTCAAACAAGTTTCCCTGAAAAATGTTTGCAGGTTGTTTGTTCGTCAAAAATCGAAGCATGAAGGAAACATTGTTCCACTTTGACCAGCGCGGGCCAATCACCTGGCAGTCTCTTGTCCTGGCTGCTCTCCGCCTCCTCCTCCGCCGCCTCCTCCTGCACGCTCTTCTGGTCCGACTGAACACTGTCGCTCCGCACGCGCCTTCAACACCATACACAACTTATCAACACACTTTTCAGAATTCACCTGATTAAACTAAATTTAAAAAACACGTTCATAATATGTTCGTAAAATCGTGTGGCGGCAGCAACCTGAATGTGGGGGGGAGGTAATCTGGTGGTAGCACAGGGGGCAGCGGGAGACCGGACATAGCCATATCTATGAGGTGCATGGCTAAGATAAACTCCTCCGCTGTTAGCTTCCCATCCTGGTCGATATCGGAGAGGCTCCTAAAGGAAAAAAAAAAAAATGAAACGCTTCAAGGACAAATGTCTCAAAAAACTCCTGTTTTGTGAAAGCGTTCACTGTGCTGACCATATGGTGGCCAGCTGGCCCTGAGGGAGACTCGACTGCATCAGGATGGTACGAGCCTGGGGACCTGAGAGAGAAAGAGAGTCACCAAACACATCTACTCCTCCGGGAAATATGAGAAGGACAACATCGCAAACAATGTCAGAGTGTGTGTGTGTGTGTACCCGTTAGGTGTCCACTCATCATCTTGTCGTGGGAGTTAAAAAGCTGCCTGTACTTGAGCCTAGAGGACTGAGGAACCGCCCAATCACAGGGCGGCTGAACGCTGACGAGCAACAGAAGATAGAGTTCAGGAGAGAAAAACAGACACATGCCATCTACTATCCACATTCACAGTACTCTTTAGATTCTCCCTGCTAAAAGGCCCAAAAAACTATCGGGAGAGTAAAATATATATAAAAAATTTTAGTTTTAATTTACGAGGCCAAATGCTGTGAAGGTCTCCGATAACGCGGCCTACCTCGTGACGTCCACGGACGTCCCCTTCTGCAACTTGGCACTGGAGCGATTAAAGGACGAGGACTTGTTGACGGAGGCGGCTGAGAGGGACGGAGAACGGAACAACTTAGTTCACTTCAAACAATTAGTTATCAATTAATTGATTTCAACTAAAAGTTCAGTGCATGGTTTAATATTTTGATTGATCATTGGACAGCCAGTATTTGCTTTATAATAAGAGCGATAATAATATCATACAATTGGCTCCGGTCCCCTTTGACTTCCTGTCGTGCCGAATACTTTGGAACCACACCTGCACGCTCTTCAAACTTTTCTGCCCAAAGCATGAACAGCCTATTTAAATTTAACTTTGCTGAGCGAGAGCCGGAGAGGCACGACTCGTCTCTCACATTAATATTTAGCAGGCTCATTTGCCACTTTGAAAAAAATGTCCTCATTATATATAATCTACTCCAAGCCCATTTGTTCTGCTCTTTTCAAGCTTGTGATTGTGCTCCTCTGTACATGCACATATTTTAACTCCTTCTCTCGGCTCCCTGCGGATTCTCTCAGCATCCAGGTGCTTTCTCTCCCGATCTAAAATGTAGCGCACATGACATGATGATTAAATTCATCCCTCTCTGGTGAGGCCTCGCTTGCGGGAGTTCGGGTTAATTGGAAAAAGGAGCTTCTTAGAAGCAGCGCCCGGGAGGGTCAAAGCTCCATCTTCATGTGCACGTCTACGTTTATTTCACTTTTAATACCCTACGTATGGATCATGTCACCTGTTCATTTGCTAATTCTTTAAAAATGATGGCAGCCTGTCATCAATCCATCAAACCTACGGGCCGTTTAGAGCAATCCGTCGTGTCGCCTTACTGGAGAACCAGGAGAGGAGATGCTATCGAACGCCCATCTCATTCTCAGTTCATCCCTTTCTTTCAGGTTGGTACCTCGAGCGTCCTTCTATTGCACCTCTTTCCCCACGATAAACTATCCAGCTCTCATGTTTATTAAGCTTAAAAATGACAAAGGCCAAGCCCTCACTGATCCACAGAAGCAGCATAAAAACACGCCGTCGCAGTGCGTTACCTGGGTGGGGGAAGCCCGAGGTGGGCGCCATCATGCCTGTGGGAGGGGCTCCGTTCGCAATGGGCGGAGGGAGCGGAGGGAGGGCGGACGAGCCGAGCGGGGGGGACACTCCGACGGGGAGGGGCGGGAGGGGGAGTGCAGGCACGGCCGACAGGGGGGCTGAGATGGTGGGCATGGAGGGCATGGGGGGCATCCCTGGAGAAGGACAGAGAACACATTGCATTATTATTATTATTGGAGGGGGGAGAACCATGACCCTCTACTGTGACCGCAGACTGCGAGACGGAGTTAGCGAGCGTCTGGAGAAGGAGGAGCCACGTCGTCCTCTACACACACACACACCTGCAGCGTGTTCGTTTTACCACGACGCAGATAAGCAGTTGTCACATGAAACAAACGATTCCATCTCTGTTATTCCTTCAAACAGCTGAGAGAAAAATCTAAAACAGTCTCACCAAAGCCGCCCTGTGGGGGTAAAGTCAGCTGTGGTTGTTTCATACTGGGAGGAAGCGCGGGGGGCAGAGGGTGACCCTGGAGTTTCAGCTTGATGAGTTTCATGGCGATGGAGAACTCGTGGATGTCCATACGGCCGTCGCTGTTCATGTCGGCCAGAGCCCTGAAACGGAGAAAACGTTGAAAGGCAGGAACCACTGCGACGGAAAAAATACAGCAATAAGTTAATTGACATTGACTGTGAGGGACAGGACTCACCAGATCTGGGCCAGGACGGGAGGCGGCAGACCCGATTGAAGGAAGAAGTTCCTGGCTTGGTCGCCTTGACGGACCAAGAGAAACAGGATGTGGGATCAAAACGAAGGGGGACTTTAGATCATGTGGACACATGAATGCGCTTCCTGATCGCACTCTGAGCCAAACGAGGCCATTAGATCATCCGGTTAATAAAACGCCAGACAAAACAACAATCACATAGTTTCAGTCTCCGTTGGAACAAACAATTAGTAGATCGATTGAGAAATCGGATGCTGATCACACGGTCGAATAAACCCAGACGAGGGGGATCGTTTGTCTTCTTGTTTTCAGATTCTGATTTATGATTTTTTTTAACACACATCCAGGACCTTGTTCATGTCCCCATCTCACCTCACACTATCAGTGTGTGTGTGCGTGTGTGTGTGTGTGTGTGTGATGTGTGTGGGTGCGATAAAAAGAGAGTGAGAGAGAGAGACGGCTACCTGTGATGTAACCGCCGGGAGTCGGAGACAGGCTGAGAAACTGCTGATCATGTTTGGCTCTCTCATCCACTGAGATCAGGAACGCATCTGGACCGCACCCACAAAGAAACACACACACATTAGACACCATACACAACGACAGACACAAACAGAGGGAGAAAGGACCGGCATGAGGGGAATGTGTTAGTCATAGAGTTCCAATTCCTCTTAGAAGATTCCTACTAGATGAGCAAGAAGCTGAAGGGGTGAGTGACTAGGAGGCCTTTTCATCTAGAGGAGTCCTCTGATTCACTTCAACGTGTGAGTGTGACACGCCCAACGTGGGGGCGATGCCCTGGCTTTAATAAATAATAAGCAAGTCTTTCTGCCTACCAGATCCGCTTAATCCACCAGTTTCCATGTAAACTAAAGATCAGATGAGATTCCACATCATAGGTTCCCTTGAGCTGCGACTGCATCCTGTATCTTCTACTGGCAGTTTAAAGCTGAGGTGAACCCATTCATTTTAAATGCATGAAGAGTTGCGGCTGACAGAAACAGTATTGTGTGTTTAGTCCCTCTGCTGGTTAACAAGATTATTCTTGCTGACTCGTTCTGCCCAAATGCTTCTGAAGAGAAAATATCTAATAAATAAAAAAAAGAATAAATAATCTTATTTATGTTGATCACATTTTGTCCCCTCATGGTTTGAGTGGCTGGTCCTCATCCAGCAGGACGTCAAGAGGACAATCAAGTTCTACCCAACAGTGACAAAAACTGTCTGTCTTTGTGTCCAGCTGTTAGTCCTTTTGACAGCTGCTACGTCTTCATACGAGACATCTAAGCGAGCATCGTCCTTCTTTTGTTGTCATGTGACTTCACATCGCTGATTAAAAGGAGCGACGTGCTGCCGTCTCGCCCTTTTCTACTCGACTGTCAAAATACCAACTCGGGCCGAGGTTAGAAGCCTTCTTTTGTTCCCGTGACGCAGATACTGACCGGTGAATGTGGTGGGGAACTGTGCCATGGTTCACTCGGTCTTCTTCAGCACTACACGACACCTGAAACAACACAATCGCAGACACAGATGCAACAAATGTGTTAGTAACGCGGCCGCCGGTGAGGCACGCAGATGCTGTCAGAGAGGTCAGCGGTCCGCCTGCGCGATCAAACGCGTTTTTAAATAAAAGATCAAACCCTGTCTGGCCCCCGGCCAAAAGGTGCCGATGAACTCAGGGGGGGAGAATTATATTCCAGCACGAATCCAGTTTGTTTTCCACTCGGCTGACTTTTAATGCCGGAGTCGAGAGTTCCTAGAACTTCGCCCATCGAGCCGTCACGGCTCCGAAAAAGACACAAAGCACGTTTAGCACTATAATGAGTCTATGTTGATGCTCTAAAATGTGAATTTTTGATTTGTTAAAAACAGCACCACAATAACGAGTACCTCGGCACTAGTAATAGGTATGTTAATCAGATCCAGACGGGCCAGCAGACCACCCATAATAATAATAATAATAATAATAATAACAACCTGACACACATTGTGAGTGGATGTTGCGCTGCCGGAGTCAGCGTGATGAACATCTGAATCTGGTCTTCTTTCCAACAAAACTACATTGAGCCATTTAAAGGGTCCAAGTCGATGGGATTCCAAGAAAATCCATTTACAAAAAGCCTCCACCGCGATACAAAGGAGGCGGGTCAAAAACTAAAAGAGAAAGTTACTCCGACATCACTGTTCCTTCCGTATAAAACGGTCCTCAGCGAGTGAGTGAGTGTGTGTCTGTGTGCGTTCTATTATGATCAGAGAGGGAGCACAAAGTAACCAGCTTAACTAGGTCATACGAACAAAGCCCACCCTACACAAACACACACACACACACACACACGCGCGCACACACACAAGCCTGCCACTGAGGACATAGTGAAGCAGTTGAGCATCTACAGCTGATTTTTGTCCTGCTCTGAAGTCCGGACGGGCAGTGATCCAACTCTTTTTGATAACACTTTACCAAAATTCCCAAGAATTTCGTCCAGTTGTTTCTCTTATTTTCTCAGTCAAAGATATTTGACTCCTGAGGCTCCTTTAAAAGCATTCGTATCCCAAAACACATCATTCAAAATACTCTGCGCTCTTTCTACGTCAAAGCCACCACAGCGTTTTTATTATCATCTTTGGCCAGCACATGAAGCATAAAGAATTTAACAGAAGTTAAATTATTTTCACCTCCTGTGCAGGCAAATCATCTCGTGAAATGTCTGAGGCGGCCAAAACTCAGATAAGCTGCTTATGAGTCAAAGTGACTTTTGTTTAGCACAACTCCTCAGAACAGAGTGAACTCGGAGCGAGAATGAGTGCAACACCGGCAAAGACACGTTCCACAAGACATTTTGAAACGGTGCCATTGACACAGTTCAGGTCATGGTCATGGCACCTTAAGGAATTAACCATTCATTCAATTTGCTGATTATATTCCAGTGATTGGTTTTAATCATGCACGGCTTATAAGAGAGAACCATTGCCATAAGTAATAGATCCAGAAAACCTCATTTAAACTGCAGTGAGAAGTCCCTCTGCGATGAATTTGAACATGGATGTCCTTTGTCCTCTGCTCTCCATGGCCACAGAGCACGTATTGTCTTTGTGGGATTAGTCTGCATAATTAGAGCATTGACGAAACCGGAGTGTTGGTCTGCTATCAAGACTTGTGGCAGATGCCTGTTTAAGTCCCATAGACCCCCCCGACCCTCCCTCTTATTTTCCTGAGGGCCCCATCAACGTCCCCCCCCCCCTTTCCCAGCTTCCATAAATGAATTTGGGATAATTGCACATAATCTGATGCCCCGCCCCCCAGATGACACAATACTGGATCCCTAAAGAGATTAAACCCTCACCAGTTTAATATTTTATATTAATATTATATTTTTTGCAATTCATATTTTTGGCTTTGCCATAAGTTGTGTCAACTTTTACTCCCACCGGGGGCAGCCTCACTTTGTGATTTTATTTTTCTGTTTATCTGTGACCAGATGTAAGAATCCATATTATACATTACATATAATATCACCTGAACAACTTCTTCAGGCCAAACAGATAATCCCTGATCACTGGATTTATTTGTTCTTTGATACAAAGCAGGAACAAAACATATATACTTATACATACAAGATACATCATGTGATCCATTCACATCCTGCAGGGTCAAAAATGAGTCCAATCACAGAGTTAACGGAAAACACTTTGCTGACTAAAACGCTCCGTCCTGAAGCACCTGAGCGGCCATCGTTTTAGTCTGAAGTAGAGACGAAATGACGAGTCGGCCCAGTGTTAATATTGGCTTACTAGTTTCCAACATTTAATATCGCTGTTAGTACTTTATTAAAAATGTCTCTTGTGACTGTTGGACTGTTGTTGTCACCCATCTCCTCTGTATCACTCCATCCCTCACCCATCTCTTCTGTATCACTCCATCCCTCACCCATCTCTTCTGTATCACTCCATCCCTCACCATCTCCTCTGTATCACTCCATCCCTCACCCATCTCCTCCCGTATCACTCCATCCCTCCCATTGGCTCATCCGTTGGTTGCTCATACAAGCTGTGCGACTTACATAAGTTCACCAAAATGATAATGGTTTTCAATGGTAAATTGGCTTTATATACGACAGATAAAAAATATCATTTTTCAGAAGGGAAGGCGGCCTGATCCATTCGATTAGCTTAAAAAGGTGAAACCCATTTTTTGTCAATGCAAATGGAAATACGATGAACCGTTGAAACTGTTTGAAATGCATTATTATGTTGAATCCCTTCCTGGGAGATGAACTAATTGTATTACGTGTTCCTGATTTGTAGGTCGTTGGAAGAAAGAACACAGACGGCCTCCAGAAGCCAGACAAACTTTTGAACTTTGTAATTAGGTTTGGTAATGTGCATTTCCCGGCCAACCAGAATGTCAGAGACAGAAAACATTTTTGATGACAGAAATAAAACAGCCCATTTACATGTGCTTTCTTGTTTGCGTGAAGTGCAAAATGCAACTGGAGGATTCATCTTTAACTACAGAGAACAGCTGTATGCATATTATTACTCTCTCTCACACACCTAAAAGTTCAAAGGTCACATTCAGATGGAGAATGATCCACCTACACAACTCTGTGTGGTTTAAGTAGTTATACATATATTATAGAACAGAACCAGCGTTCTGCACATAATAAAAACAAAGTACAACTCCCAGGTGAGGCGTGCCTGTTATGACCAATTAAAGGCCTCTTTTATTCACCATTACAGGCAGTGCAACGTCTCTTGATTAATCAATTGTTTTAAAAGCTGTACACGTTCACATTTGAGCTTTGTCCATCACAGAACACTTTGCCCTTTTGCTCAATCAAACAACTGTAATTGATCGCTTCTCATAACTGTCGCAAGTTAACTTCCCGTCCACACACAACTTGATTAATCGGTCAATTGTTTCGGCGCTGGACGGAGGGCCGGTCCCCTACAGTGCATTGTTGAGGAGGGGAGGGTGTGTTCCTCTCGACAAACAGGCTTTGAATCGCAAGCGTGTCTTTGCTCCTGAGAGACCAAAGGGGGAGTTTTAGGAGTGTTAAGAACAACATGGGAGGTAATTAGGGAATTGCGTGTGGCGCTCGATCGAAGCGTCGCTGAGTGTTTCCAATCAAGATGCTTGTGGGGGTTTTCTAACCTGAAAGTCTCTCACCTTTAGGACGAGTGGGTGGGGGGGTGGGGGGGGGGGGGGGGGGGGGGGTACACATCTCGGCTTCCGGGGGAAACCCTCCTTACCCACCCCCTAAGAAAAAAAAACCAGGGCCGTAAAAAAAAACCCCGCTGAAGTAACACACCAGCCGGAAGGATGTGGGAGCAAACTTCTCCGGAAACCGACAACAAAAAATGCTCTGCTTGTCAATTCGTCTCCACTTCCTGAATTAATGCCGCGGACTCGCCCGTGGTGCCTTGCTCAACTGCCCCGCAGCACGTTTCCGTTTTAACGCGACAGAACTACAGGCGGCTGTTTCTGAAGGGTCAGCCAGATGGGACCAACATCAGGTTTAACGCTAAGCTCAGTGCTAAGCTAACCGAGGAGAAAACCACCACCCACTGGAGGTCTGCGAGCATCCCAGCACCGCCGAGCCCCCTTTTGTCGATTCATCGTCCTCCTCTCCACCGACCCGGGATACTTACGCCGGGCGTCGGTTCGCAGCGCGCTAACGTCGGGTCTCGCGCTGCCAGTGCAGCTCCAGTGATTTAAACGTTAGCCGTGCTGGCTAGCTGTTGGTAGCGGCTGGAAGGCATCGGTCTCCCAGTTGTAGTCGCCCAGTTGTAGTCGCCCCCAGTGCTACGCAAATCGATATTAGACACCTCCCGGGCAAGTGTACGTATCCCGGCTGGAGGCTGACACCAGCGAGCTACGCCGAGTTAAATGCAACGACAAAGCAACCCCGCTGAGCAATATATCCCAGCGGATAGCGAGCAGGCTAACCAGTGAGAAGCTAACGTCAAGCCGCTCAGGGACATTCTTCCACACCTCACATACTACACTCTGCCCTTACCTCATAGTTCAGTTTCCATGGTGAAATACAGAATGTAGTAGCTCGTTGCGTGTTTATGTGACCATGTGATTTTGTATATCCTCCCAAAATGTGCGGTTTTATCACCAAAACCCTTCCCGGTGATTCTCCTGCGGTTTCGAAATCCCGACCGATTGAGGGACAGCTGGAAAATGGGGTAACGCTTCTGTCGTATCGCGAGACGTGGCAGTTACTACCCTGCTAATCTCGCGAGATCTTGGTCGGCAAGAAAACCGGGGACGCTGTTTTTTAAAAGGGTCAGTTGAGCTCCTGTCTGGCTGGTTGCTGTTTAATTGAAGAACAAAATGTTAAAAATGCATCCAAAACCAAACAAAAATGTGAATAAGAATATATATGTATCAGAGTAATTAAACCGGAACCAAAGTTTCCAACGGTTTTTGCTGGTTGGTCTAAGAAAAATGTAACATTCTTCAACAGAGAACATGATATCATTCTGGGAGTAATCTCTAACGGAACTGTTATAGAAATGAATAGGATCAGGAGTAAGAAATTACCAAAAAGAGACCATAATTATTATTACATTTTAGTCACATAAAAAAAACAGTCAAAAGCCCTGCTCATGGAAATTAAGAAACATACCTTTAAGAAATGTGGATTGAAAGTGCCAATTTGCAATTGTAATAAATCAAGTTAATACACATTGTGGAACCATTCACATAACTAAGTCGACAACAGAAGGAAATATTTAACTATCTACTTTAAGACTTTACTTAAAAGACAAACAAATACGTTATTCCTGAATTTACAAATCCGAACGGATGAATGAAAGAAAAGTTTATAATGTAATTTTGGGGGAAATGATGGTCCCCACACTTCACATGACACTTTTACCTAAATCTTATGATAAAGGGTGTTGTAGTACACCAACACATCCACCAGGGGGCGGTGCTGTGGTGATTCTTAATACTTCAAGCAAAGTTCCCAACAACAAAGAAGAAAAAGTCAGCTGACTCAAGCAGGAAGTGAAAGGTATTTTCTCTGGGAGTAAACAGATACGTATTAAGAGGTTTATCCATCGCATTTAATTGCGTAATTTAGAGGATTAGCAGCATGAAAGGTTTGTTCTGCCGAGCCGGCGCGAGCGATGCTGAGCCCAAGTTCGTCATTCAGGAAACGGTGAGTCTCCAACACTGCGACTCAACGTCAACATGTCTTGGTTTTCTCATCAAGCATCATGTAAATAAAACAATCTGCAATCCATAATCATATTCTATGCATATTCATTTCATGTTATTTATAAAATTGCCATATATATATATATATATATATATATAAAATTCTATTTCTCTTTGTCTTTACCCTCCAGACCCTCCCAGATGTTTTGGGCGGCCACCTGGTCCGAGTCCAGGTGAAGGCATGTGGACTCAGCCCGCTGGACCTCAAGGTACCGCAGCCACAGACGATGTGACCGTAGAATCGCTATCCAGGACATATTAAAGTAGTGTAGCTGCTTATATCCAAGTGTCGCCCTGTTAAAGCATTCACGGTGGTAGGTGTGCACTCTGCTCACACAACGGTACAACAGCCTCTCTCTGCTCACATCTGTCCAGCTGCTCGATGACATCGGCGTCCACAGAGATCTGATACCCGTCGGCAGGGAGGTGGCGGGAGTCGTGCTGCAAGGTCGGCATCACCCAAACAGACTTTTCACTGGTGCCGCCTCATGGTCTAAAAGTTATCCGGACCTTTGCACAGCAATCCTTAACTCATTTTGTTTTTTCCGCAGTGGGCTCCCAGGTCTCTTTCTTCCACCCGGAGGAGGAGGTTGTAGGTAAGAGACACTTTTCTATTCTGTCTACGGTGTGTTGGAGGAAGATGGAGCATGTGATGTCGACGGTGGTGACAGTTATCAGATGTATTTGTAATATCTGATGACTCATAATGTACATTAGCTAGAACTGGGTATCATGTATTGCCTCTTCATGGTGTTCTTTCCTTTTATTTCGATGTTGAAAAGTCTTTCAAATGGTCATTTACTGAGTAACATTTAAGTTTAACTTCCTGTCCCAGGTATTCTGCCTCTGGACTCTCCCTATTCTGGACTCTGCGGTGCCATTGACATCGATGAACACTATTTAGGTATCAAACCCACACACACACCCCCAATGCAGGTCACATAACATGCACTTTGTGCAATGAGCATCTTCCGTCATCACGAACACAAATTCTCACAACACAGTCGACCAGTATGTCTATTTTGTTTTCATGGTCACGTCAACAAAGAGTTGTGTGTTGGTGTTTTGTGTTTTCCTCAGTCCAGAAGCCGGAGAAGCTGAGCTCGGTGTGTGCCGCCGGCGCTCTGCGTGACGCCCTCTGCGCGTACACTGCCCTGCACACACACGCTCGCATGGCGGCGGGACACACGCTGCTGGTCATGGACGGCGCCAGCGTACGTAAGAACAGTGAAGAACCAGGACGATGTAAAGCGGTACAACGAGAGAGTTGGGTGTGATGTTCCCGTCTCTGCTTCCTCCTCAGTCTTTCGGGCTCATGTGCATCCAGCTGGCTTGTTATCACGGCGTGAAGGTTTTCACCACGTCGCACTCGCCGCAGAAACACGCTTTCCTGGAGCAGCTGCGGCCCAGCGTGGGTAAGCGCTCCTGCAGGCGGTCAACCCAAGCTTCATGGGACGAATGTGAAATGATTTAAACCTCTTTCGACCTTTTCTTTTAAAATATTTGGGTCTTTTTCCTGTCTTCTTCTGCTCCTTTCTTCGCTCTGTCTTCCTTTACTCAGGGGTCCAGGATCCTTTAGTAGGTGAGATCTGGTTAATCAATGTGAGCGGAAGGTGTGTTGCTTTGTGTGTCCCTCTGAATCCAGTTGGTAACCATCACAGTTGGTATATTGGATTTATTTATTGTTTTTGTCATGACTTTGGTGGGAGTCTCAGGCTCCCACCAATGCTATCTTTTAATATGTGTATACATGAAAGAATACTAGACTATAAACATGAAAGAGTTTTAAAAAGTTAAAATAAGGGAAAAATAACAATAAAAAATGTGTGCAAAATAAGGACTTATCAATTCCGCATTCTAAATTAATGTTGTAAAAAGGAGAAAATGTCTTTATCTAAAGTCTGCCGCCACCATGTGGCCAAACATTGCATTTACAGCCATGACGACTAAAACCAGCTTCAGGTGTTTTGTCATCTAGACTCGCGTGTATTCATTTGTTTTAATGTTTTATGAGCCAGATTGAGTTGTGGGATGAAGTCGCTGTGTCTTGTGTGCAAAGCCAAAGTTATTCCGGTGTTTAACGGGCCGTCGGACCTGCTGCCGGCGGTCGTGGAGGAGACGGGAGGACTGGGAGTGGATATCGTCATCGACTCTGGAGGTAAACGCGTTCCTTGATTCACACTTGAGAACATGTGAGCGAGTCAGCGGCATAACACCTCGACGTGTGTGTGTGTGTGTGTGTGTGTGTGTGTAGTGCGTCTGCATGAGGAAGAGTCAGAGGAAGCAAAACTCCTTCCACATAAACATGACGTCATCAGTGTGCTGGGAGTGGGGGGGCATTGGGTCACATCCCAAAAAGACCTCCAGGTGAGTCGCAGCTGCGTCTTACAACGATGTGAGACAGATGTAAATGTATTTTTTTTTAAAAGACAAATCTATAAAATCATAATTTTGAATTACCGTCCTATTCATCACTGTTGTGTTCTTCTAGTTGGATCCTCCAGATTGCAGATTGCTGTACCTTAAATCGGCCTCCTTGTCTTTCCTCAACCATGAAGTGTGGACGGCGTCGTCGGCTCAGCAAGGCAGATACCTGCGTATCCTCTTCCACTCAGTGTGTGTGTGTGTGTGTGTGTGTGTGTGTGTGTGTAACATGGGCACGTGGTCAGGAAGTTAACGTCCCTCCTTGACAGACTTGTGTCAGATATTCTCAAGGACATCGTGGAGAAGATGTCCACAGGAGTTCTCAGGTAACTCTCACAGATCAGCTGTCTTCTATCCACCAGTAGTCAGAACACATGTTTAAAAATAGAATACAAATTCCAGAGGATCATTTTGTTCGAGGAAAATCAACTGAATAGCTTTAATTTAAATCATGAATAAGGAGCTGTGAGGCTGAGTTAAGATAAAATGCTTGTGCGCTTGCTCTCATATCAGCCCAGGGAAGCAGGTAATTCTATTCTCAGGTGGAACCTTTTGGGCTTCACAGCTTCCCTTGGTCTGGACAGGGTCTCCTCCTCCTCCTCCTCCTCCATATAACTCACTGTGGTTTAACTTAAAGCTGTCTGGTCTCAACCCGTCTCTCCAGACCGCAGCCCGAGGAGGCGGTCCCTCTCTATGAAGCCACGGTCGCCATGGAGACGATCCAATGTCACCAGAAGAAAAAGGCAGTCGTCAAACTGTGACGCGCAAAACACTCAGAAACGATTCAGAGATGTAAAATGAGCCAAAATTCTCAGGAATTGTCTTCTTTTAGAGTTTAGGGTCTTGAAGGTCACCTTCACCGGCTCGAGGACAAATTATTCTTGGGTTCTACCTAACGAGCCACAGTGTTTCCTGCTGAATATGTCTGAATACACAAAACGGATAACTACCGTCAGTCCGGTTTCTTTGAAAATCTGCAACGCTTTATTTGACTCAATTAATACACATTTTTATCAAACCTAGACGACTGAAGTCCTTGCTTTTGGTGTAAATACAGCAACCAAGTTTACGAATTGACGATGTGAAATAAACCAATTTAAGTGTCATATAACCTGTCTACTGGTGCAGTTGTTGTCTTCTCTGTTAGGGAATACTGCTTATTGCGCGATTATCATTACGCAATATACTGTTTCATTGTGTTAAAACAGGAAACGGCAGACTCGGCTGTATTTTCTCCAGAAAACTGAAAAACAACTTCATGTATGGGAGGAAAGTCCCAAACACATTTGCACACACTCATTCGTTATCTTACGCACACATACACTCACCTGTGTAAGCCGTTTTAAACCTGGAGTCGACATTTTTGGTCTGTGATCGAGTGAAGAGTCTAGTACTCGAAGATTCTTGACCGGGCTCATCGTGCAGCAAGTAAAACTCGTAAAAGTCGACCGAGTGTCTTTGTTTCTCGTGCTGTGATTGTTCTCTGGTGTAATCAGCAGGATTCGTGGATACTACGACCTAACATTCTCGATGGAGTAAAAACTTGAATCTCAAACCAAATTCCTGAAAGGAAATAATGGTGAAATGTACTGTCACTTTAAATCATAAAATAAACAAGACTGAGTCGTGTTAGTGACCCGCGTGTCCTTCTGTGATGGTGGTGACCAGATCATCAACCGGCCGAGTGGCCACACCCCCTTTCACAGCGACGCATCCTCACTTATTGCTCCTTCAGGAGAGGAGAGAAGCCCTCCGGATGCATCGTGTCCCGGGCCGGAGGAGCCGCCAGGAGCCTCGAACTCTGCTTCTTGTGGCGACCGGCACCGATCCGACGTCATCTCGCCTCGTCCACATCGGGTTGGCATGACAACAGTTCGCCGGATTGTCCCGGCGGGCCTTCCAGCGCCTCAAGACAGCTTCCCAGGATGCACCTCTCCTCCTGTCGCAGTGACTCGACCACATGGAGCTGCTCCCTGACCCGCTGGTCGCTGCGTCCGAGGAGACCGGAGATCTGAACACGTACAGCACGCCGGGTCGTTAAAGACAGCTAACCCGGTGGGCGGTCTGATGCTGGGCGAAGTGTGTTTTTGTGTGTACACACACACACACACACACACACACACACACACACACACACACACCTTGTCCAGAGCTGCGCGAGACTCTTGAAGGAGTCGCTGACACAGAGTCCTGGCCGTCCGGACGCTCCACGCCTCTCTCTCCTCACACAGCACCTGGCCGAGCAACACCGCCTTCCAGAGGTTGCTATGGAAACGAGCACACGTCTAATAAGGCCAATAAATCAGTTAATCGCTGACAAACTTACCAGTGAGACTAAAAGTAGATTCTAGAGCGCTGCAGCTTCTCTTTTGCACAGACACACACATCCTGTGTGAATGTGTGTGTGGTCTTACTATAGTGTCTGTGGCAGCGACAACAGCCTGAGAGCCGTCATCAGCCTCCAGCTGGGACCGTCACTGGACACGGTGAGATTACTGGCGAAGAAAGAAAGGGAAGTTAAAAGCTGGAGTCCTTTTACTGCATCAAATTTGCTTTCTATGTGAACTATGCAGCAAAGTCTCTTATGGTTTCTCCCACAATGGAAACAATACGAATGTAAATGTCTTACTGAAGGAAATTGTTCTCTTTGAGAAACTTGATCTTCTGATCCAAACCCCCGTCGCCTCTTAACACGTCACAGAGGAGATCTGAGGGGCCGCAGTGAACGGCAGTACAGACTTAGGACTGGATCAGGACAGAAACAACCGGTGTGACCTCCAAGAGCTCACGTGCCCCACCTGCCTCCACGTAGACCACGCTGTTGGGGTTGCAGGGGGCGACAAAGCCGTACTCCAGCATCAGGCGCTGGCTGTCGTGGGAACCGTAGTTGATGAAGGCCTGCCGGTAGCGCGGCGTCCCGCAGACGCTCCTGATCTCGTAGCACCTGGTCACGTCGTTGAAGCTCGCTTCCACCTGCAGGAAAATGATGAGATTGGTGGAAAGTGATTGGTGATTGAAAAGGTCATATATGAATTCATTCCATGAGCTGTAGTTTGAAGGTTACCTGCACGTCGGGGCGATGGTTGAGAAGGTCCAGGAAAGGAGCCAACGCGTAAACATCCTGACCGCAGAGGGAGTGGTTGGACGGGTGGGACATGAAGACGGAGCGCGTGTTGACGCTACACCACGCCCACCTGGAGGAGGAGGTGGAGGGTCACGGCTTAATAAACAAGTGGCTATCTGGAAGCGTTTGCACTGCAGGATTAAGCAAAATTCCACTTTCAGGCGTGTGTGTTTGATTAAGTGTGCATACCGCAACGCCTCGTACGTCAACACCTCGTCCGCGGGCCGACTCAGGATCGGCTGCAGGGATCTGCATCCAGAATAAATCCCTTACAGCTTAGTGGGACGTAGACATTGTTCGCACGAAAAACAGGGGTCACATCTTTTGAACAAGTACATGTATAGGTCTGTATTTAAGGCAACATGTTTTGACTGGCATGTTGTGATAAAGGGCTGCACGGAGAGCAAAGAGCACCTGAAAGCAAAGATCAAGTGTGGGAGTCACGTGACGCGGCGCGTGAACTCTGCCCCGCGAGCTCTAATGCGCACTCGGTCTCACGCGTGACTCAACACACCGGCGAGGTCACCTGAAAAAGTCTCGATGGGACGAGTGGATTTCTCGCACCGCCTCCCTCTGCTCCAGAGCCCGCCGCCGCGCGCCGCTCGGCAGAGCGGCCACCACGTCGTCGGCGAAGTAGGCGGGGCAGGTGTAGGCGGCGGGCAGCACGTCGATGTAGGGGAACCAATCGGAGGCCTCTCCCAGGTGGCGCTCGCACACCAGGAAGACGCAGAGCGCCACCAGGGGAGAGAGGCGGGGCTTCCAGCTGGGGAGACACAAGCAGCAACCCTCAAAGAAAAGCTGAGCCTCCCCTGTTTTATGACGTCGTCACGCTAAGAGTCCTTATGGTGTCTTTAATGAATTGAGCTCATTAGTTTCAAATGACGTCGGATTTTCCGATTTTACGCACTGGAATATGGAAACAATCATTCACAGCTCTGTATTCTAATCCTGCGCGTAGTAACATAATAATAATACGAGTGCAGCTTATCTGACACTTGCTCTTCTGCTTAGATGCAATTCAGTGCAACACAGACACAAAAATGTTCCTTTTAAAAAGCTGGACCAACATCCTTATGACACATTGGAGCTTTAAAGCTGCTGGAGGGCCGTTGGGAAGGACTGCATTTAATTTAATAGCTAATAGTTATTCTGTCCACATTCCGACATTCAAAGTGGTTTCCCTATGAGTGCGTCGGAGTTTACCTCTTGATATACTGTCCCAGGTAGCTGTGCAGAACAGTAGAGGTTGTGAGGAGACAAGATTCTGGCAGAGAAAGGACCAGCTGGCCCGGCTGAGGGAGACAAAGCGATAGACTTTAACACCCACAAAAACTACATCAAACCAAAGGTCAGGGGTATTATTACGTAACTGGTTGAACTGAGGCGTCTGATTGGATGCTTGTTTAGTTTTAAATATGTTGTTTTGACTCTAGCTTTAATTGGGAATAATTATAAACAATGAGAAAGATACAGAAGGCCACCTCTACAGTGAAAAGAAGGAAATGTAATCATTCTGTGGTTGTTATTTTTTATTTTCTATGACAGACTTTAAGGTAACTTACTAATAATATAAACCGCATAAACCTGGCGTAGTCCATCCAGTCAGGTGCAGACTTACCTTTATGCCTCTGAGAGCTTGAAGTCCTCTCCCCGTGTCTGTGATAACAAGAAGCATCAAACATGAACTTTAAGGTCAGATGTTCAGCCCATCAGTCGGATCATCACACAGGTGGAGTGAGGTTGCAGGTTGCGGAAGCAGACAGTCTACACGTCGTACCAGCGAAGAGCGCCGGCTGCAGCGGCGTCGAGGTGAATCCCCGCTGGTGAAGAAACTTCATGAGCCTCACGTACGGCAGCTGGTGACACATCGAGACTGAGGAAACACAGAGAGACGGACACATCTGTGTTGAAACAGCTGGCAGCAGAGACACAGTTTTAAAGAGCAAACATGAGGATGACTGATTCATACCCGACTGGACGGCGCTCTCTCGTTTCTGCCTTCTCTTCCTCGCCGCTCGTCCGGCGTGATGGCCGCGACCCCTCATGACGTCACCTGGACCACAAACACGCACATGGTATCATGCAATGCAACCCCGCAGTACTCACATTGGGTGAGATTATTATAGATGGATAATTGATCTAAATGATAACTATAAATACCACCAAGGCAGAGATCGGTCTTGTATTGTGCTTGTTTATTCATTTGAACAATAATTGTGTAACATATCCTGCCAAACATTATGGTTATCATGATTAAAGAGGTTATTTTAGAGGCTGTGGAGCACGGACGTTAAACTGCATCCCACCGACAAGTGTCTAATATAATGTTCAAGCTATTTGCATTGTGGAGGGTAGAGTAAACAAACTGAATTCTTAATCATCATTTTAACAATAAACGGATCATCACCGCAGTTGAGCAGGCAGGACTTAGACTTAGGATTCACCTAATAAAGTGGTAACTGGATGTGCATAAAAGTTACATAATTATATATTTAGGTTTGAATGCTCTCCGTGTAGCCGCTGGATACAAGAAACAACAACGCAAAGATATACATGGCGCTTTAAATTCAAAATGAATAGCAAACCACCAATGATTGTTATCAGATTGTACGGAACAATTACCGACCACAATACCTAGTTGTTATTGTCATTTGTATGAAGACTTCGTCCTGTTCGGCCTCCGGTCAAACCCACGTGGTTGACTTGTTTTTTCCGGGTGTGCGCAGTAAGGCTGCGCAGCAGACCGCCAGCTCTCCTCCCCCTTTTTCTTCTCCCTTTTCCCTCAGCGCGGCTTCCCGAACGTCTCTCTCGTCTCTGCAGCTTCTTCACCGCAGGTCCACGACCACAACGCTCCAGCACCACCTTGAAGTAAGGAACCTCCGTCACCTGCCAGTTACTATACATTTACTGCAGAGCGAAGGCGTAGTAGTGTGTAGTACCTGCATGTGTCTACTCTCTGAAATACGCCAGTGTTCGTTTGTGTATCGCTGTTGCTATCACATCAGGAAAAACGGCCTTCAAACTGAATAATCTGAAATGCATTCGGATTTTTGATATCACCCGATGCTGTGAGTTGAGTTGTATGACTTTTGGGTTGTTTCACAACTCTGCAACTAAAAGCAGTTTGCGATGTTACGTTGCAGGTTTGGATTCAACTACAGGTTATACGAGATCAGGCATGACAATGCACTTTCTATCCCTACTACGTTATGGAATGTTCTTCATTTAATACTCTTCAATTGAAAACAATTTTTACATTATTAAACTTTAATCGGAGTCAGGTTTCTTTTACTTTACTTACTGACTTTTGGGGAAAAAAAAACTTTTTTAAAGATTTTAAAAATAGCTATTCCGAAAGTCAAGAACCATTAAGATACAAAAAATAAAACATGGTATGAAAAGAAAGAGTTACATATTGCTTGGTACAATAGGATTCACAGTTTAAGTTTCTACTTGTATTGTCAGCAAACCTAATCCTTACCTTCTAATAAAGATGTAACTATTATGCGTTTTCGTTTCTCCCCTGTGAACAGACATGTCTATCAAAGTCGCCGTGGTAACGGGCAGCAACAAGGGCATCGGCCTGGCCATCGTCCGAGCGCTCTGCAAGCAGTACCAAGGAGACGTCTACATCACCGCCAGAGACGTGTAGGTAGCTCACCTGGGAACACCTGGCAGAACTCCCAGCACATCCATTTCTCATGAGAATCTCTTCTTTCTCTCCTCTCCCTCCAGCGGCCGTGGTCAGGAAGCGGTGAAGTCTCTGGCCTCCGAAGGGCTGAAGACACAGTTCCACCAGCTGGACATCAACGACCAGGAGAGCATCACCACCGCTGCTGCTTACTTTAAAGAGAAGTACGGAGGGGTGGACGTCCTCATAAACAACGCTGGGATAGCGTTCAAAGGTGGTACAATCATGCACACAGTTCTATTTAAATACGTTTATGTGACTGAATAGTAATGAGTGAAATGTGAGCCAGCAGCATCTTCTCCCATCTTATGTGCATTCAAAATGAATAGTGTAGCTAAAGCAAATTAAAATGTTTTTAGCTCTATGAAACTCTATGAAAAGTTTGGTGAAAACACTAAAAAAGGATCCCTCCTCCTGATGCACGTTGCAACCAACAAATTGCATTCAACTTTTACACATTTGAGTTTGTAGATATATTTGATGGTGTTTTTATTCGGGCATTAAATGAATCTCATTTGCACTTTATCACATCGTCTATCTCCTCCTTGCTCTCAGCGGCGGACACGGCTCCGTTTGCGGTCCAGGCGGAGGTCACCCTGAAGACCAACTTCTTTGCCACCAGAGACATGTTGACTCACTTCCTGCCGCTCATCAAGGCCGGAGGTAAAGGAGACTTTCCAGGTTTACGGAGGACTGTGTGCGCTTGCAAACAACTGCAATTGTCAGTTAATCATGAGACTGTGGGGGGGGGAACAAATCAGACTGTAGCCGGTTGCCATGGTAATGGAGGACACTAATTACTCCGTCCATAGTCCGATCGCATCTAAGTCAAGGCATAAAGTTGACCTTTTCTGGCTTGGTAAGTAATTAACAGCGTGTGTGTGTGTGTGTGTCAGGGCGCGTGGTGAACGTCTCCAGCTTCGTCGGCGCCCGCACTTTGAACAACTGCGACGCGGCCCTGCAGCAGCGCTTCCGCAGCGAGGACATCACCGAGGAGGAGCTGTCGGGACTGATGGAGCAGTTCGTCGCCCAGGCCAAGAAGGGCGAGCACAAGAAGGGCGGCTGGCCCGACTCGGCGTACGGGACGTCCAAGACCGGACTCACGGTGCGAGCGCCTCGTTTTGTGGAGATTCATTTCCTTTCATGGAGACATTCATCCTTCATACGCGTGTTTCTCTGTCTCCAGGTCCTGTCCATGATCCATGCTCGCCGTCTGTCCAAGGAGAGACCAAGCGACGGGGTAACTTGAGAAATGTGACACATTTCGAAGAGAAACAGTAACTGATATTTGTGACAACCTCGAAAACAAAACCTGAAACCTCTCTGCTCTTTTAATTCATTTGGGGACTTTTAATCTACGCTGGCAGCGTTGCAACTGTGAGAAAACCTCACACTTGTGTCGCCTTTCCCCCGTCATTTCTCTCAGATCCTGGTGAACGCCTGCTGCCCCGGGTGGGTGCGCACCGACATGGCCGGCGACAAAGCCCCCAAGTCTCCGGACGAGGGCGCCATCACCCCCGTCTACCTGGCCCTGCTGCCGCCCGGAGCCACGGAGCCTCACGGGAAGTTCGTCTCCGATAAAGAAGTTCAGCCGTGGTGAAAACAGTCTGGATCGATGAGTCAGTCGTCTCGTGGGGAGCGGTGATACGTGGTGATGCCTCGGCACACTGTGTGTATTTGGGTATGAGTGTGTTTGGGACTTATAAGTAACAACACCCGTCTCATCACTGCCTTCGCTAAAATAAACATTGTCATATCCTTTTTACATGTAAAATCTTTCCCAAACAGGATGAAGCTTAAATGTTGTGATGTCAAATAAAATGAAATACTTTCACATCAAAACAAATAAAAAGATATTTTCCCAGATGCTTTTTCATCACGCTGTACATTTGTTGTGTTCTTTATCACTAATGGGACAAATTATAGTAGAAGTGAATAGTGAGATGTAGTGACACCTGGTGGCTATTTCATTAAAAAAAATCTGATTTTTTTGTTACTCCCGGGGGTCGGCTGGGACGGCGGGGGGGGGTTTCACATCAGGAAAAAAACATGAACTGAATGATCTAAAACCTGTTTGCACTTTTGATACCACCCGATGCTTTGAGTTGTGTGACCTTTGGATTAACAGCCTTGTTGCACGACTCCTTGTAAAACCAACTTGTGATGGAGAGTTCCAGGTTTGGATTCAACTAAAGATCATACACGTTGCATGACAATGCACCTTCTATCTTTAATCAGTTTTGTGATATTATTCATTTAATAATCCGCAATTTAAAAATATTTTTACATTATTAAACTTTTTTTTTTACATAGAGAACATTTTTGTGATTTGGGCAAAACAATTTACTTAAACAGCGATTCCAAAAGGCAAAAAACATTGCTATAGAAAAAAATACAGTATGGACAAAAAATGTTAAATATTGATTAGTGAATAATACATTGAGGTGCACAGCATACGTTCCCACCTGTATTGTCTTATATCAGTTGCATCAGTTGGTTGAAAACTTGTCATACAACAGGTTTTGGCAGCTTTCTCTTTCTGAACTTTTCACAATGACCAAGCAACTCTTATCCCTTTAGAATCTTGTGATAGACGGCTGGTTATTTGTTTTGGACGTAGTTCCCACCCTCTCAGGACTTAAGCCTTTATGTGTTTAGGGTGTGTTCACTTTGCATTAATATGAGACAGTTTGTCACCATGAATCAGCAAATCTGATCTTTTTAATGCTAACTTGTGCTGGACGGTATCGCCGTGTGTCACTAATGGGACAAATAATAGTAGGAGTGAATGGTGGGATGTAGTGACTGGTGGCCACGATTTTGTGTTACAAACATTTTTATCGTGAAAGAGAAAAAGTAGTAGTGGTTAAATAAAATAAAGGTTGTATTTGATTTGCAGCTTAACGTATCATCCCCTGCAGTAGTAATTCTTATTCATAGACACGCTCATGGAGAGCTTTAGTGACAGCCAACAAAAAATGGCAAAGAAATGTTAATCCACCTGACACGACACAAATCGGGCTTCATTTAAGGGCGACGCGTGTGTTGTTTAGTGAGCGTGGTATAGCTGCGCACAAACACACACACTCATATTGACGCTCATTAAAATCTTGAATTTCAAAAATAAACATTAGATAATTCGTACTTTGAAAAATCCCCAAATTATGGTCTAAATGTCATTTGTTTAATTTACATCAAATGTATTCTAGCAGTTTAAGTGCTGTCTCGCCTCAGAATATCCAACATCTGTATCTGTATGTGCGTGATCCTTTTAAAGTCCTAAACTCCTGCAGCCCTCCTCATGAACCTCCGTGACCTCGACAATCTGGACAAAATACTGCTTCCTGTATCGTTATTTCTTTGGCAAAGTCTGATTATTAGACGACGCCATCATCAGTCCCCAAAATCTCTTTTCATATGTATGTATATCATATTTTTTCATATTTTTCTCTGTTATCTGCAATCCAAACGTCCCGAGCACAACGCTCATGCAACAGGTCGGGGGCGGAAAAATCTCCTTCGGGCGGTCATGCGTGGATCTGTGACGCTCGACCTCTCGGCCCAGTTTTAACTGTGTGTGTGTGTGTGTGTGTGTGTGTGTGTGTGTCGACACCCCGGCGGGCCGTGCGGCGTTGATACGAGGCTGCGCGTGACTGTGGGAGTTGTAGTGAAACCCCTGATTACCTCCCGGATAGAACTAATCCACGGAGCGAGATGAAAATCCACCAATCTGTGTGGCGAGGGAAACCCCGTCACACCCGTGCTTTGTTAATCAGAGTGGCCGCAGTGCTGCAGGAGCATCATTATCGCCCCATTGATCAATACCGACGCCGCTCACATGCACTTCCTATCAGGGGCTGTTTGTATGGACACTCAACAGCTGTTTGACTCAATTTGTGTTTTGCTGTTTAATTGATCTGGAATAGGGTAAGTTGTCCATGGGCATCATGGGTATTTTATCCAAAAGAGCATGTTAAGGCTCTGAAGCGCATCTAGAACCTGTTTACCTCCATTTCCTTTGACTTTATCAAAACAAAGTACAGAACAATTATGCATGTATTTAACAGACAACTGAAATTCACCTGGGTTCAGTTTCTTTTCGTATCTTAAAATCTTTAAGTAAAAATGGGACTTGGGCTCAAAAACATCCAATGTTAGAGTTGTTTTTTCCATCTAAACTTTAGCTTTTCTGGTTCAAAGACCGGCATGTAAAACAAAGAAACTTGAACTTCAAGTAATGTTGCCTGGGCATCAATTGTGATCAGGATGGAAACTGTTGTCTTTCAGCTGTAAGCAGCACTGACAACACATGATCACATTTTATACCCCAAAAAGCAGATTAAAACATTCCACATCCAAATCATCTCCAGGTGATTCTACACCGACTGCAGCTGAAAGCACTGAACCCCCCCCCCCCTTTTATGAGTCTCTTTGGGGTGAACGAGTTATAAGTAAAACAAGTACGTTACATGGACTGTTGGACCCCTAAAAATCATTTTACTAATGATTTATTTACATTTAAAACTCCAGGGGATTTATGCTGATGTGCATATGTTATAAATTCACGCATCATTATTGAACAAACCCCCCCATGAAGGTCTCATTAGAGGGTGTCGCCCCATGGAGGCAGGAGGTCGAGTTCGTTTCAAAGTTCATAAGCTGTATAGCTTCTCCGAAGCGGGAGTCGTTTATTTTTGCAGCGACCTCCGGGTGACCTTCTGAAGCGTCTCTCACAGATTGCAATTGGAAGTGTGTGTCGTCAGTTTGTGTTGCAAAAGCATTGATTTCACCCCCTCTACCTTAAAAAATGAGGCACTTTTTATATTAAGATTTTAAAGGGGCTATAACTCTGCTGGATGAGTTGATAGGATTCTGGATCAATACCAATAACCGGAGCGATCGGGTGGATAAAAAGACAAAAACAACTCTCTGCACATGAAAAATGACAAAATTATAACCGACAAAGGATGCTCGTGTGGGAAATGTGCTCCCTTTGTGGAGGAGCTGCAGTACAATTAAACTTCGCAGTCTTTCGGGGATCGTTGGCGAGTCCCCTCCACCATCAGAGGGCCGTTTACTGTCGTCTGCACCTTTCAGGTCAGCTTATGAACATCTGATGTAATTAAGGTAATCTGTAGCAAAAATAAACAACTGTGATTCTCATTTGTTTATTGTGCATAAACAAACTAGAGGAAGAAATAACGTGTCTCTCCCTTAAAGTGATGAATATATATTATATATACTTTAAATTAGGACCCGTGGCAAACGTTGCTTTTGATCTCATTGGTGCTTAAAATGAAGATTTAATAATAATAAGCTGTGAGATAAGAGACGTATTCTGAAGGAGGAGCTCCCTCTGGTCCCCACGAGATGTCAGTAAGTCTTTACAGGAGGAGCTCGCTGCTTTTCAACTCTGCTTCACCCATTCAGACGCTCTGTTACGCTATTATTCGATGAATTAAACGATTAGCATTGTGCACATAAGCTGGAATAGTGTTTGTTTTTGGATAACATTTACAGAAATCCTTCATCCAAGCATCATGGTTTTATTTCCCCCGGCTTCTATCAATATGTTCCTCACAGTAAAACGGCAAGGGGAACATGTGTGTTTGGTGTCACATGTATGTTTCATGTGGTTCAAGAGAGGCCTGCACAATAAGAAGGAGAGCAGTGTAAACTGAGTAGGTACTCAGTACTCACTCGTGTTTTTGTCAAAATATGGTGTGTCAAAGAATGTTTGAAAAAATGAGTTAAAAAAATATCAGGTCAAAAAAATATTTCAAAAAAAAAGTCAAAATATTTTAGGTTGAAAAATGCCATGTAATAAAAAAAATGAAATGAATATTACGTTGAAACGTTTTGAAGAAAAAGTCAAAATACAAACATCATTGAACATTTCTTTCAGGAAGGTTCCATGGAGTAACAAGTCAATAAATTTGAGCTCGAAAAATATGAATTATGATTAAAAAGTCCAAAAAGAGTATGTTGAAAAATCTCATGAAAAAATAAATGTTGGGTTAAAAAAAGTTTTCAAAGAAAAGTTGAAATATGTTCGGTTGAATGATACTACGGGGGAAAAAGTATGGCTATGTTATGTCTGAAAATAGGTTTTGTCTAAATATGTTACGTGAAAAATATGATGGAAAACTTTACTTGAATATGAAGTCAATCGGGTCCAAAGAAATAAGCTGAAAGAATAATAATACTAAACGTTAGAAGATCAATAGGTCTCTGCTTTAATAACAATCTGATCCCGGTCAGTGGCAAAAAACAAGTGCTTTTTGTGAAAAAAACATCGACAGAGCACATTGCACGATTTGATTACGTTGCAGCGTTCCCTCTCATTACTGAACCAATTTCAGAAATTCTTTTCATTAGTCACCGAGAACCCAAAACACGGGAAATACCAGAGTAACCTTTAAGAGTCATTCTAGGTCAGTCACCATTGATAAGTCTGAAAGTTGTAGGCTTTTGTTTGAATTTAGCTCATGTTAGGTTGAGGCTAAAGGTTAGTGATTAAATGTCAGATTAAATGTCATGTGGATATGTCAGGGAAGAAGTTTAAGCCCGTGCAATTCACAACAACAAAGTTACAATCCTGCTTTTGACCCACTTTGTTACTACTCCTCTCCAACAAATATGCACACAGTCAGTTTTTAAATTTATATATTTCTAATTTTCCTGCTCTCTTGCAGCGACAGGCCCTTAACATCAAAGTCAGCATCTGCCACATGGGTGGCGCTTTGTGTGTGTGCGTGTGTGTGTGTGTGTGTGTGTGTGTGTGTGTGTGTGCGTGTGTCTGTGTGTGCGTGTGTGTGTGTGTGTGTGTGTGTGTGCGTGTGTGTGCGCGTGTGTTGTTTAACCAAAATGATCCGTCAGCTCAA